CGGCGCCGCGGCGGCCGTCCACGACCGGCTTCTGGACCGGGTCCTCCAGGTGAGCAGGTCGAGGGTCCCGTTTTTAAACCCCCACGTCGTCTTCCAGAACAGTTAACCGACCTCGTACGACGCCAAAGGGAATAATCAGCCAACCAGACATTAAAATCAGAATAAATGAACAGACCAGCTCACTGACCTCGTGCATTTCTTGTGATTTATTTGCTTAACTGATAAATAAAAACTCCCCCTTCAGGCCACAGTGTCCTTCTTCGACACCACGCCGACGGGCCGCGTCCTAAACCGCTTCTCCTCGGACCTGTACGCCGTGGACGACAGCCTGCCGTTCATCCTCAACATCCTGTTGGCCAACGCGTTCGGCCTGCTGGGCGCGCTGGTGGTGATCGGCTACGGGCTCCCCTGGGTCCTAGTGCTCGTCCCGCCGCTGGCCCTGCTCTACTGGCGCGCGCAGCGCTTCTACCGGCACACGTCCCGCGAGCTGAAGCGCCTGTGCAGCGTCACGCTGTCGCCCGTCTACTCGCACTTCTCCGAGACGCTGAGCGGCCTGGGGACCATCCGGGCCAGCGGCAGCGCGGCCAGGTGAGAGGCGGGGCCAAGATAAGTGTGGTCAGGCTAAACGTGAATGCAAAGAGATGCATAAAGATGCATATTACAAAATGTAGCGTTAAACTGCAGTGCCTTCTGGGTAACTGACTGGCTCTATTAGCCACTCTTAAAATTATTTATAGATTTATTGGTAACACCGAAGTTGAGCCCCGCCCACTCGGAGCTACGTCGCGGCGCTAACCGCCACGTCTTCCCGCCGCTGCTGCAGGTTCGAGGACGAGCTCGCCAGGCGCCTGGAGCAGAACCAGCGCTGCCTGTTCCTGGGCAACGCCGCCGCGCAGTGGCTGGGCATCCGCCTGCAGCTGATCGGCGTCGCCGTGGTGACCGGCCTCGGGGTGCTCGCCGTCGTCCAGCACCAGTACAACGCCGTCGATCCAGGTGAGTTGAGTTTGTGGTTCTTTTTTTTTTTCTCGGGGTCGTCCGTGACGCCTGCCGCTGGCTTTCAGGCCTGGTGGGTCTGTCCCTGTCCTACGCCCTGTCCATCACCTCCCTGCTGTGCGGCCTCGTGTCCAGCTTCACCCAGACGGAGATGCAGCTGGTGAGCGTGGAGAGGACGGAGGAGTACTCCACCCGCCTGCCGACCGAGCCGCAGCAGCAGAACGCACAGGTGAGTTAAACCGGCAGTTTGAAGAGGAGAGTCGATGGAGCGCGCGGCTCTTTATACCCCCCTCCCCCTCTCTCTCTCTCTCTGACCCTCAGCTGCCCCCGGCGTGGCCCCAGCGGGGCCTCCTGGAGTTCCGCGGGGTGTCCCTGTCCTACCGGGACGACCTCCCCAACGCCCTGGACGGGGTCAGCCTGGCGGTGCGACCCGGGGAGAAGGTGGGCATCGTGGGGCGCACGGGCTCCGGGAAGTCCACCCTGTTCCTGGCGCTGTTCCGCATGGTGGAGCTGAACCGGGGTCAGATCCTCCTGGACGGGCTGGACATCAGCGCCGTGGGCCTGGCCCAGCTCAGGTAGGGGCGGGGGGGGCTCGGAAAGGGCGATCTTTAAAATGTGTCATAACTCATCAGAATCTGAATCAAAAGACTGATGGACAGTGATGGGATGTGTGCCAGATGTTCCTGCAGATAAAAGGATCTACGATGTGAAACACTAACCTTTCCTTTGTGCGGGTGATACATTATTTGATTTACTTCATTCTTAAATTATGTCCTAGTGTTTTGATGGACGGATTCAGAATGAATTCTGATAAAAACACAGAATCAAGAGCTCAACGCCAAACATCATTAATATGTTTACAATAAGATCTTCGTTAATAAATAAGATCTCCCTTCTTCAGTCAGAGGTCCTTGTTGCTGCTGTGCGTCTCTGCAGGTCCAGGCTGGCCATCATCCCACAGGACCCCTTCCTCTTCAGCGGGACCGTCAGGGAGAATCTGGACCCCTGCGGGCGACACCCGGACCGGCAGCTGCTGGAGGTGGTGGACCAGTGCCACCTCGGCCCGGCGGTCCTCAGGATGGGTGAGGGGGCCGGGGAGGCGGCATTTTGTCTCCTGTTGTGTGTGTGTGTTTTTGTTTTGCACGCACGTGGGTAAACGTGTGTGTGTGTCTCTCAGGCGGGCTGGATGCTGAGGTTGGGGAGAGAGGGAAGTCCTTCTCTGTGGGACAGAGACAACTTCTGTGTCTGGCCAGAGCTCTGCTGACCCGGGCCAAGGTGAGACCTCATGTCACTATTATAATAATACTAGTTATCAGAGTGTTAACGGGTCTGGTTTCTTTCTTGTGGGTTAGAATTTGTCGTTCCGACCCACCTCGCATTCTGCCGGACGCCACTTTCCTGTTTGAATTGAGCCTCTGAGACAAAGTCGACCTTTGACCCCCTCTTCGCCCCCCCGTCCGCAGGTCCTGTGCATCGACGAAGCCACGGCCAGCGTGGATCCGAAGACGGACAAGCTGCTGCAACAGACCATCAGGGAGACGTTTGAGGACCAGACCGTCCTCACCATCGCACACAGGTGGCGCCTCTCCTGATGACGTCATAGCCGTCTGATCCTTCTGCGGCGTCACGTCCGTCCGGGGGCGGGACGATCGGCGCTCTGCCGGCGGCTCTTTTTGAAATTCCCCGTATTTAATGTGTCTGCAGGACCAACACAGTCATGCACTGCGACCGGGTGCTGGTGATGCATGCTGGGAAGGTGGAGGCGTTCGACACCCCGGCGGCCATCTACCCGAGCGGACCCGTCCCCGCTCCACGGCCGGCCGGTAGGAGGGGACAGGGAGACGAGTAGCGGGACGGCAGACCGCAGGGGACGGGATTCATTTCGATATTTTGCGTCCTGGAGAGAATCTCCGGCAACTTGCTGACTGTTTTTAAGTCGCCTCGTCTGCCGTTGGAGCGGCGAGTGCCTTGCTCCAGGGTCCTGGGCGGCGACGACACGGGCATGTGGAGGCTTCCTCCCGTTTTGTGCTGACGTTTAGTTTCTTTCAATTGATGGTGGAGTAGGGCGAGGACGCTCCTCGCCACCGTCCCCTCCTGCGTCTTCGTCTTCTCCCGCCTCCGCTGCACGGGACCAGAGCGCGTCGCGTGCTGATTGGCTGGAAATGAACTTCAAGCCCGCCTCCTTTGACTATGAAGCAGTACCCACATGCTCGGGATCGGGTCTCTAAGCTAAATCGTCCGCCCACGTGGCTCGATGTCTTTCAGTGCAGCCGTTTCAGGTTTGTATTTTCTTATATTTTCGTCCTCTCGGGAAGCAGATCGATGACTCACAGCTCTTATAAACCAGCCGTGAGGGACGTCCTTTGTAATCACATTTAATTATGAGCCTCGCCTTAAAATTCCCTTATAATGAATGAGCACCTAACTTTCTTTTCCCACTTTTCCATTTATAATAATTTGTCCCTTTTTGAAAATTTGAGTGGCAGTTTGTTGATATGTTTGTTTTTCATGAGAATAAAGAAATATCGAATTACTTCTTGTATATATTAAATATTGGTTGAAAACAGCAGTGATATTTATTTTCATGCGTTGCACTAAACACATTTAAATGCAGACACAAAGCCCCGTAACATCATTTAAACCCCAAATCATGTAGTTTTGAAACAATTTCCAATGAGTTCCAGAAATCCACTAAATAAAGTCATAATTTACAACATGAACGTATGAAGCGATATTTTGGAACTACAGTTGAATAACAAAGCAACTTGCATTGCGTTTGGAACCCGTGGTTTTTACATTTTAGGCGATAACTTTAACCTGAATGAGATCGTAAATAATCTTTAATGTGTATTTGTGCAGTGAAATGTTCCGATTATTCAGTCGGGTCGTGATATAAGTCCCACGTGGTCGTGGGGATCAGTTTGATCGATCTCAGCTTCAGCACATGGTCTGTTTCTGCCAGCGATGAACAGCTCCACTAACATGGTGCTTGTTTATTTTTCAATCCTAAACGTTTCTTAAGTTACTGGTTGTAAATCACACAAACGAGGTGAGGAAGCAGTTTGGTTGTTGAGGTTCTTCTGCAGTACTTCTACTCCGTGAGGTGTGTAGATTAATGTATTAGTACTAGGGTATAGTAATACACCAGCTATGGCTGAAATGAAGTACTTTATGTCGCTTCATTCGTCATACCTGTCGAGCAGGTTGGCTGATCACAGAAGTACTCTTGAGCAAACGGGTTCCTCGCGTAATAAACGTTGCGCAATAACATAACCGCCCACTTTTCTTCTGTGCGGCAGAAATCGAAGTGACTCAGCGGGTGAGCGCCGGCCGCTCCCTTGGCACCAGGTGAGCCCTGGCACCAGGTGAGCCCTGGCACCAGGTGAGCCCTGGTAGACCTGGTACCAGGTGGTGCTCATCAAAGCATCCGTGGTTATAAACCAGTAAAGCAACTGAAACCAGCCATTAATTACTCACGCGCTTACTTTTGGGACTTTAAGTTGGTTTTTTCGATGCTCTCTTGTAGTTGCACTTTGACATGCATGTAAATCAATGCGTGTGCATGCGTGTGTGTGTGTGTGTGTGCGTGCGTGTGTCTATTCAGACTGTGGGAACCGATGTGTTGACGTTTGAGGGAAACCACGCCAAGTATTCAAGTTGTTCTTTTTGTCTGCGGTTGCGCGTGTTTTTGTTTTGAGCCGCGGGCGTGGGAGGGGAGGGGGGGGTAGTCAGGGGCGGTGTCTGCAGCAGGGTGTTTGAGGTAAACGTGTGCGCGTGCATGTTGACAGTTGGGGGGCGGGGCCTCACAGGTGGAACCCGTTTGGGCGGCTCCAGGTGAGCCCGGTGCACCTGCCTGCGGCTCCTCTCCTCCGTCACAGAGAGCGGCGACTCCGAAGGGACACGACTTTCCACCCCGCTGAGAGGTCTCGCAGGACCTCGGGTCAGTACGTCTGTCTTCTCTCCTGCTTTTAAACGTCTCTTGTGTGTGTGTGTGTGTGTCAACTACGTGGCTCAGGGAGTACAGAGGCTGCGCTGGGTTGGCGGTTCGAACCCCGGCTGCTCCATGTCCAAGTGTCCCTGACCAGGACGCCCGTACGGCCGCTTGTGAGGGTTAAAATGTACAAACCACGGGTTCCAAACGCAATGCAAGTTGCTTTGTTATTCAACCGTGGTTCCAAAATAATGAGTCATTTCTTGTTGATGAGGATGCAGAAACAGGCGCAGTACCAGAAACTCAGTTCATTGCCACCAACTATCAAGACTTTTAAAAGACGCCTGCAGAGATCATTAATGTCTTCATGTGTTGACTATGGACAGCGTCTGAGAACATGCAGACGACATAAAAACACACGGATCAAAGCGGTCAAATAGCCGTATTGTCGTCACGTCTCTGCTGGGTTCAGGCAGGTGCACTTTGGCTCACCTGTGAGATGTGTAATGTGTAACTGTTTAAGTAGTAAATCAGCGGGCCCAGCGGTCCGTTGGTGTGGACACACGTGGAGCCGTTCGTCCCCAAGAAGCCGTCGATCTAATCTAGTTTAATCTGTTTGAATAATGGTGTCGTTGTGTATTTTGTGCTCATTGTGTAATCACAAAAGTTTGTGGTTGAGTTGTTTTTTCTGAATGAATGTTGACTCGAGGAGGATTTGAACATTCTGCCACTTTTCTTCACATTTCTTTTCACTTTGTTGAACCACTTCGCGGAACAAAGAGTCCTCGTCCACACTAGAAAGCACTGGGTGTAGTCTCTCTCTCTCTCTCTGTCTCTCTCTCTTATTTCTTACTTTGTGCTTGAAATAAGGAAACACCCAACAGCCGGACACTTGTCCGCCGCGCTCTCGATAAACCTGTTCCTCGCTTTCGTCCTGAGCCATGACTCAAATACCTGAGCGGTGAATTCAGTGGTGTTCCGTGAGGTCGCTCTTCCTCCTGTTTGCAGATGACTGTTATGTTAATATTTATCTTAGTAATTAACTCCTGGTGCATTGACGTGTAGACAAACAGTATTACTTACCAAAAAGGCTTCTTTTAAAATAGGAGCAGATTTGAATTTCTCTGAAACAATGTGTGATTCATCGATAGTCTCGTGGCTTTCAAAGACATTTTTCCAAGTGATTAATGCGACTGTAATAAGATAAACGATACCAGGGTTTCCCATTCATAGACTGTATTAGTGGGCAACATAGATTTGCCCCACCTAAAAAGGTTTTAATGGTCTCCTATTTGTTGTATTACTGTAAGTGTGCAAAGTAACGAAATGTTGCAAGTGCAATATTTTCCTTAAATGTAGTTTCATTTAAGAAGATTTAACGTGTCACACACACATACATTACCTGAGCTGCACAGTGTCAAGCCAGTGCATTAAATCTGTTTAACCCTTTATTCTCCTCTGTAGGTTTAGCCAGGAGGGTTGTGACGGAGACTCAACGTTCGTGGTACAAAGCATCTACTTGTTATTTTAGTTTTGTGTTATTAACGGTAAAATGCACTTTGCGTGCTGCTGTTAAAAACTCAATCCGCTGCACACGAGCTTCGTTTTTTAAACACTTCTTTTAAAACGTCTGTGTTTGCAGCCGCAGAGGGAGGAGACTGATGTGTCGTAGTTTTTAGATTCATAGCTGCTGGTCCACAATGGAACACACCTTAAAAATTCAATGAAGTCTTTGTTCATATTTAAGCCACTACGCCTAACACTAAGTGACTGGGAGGTACTCACTTAAAATGTGCACTTGTTGTGGAGTTCTCACCTGCAGTACTTTTCCTATTGCGCTGTATATTTTTGGACTGTAGTTAGTGCACAATCGCATCAATGATCAGTCCAGAGGTAATTGATTGCATATTTTGCCAGTATACATTTACGTTTTGCTGATTGATATCGAAACACAGTGTAGCAATTAAGCAAGCAATGCATTTCAATTCCAGTGCTCGATGCCCCTCGATCGTTAGTTCCAGGTTTAGGGTTCTATGCTCTCGGTGATAGATTAGGATTATCTTCACGGTTGATTTTTTTCCTATTTTCAGGAGATGACCTTCTGAGGGACACAATACATTTTCTTCTGTCAAAAGCGGAGCTGTTAAAAATGCTGAAGGTGATGGAGCCGTTTGATGACAAGGTCCGAGTCCTCACTAGGAACAACATGAGCAAGAGCCTCGGAGACTTGGACCAGTGTGGCAAGAGTCCAGAGACGGTATGTGAAGCACAGATATTATCAAGTCAAACCGGATAAAAAGCAACAACTGGAGGGGCATTCATTCAAGTAGCCCATTCGTGATGTCATGTAAACAATAGTAAAATGTATGTCCACCCAAACTGATAGAGAATATTTACCTCTATGGAGGAATAATAATTACATTCCAATCACCAACTTTTGGTTATATTTCTAGATGCTGAATGATTCCTACAACAAACTCTACAATGCCAAAATCAGGAAGTTTATGAAACGTGACTTACTCGGTTCCATGGAGAGCATTGTGGACAAGAACGTTACCACCAAGCAAACCGAACCAGGGTCCCCTAAGGTCCACCTAAAGAACAACATGGGGTTACCTCGCCTTGGAGTTGACTTTGGACTTATGAAACCCAGGACTCTGATCACAGACATTGATGATGAGTCACAATCTGATCACGCTGGAGAACCAACATATGAAGGCAACCTGAACCTTCCTTTTTTGGGTAATGCGAATGGCCGAGGTGGGGCACAACTTCTACCAAGAGTGAAAGACTTTGCTAGAAATCCACAGTTCAACACTTCGGACTATCAATTGTCCCGAAGGTTAACAGAAAGTCCAGACGTTGATGCATCGCAACATGACATACATGGACTGGAAACTGGCATGCCTTCAGGAAAAGTTCAAATGCCACAAAAGATTAATCTTAGATCTCCAGTTTTAGATGTGGATGCTCCATCTGGTAAATTCTCTATGCCCAACTTTGGGGTCTCAGGCAACAGTGAAACTGATGTTAAAACACCTGACAGTCTCAAAACAGCAAAAATAAAAGGTGGGATTCATGCACCTAATGTAAATCCACCAAAAGCTGACCTAAAAGAACCAAGTCTAGGCTTTGGCACTCCATCGGTTGACACAAAAGTTCCATCTGGAAAATACAAAGCTCCTAAGTTTAAAATGCCCCACTTTGATTTACCAGATATTCAAGTTCCTGGTTTTAATGGAGATGTAAAGGGACCAGATGTTGGACTGTCAGGACCAAAGCTTAAAGGGCTTGATGGTGAGCTAAGAAATCCTGACTTTGATCTCTCAGCCCCCAAATTCAAAGGAGCTATTGGCTCCCCAGGTATTAATTTGCCGCAGATGGACCTTAACAAACACAGACTGGATCTTAGTGGCCCAGACGTTGACTTAAATATGCCCTCTGGGGATTTCAAGTTACCAGCAATGAAGAAACCAAATATTGGCTTGAATGCTCCTGACATGCATATTGATGCTCCTTCAAGCAAGTTTCAAATGCCAACATTGAATCTTTCAGGGACATTGCCTAAAGGACCAAATGTAAATGTAAAATCCACAGATCTTGATCTCAAAGCCCCAAAGTTAAAGGGTGGGATTGATGCCCTGGACTTGGACTTACCAAACACAGACTTCAAAGGTCCAAAGTTTGATGTGGACGCTCCAGATGTCAACCTTGGTTCACACAAAGCAAAATTAAAGATGCCTACATTTAGTCCTCCAAAACTAAAAGGACCTGAGATCGATGGAAACTTGCATGGCATCAATTTTGATGCACCCAATGTCAACCTCAAAGGTCCTAACGCTGATCTTGGAATGCCAGATTTAGATATTTCTGGTCCATCGGGTAAACTGAAGAAGCCACATTTTAAGATGCCTGGTTTTGGGCTTTCTAGTCCAAAGTTTGAGGGTCCCAACCTGGGCCTCAAAACACCTGATCTAGATATATCTGGTCCCAATCTCAGTGGGGGTTTCAATGCTCCAGACATAAACATGCCTAAAGTTGATCTTAAGAGCCCCAAACTGGACTTTAATAGCCCAAATCTCAACTTAGACATGCCATCTGGTAAAATGAAAATGCCAGAGCTTCATTCTCCAGACTGGGATGTTAAAGCCCCCTCAGGCAAAATGAAAATGCCTAAGTTCAATCTTTCAGGTACATTACCAAAAGGACGTAACATGGACATAAACACAGGTCTGAGTGCACCAGATTTGAGTCTGAAGGCTCCAAAGATCAAGGGTGGAATTGATGCCCCTGACTTGGACTTACCAAATATGGACCTTAAAGCTCCCAAGTTTGATGTTAATGCTCCAGATGTGAACATTGGTTCACCCAATGTGAAATTCAAAAAGCCCAAATTCAAACTACCTAAATTTAGTATTCCAAGCCTGAAAGGTCCTAAGATTGATGGGAAATTTGACATCCCAGATGTTGATTTAAATGCACCCAATGTCAACCTCAAAGGTCCTAACGCTGATCTTGGAATGCCAGATTTTGATGTTTCTGGTCCATCGGGTAAACTCAAGAAGCCAAATTTTAAGATGCCTGGTTTTGGGTTTTCTAGTCCAAAGTTTGAGGGTCCCAACCTGGGCCTCAAAACACCTGATCTAGATATATCTGGTCCCAATCTCAGTGGGGGTTTCAATGCTCCAGACATAAACATGCCTAAAGTTGATCTTAAGAGCCCCAAACTGGACTTTAATAGCCCAAATCTCAACTTAGACATGCCATCTGGTAAAATGAAAATGCCAGAGCTTCATTCTCCAGACTGGGATGTTAAAGCTCCCTCAGGCAAAATGAAAATGCCTAAGTTCAATCTTTCAGGTACATTACCAAAAGGACCTAACATGGACATAAACACAGGTCTGAGTGCACCAGATTTGAGTCTGAAGGCTCCAAAGATCAAGGGTGGAATTGATGCCCCTGACTTGGACTTACCAAATATGGACCTTAAAGCTCCCAAGTTTGATGTTAATGCTCCAGATGTGAACATTGGTTCACCCAATGTGAAATTCAAAAAGCCCAAATTCAAACTACCTAAATTTAGTATTCCAAGCCTGAAAGGTCCTAAGATTGATGGGAAATTTGACATCCCAGATGTTGATTTAAATGCACCCAATGTCAACCTCAAAGGTCCTAACGCTGATCTTGGAATGCCAGATTTTGATGTTTCTGGTCCATCGGGTAAACTCAAGAAGCCAAATTTTAAGATGCCTGGTTTTGGGCTTTCTAGTCCAAAGTTTGATGGTCCCAACCTGGGCCTCAAAACACCTGATCTAGATATATCTGGTCCCAATCTCAGTGGGGGTTTCAATGCTCCAGACATAAACATGCCTAAAGTTGATCTTAAGAGCCCCAAACTAGACTTTAATAGCCCAAATCTCAACTTAGACATGCCATCTGGTAAAATGAAAATGCCAGAGCTTCATTCTCCAGACTGGGATGTGAAAGCCCCCTCAGGCAAAATGAAAATGCCTAAATTCAATCTTTCAGGTACATTACCAAAAGGACCTAACATGGACATAAACACAGGTCTGAGTGCACCAGATTTGAGTCTGAAGGCTCCAAAGATCAAAGGTGGAATAGATGCCCCTGACTTGGACTTACCAAATATGGACCTTAAAGCTCCCAAGTTTGATGTTAATGCTCCAGATGTGAACATTGGTTCACCCAAAGCCAAATTTAAAATGCCAAAATTCAAAACGCCCAAATTGAACTTCCCAGGCCTAAAAAGACCTGAAATTGATGGCAACTTTGATGGCCCAGATGTTGATTTAAATGCACCCAATGTCAACCTCAAAGGTCCTAACGCTGATCTTGGAATGCCAGATTTTGATGTTTCTGGTCCATCGGGTAAACTCAAGAAGCCACATTTTAAGATGCCTGGTTTTGGGCTTTCTAGTCCAAAGTTTGAGGGTCCCAACCTGGGCCTCAAAACACCTGATCTAGATATATCTGGTCCCAATCTCAGTGGGGGTTTCAATGCTCCAGACATAAACATGCCTAAAGTTGATCTTAAGAGCCCCAAACTGGACTTTAATAGCCCAAATCTCAACTTAGACATGCCATCTGGTAAAATGAAAATGCCAGAGCTTCATTCTCCAGACTAGAATGTTAAAGCTCCCTCAGACAAAATGAAAATGCCTAAATTCAATCTTTCAGGTACATTACCAAAAGGACCTAACATGGACATAAACACAGGTCTGAGTGCACCAGATTTGAGTCTGAAGGCTCCAAAGATCAAAGGTGGAATAGATGCCCCTGACTTGGACTTACCAAATATGGACCTTAAAGCTCCCAAGTTTGATGTTAATGCTCCAGATGTGAACATTGGTTCACCCAAAGCCAAATTTAAAATGCCAAAATTCAAAACGCCCAAATTGAACTTCCCAGGCCTAAAAGGACCTGAAATTGATGGAAACTTTGATGGCCCAGATGTTGATTTAAATGCACCCAATGTCAACCTCAAAGGTCCTAACGCTGATCTTGGAATGCCAGATTTTGATGTTTCTGGTCCATCGGGTAAACTCAAGAAGCCAAATTTTAAGATGCCTGGTTTTGGGCTTTCTAGTCCAAAGTTTGAGGGTCCCAACCTGGGCCTCAAAACACCTGATCTAGATATATCTGGTCCCAATCTCAGTGGGGGTTTCAATGCTCCAGACATAAACATGCCTAAAGTTGATCTTAAGAGCCCCAAACTGGACTTTAATAGCCCAAATCTCAACTTAGACATGCCATCTGGTAAAATGAAAATGCCAGAGCTTCATTCTCCAGACTGGGATGTGAAAGCCCCCTCAGGCAAAATGAAAATGCCTAAATTCAATCTTTCAGGTACATTACCAAAAGGACCTAACATGGACATAAACACAGGTCTGAGTGCACCAGATTTGAGTCTGAAGGCTCCAAAGATCAAAGGTGGAATAGATGCCCCTGACTTGGACTTACCAAATATGGACCTTAAAGCTCCCAAGTTTGATGTTAATGCTCCAGATGTGAACATTGGTTCACCCAAAGCCAAATTTAAAATGCCAAAATTCAAAACGCCCAAATTGAACTTCCCAGGCCTAAAAAGACCTGAAATTGATGGCAACTTTGATGGCCCAGATGTTGATTTAAATGCACCCAATGTCAACCTCAAAGGTCCTAACGCTGATCTTGGAATGCCAGATTTTGATGTTTCTGGTCCATCGGGTAAACTCAAGAAGCCAAATTTTAAGATGCCTGGTTTTGGGCTTTCTAGTCCAAAGTTTGAGGGTCCCAACCTGTGTTCCTCAAAACACCTGATCTAGATATATCTGGTCCCAATCTCAGTGGGGGTTTCAATGCTCCAGACATAAACATGCCTAAAGTTGATCTTAAGAGCCCCAAACTAGACTTTAATAGCCCAAATCTCAACTTAGACATGCCATCTGGTAAAATGAAAATGCCAGAGCTTCATTCTCCAGACTGGGATGTGAAAGCCCCCTCAGGCAAAATGAAAATGCCTAAATTCAATCTTTCAGGTACATTACCAAAAGGACCTAACATGGACATAAACACAGGTCTGAGTGCACCAGATTTGAGTCTGAAGGCTCCAAAGATCAAAGGTGGAATAGATGCCCCTGACTTGGACTTACCAAACACAGACTTCAAAGGTCCAAAGTTTGATGTGGACGCTCCAGATGTCAACCTTGGTTCACACAAAGCAAAATTAAAGATGCCTACATTTAGTCCTCCAAAACTAAAAGGACCTGAGATCGATGGAAACTTGCATGGCATCAATTTTGATGCACCCAATGTCAACCTCAAAGGTCCTAACGCTGATCTTGGAATGCCAGATTTAGATATTTCTGGTCCATCGGGTAAACTGAAGAAGCCACATTTTAAGATGCCTGGTTTTGGGCTTTCTAGTCCAAAGTTTGAGGGTCCCAACCTGGGCCTCAAAACACCTGATCTAGATATATCTGGTCCCAATCTCAGTGGGGGTTTCAATGCTCCAGACATAAACATGCCTAAAGTTGATCTTAAGAGCCCCAAACTAGACTTTAATAGCCCAAATCTCAACTTAGACATGCCATCTGGTAAAATGAAAATGCCAGAGCTTCATTCTCCAGACTGGGATGTTAAAGCCCCCTCAGGCAAAATGAAAATGCCTAAATTCAATCTTTCAGGTACATTACCAAAAGGACCTAACATGGACATAAACACAGGTCTGAGTGCACCAGATTTGAGTCTGAAGGCTCCAAAGATCAAAGGTGGAATAGATGCCCCTGACTTGGACTTACCAAATATGGACCTTAAAGCTCCCAAGTTTGATGTTAATGCTCCAGATGTGAACATTGGTTCACCCAAAGCCAAATTTAAAATGCCAAAATTCAAAACGCCCAAATTGAACTTCCCAGGCCTAAAAGGACCTGAAATTGATGGAAACTTTGATGGCCCAGATGTTGATTTAAATGCACCCAATGTCAACCTCAAAGGTCCTAACGCTGATCTTGGAATGCCAGATTTTGATGTTTCTGGTCCATCGGGTAAACTCAAGAAGCCAAATTTTAAGATGCCTGGTTTTGGGCTTTCTAGTCCAAAGTTTGAGGGTCCCAACCTGGGCCTCAAAACACCTGATCTAGATATATCTGGTCCCAATCTCAGTGGGGGTTTCAATGCGCCAGACGTAAACATGCCTGACATTAACGCTCCAAAAGTAAAGGGAGTTTCCGCCCCTGACTTTAACTTGCCAAAATTTGGCCTCAAAACTCCCAAAATGCCACAAATGAAAATGGCAGAAGTTAATCTTCCAAATCTAAAAGGTCCTGAGATTAAAGGAAACTTTGATGGCCCAGACATAGATGTCAATGCACCCAACATCAACCTTAAGGGGCCCAAAAGTGTCTTTGAAATGCCAGATGTTGGTTTTGGAAGCCCATCTGCAAAATTTAAAAAAACACATTTGAAAATTCCTGATGTGGGGTTTTCTAGCCCAAAATTAGATGGTGCTAACTTTGACTTTAGATCACCAGAGCTTAATGGCAAATCACCAAAAGTACCAAATTTTAACATAAAGTCAGACCCTAAAACTGCAAAATTGAAAGGTGGAATCAGTTCCCCCAAATTGTCAAAAATGAACCTTAAAGCTCCCAAATTAGATATGGACACTCCAGATTTAAACTCTGGTTTTCCTGATGTAAACTTCCAAAAGCCCAAAATCAAGATGCCAAAGGTCCCCAATGTTGACATAAATGGGGCCTTACAGGGGCCTGACTTAAATATGCCAAATGTAGATTTCAATGGTCCAAAAGGAACGTTTAATATTCCGAGTGTAAATACACCAGACCTCAATCTCTCTGGACCAAAGGCAAAACTACCAGATATGAATCATTCAGGACCTAAGCTGAAAGGCCATGGTCTAAAAATGCCAGACCTGCCGAAAGACCGTTTTAGCGCTCAGCTAGATCTTAATGCTAAGCGCCCTGATCTAGGGATAGATGGTAACTTAGGTCGACCTGACCTGAACTTTGCTGCCCCTAATGTCCGAGGACAAACAAGAGGTCCACATGTTCCTTCAGGAAACTTCCAGGGTCCTCAAACTGATTATCATTGGGAGGACAGCCAATCCAATTTTCCTAACATCCTAACTACACCTTTTGAAGGTCCACATTTTAACGGAGTAGGGACTAATATGGACTTTGGTGCAGCTCACAGACCAACAAATCTGGATATTTCTCCGAATGCAAAACTGAATATGAAACCAAAAGAGTTGATAGCGGATTTCTCAGGTCCAAATGTAAGTGCTCCAAACATGACAAAAATGGCAATGAGGGATACACAACTGCATCTCAGATCTCCAGATCTTAACATTGATAATCCGTCACCTAATTTTAGAGAACCCTCTTATAGGAATCGCAGATCTGATATCCCAGGGGGGAACATGAGAATGCCCGACCTGGACATAGATGGAGATGTCGGACTTCGACATACTGATAGACATCCAACGAGGCACAAAATAAGGTCCAGCTATCCTCAAGCGGATGCTGGTTTCGGCCACCAAATAGATTTCCACCGTTCAGATCTCAACATTGATGATTTCACAGGAAAGGAGCATGTGCTTAGATCGAGAGGTTCAAAACTTGACTTTCAGGCGCCACATAGACTGGGAGAGGTCATGTTCCCGTCACGTGGTAACGAGGACTCGAGGGACCCCAGACGAACCAATAGGATGCCTCCTGGAGGCAACAACGTGTATTCAATGCACCACAGCTCAATGGAGCGGGTACCCAACGCACATTTATCACCAGATCCAAGAATAAGAGTCCCAGTCGAGTCAGATCAATACTACGTCACTGATTTCTCCAACATACAACAAAATCAAAGAAGGCCAAACATCAAATACAACACACTCGGGGGGCTTGACTTTCGTCAACGAAACATGGACCTTGAAGTCCCAGCAGGAAATTACCAAAAAGGGGGGTCATCGTCGTTTCTTTCCAACCTCATGTAGGTTTTAAACCAAGGATATTCCCATAAGCAGAACCAGATGTTTCTTTTAGTGTGATTTTTATATTTTGTTGTCTTATTGTGTTTTAAGCTCTTGTATTTTTGTTAGATGACGTGCAATTTTAAAATGTCTCACTCGTTTCTGCCTTTTTAACGTTTTTTTGTTTCTTATTGTATAAAATCAATTTGTTTTATAATAATGAAGCCTTCATTACAAAGCCTTCTTGCACTTGTTTTGTATATATAAAGGTATTTTGTAATTTGTACATTGTGGCATTTGAGGAGACGGTATTATTTCTATCTACATTTTAGTTAAGATTGTTTAGGGGTACTAATACAATATTAAAGTATTTAAAGATGTATGTTTACATACAAATTTGTGCATAACTTTTGTATCATACTCTATGTCTATACTTTTTAAACTAAATGTATTTCATAATCATTAGAAATATACAGTATACAGTTATTATTTTCATAACCGTTTGTGGAGTTTTGCTTTGCAACGTTTTTAAGCAATAATAAAAATAAAAAGCAATAGCTGTTTTGGAGGCAGCCGTGAAGCTGTTACAATGGATTATTATGGGCACTGCATTCACCATTTTGTACGAAAAAATAAAGAGAAATTATTTGAGTGTTATTTGTTTCCTGATTCATATTTTCAAAACATACATAAAATACAGTTCTCGTTATACAGAAAGGCCAATTTCAGGATCATATAAATCATATCATTGGATCATAATGATTTTTAAAATATGACGCCAAGTAACATGACCTATACAATTACATAATCATTTCTAAATTGATTTATATTTCGAATTAACCATATAAAATCCGCAAAGTAGCTTGTAATACAAAATAGGTGGATCTAAAAGCAAAACAGTTCTCTACGGCATAAATAAGCATAAAAAGTAGAAATGGTAATATATGGAAATATGCAGGTGATGTACAAACCTTAAATAGCCACTACTTGAGATAATTTACTTACATCGCACCACTGACAATAACAAATTTGAATGTTAATGTAGACCTGGGTGTGTTGTATTAAGACGTAATATGTCAAATTGAGTAACTGGAGGTTTGAACTTATTTAATTGCTAATGTGTAAATAATTAGGAGAAGGGAAATAACTTCCACCGCCAGCCGCTGGGTGCCGCCACCGTTGTTGCGACTGAGCCCGATTTGACGTCATCAACACGCGCCGAAACACTGAACGGGGAAAACGCGACCGCGACCTTTCAGCGCGTCAACCGGCTGCGAGTTCCTTCACGATGTGTTACTAGAAGCGTTTGCGATGCTGTTCGCGTGTGTTTGAGCCTTTGGAAAGACGAAAGAACCGAAATGCTTCGCTGCACGCTGCTGGTCTGCGGCAGAGGCGTCGTTAGACGGGTGAGTTTAAGCTGCACACACGGTGTCATCACGTTAGATGAACCCAATCTGTGTGTTTACTTCTTTCCTTTGACGGAGGTGAAACCAAATCTGTTATTTACATTTGTGATATGTGATATGATTGTTGGACCGGTTTCCTGTCAGTGGTGGAATTGTCGTACAGATGTTTTCTCTCCATCTAACGTTACAAAATAACTTGTTCGGTCAATTAAAACCAAATTTAACTTTCTGTCAACTGATCGCTTGATTAATGAAATATTTGTTTCACTACCGAAGTCGTTTGAGAAGTAAATATATAATTTGCTGGCTGCATCTTATTTAAAGTTTGTATAAACGACATCGTTATTTCATTAACTCCTAAAAACTGTACACGTGTATTTATGGACGATTGATGCAGCACTAGCAGATATCTTTCCTTTTGCTTGTGTGGTCATTTGTTTGATCATGTTGTGCTGCTCAGCTGGCCTCGTCGTTCTGCAGTGAGAGCAGCGCGCTGCCCCCCAACTTACTGCTGCCGACCAACCTGGTGGATCCTTCCAGATCCAGTGAGTCCACTATACATACAAACATACACATGTATTTATATAACTGGTATTTTATACATGATAACTTTTCAGTTTGATCCTCTTAACACTTGAATATTGTTTTCTCGTCACACCAAATGAATGAATTGAGTAAACCGAGGAACATCTGCAGCCCTTATTTACAGACTGACTGGTGCGTTTCCTTCCTGCAGAGCGCCCCCCCCCTCCCGCAGACTGCCCCCTCCCGCTGCTGAGGAGCTGCGACGCCGTCGTCCCCGCTCATCTGAGCGCCGTCCAGACGTGGGTGGAGACTCTGGAGGCGCGGGGCAGCGAGCCGCTGGGTTGGGCTCAGCTCCACCCGGACGTCTTTGCGGTGGCTCCGAGGTAAATGTTTCATCCGGGTTCGTTGGTAGTTACTAACCTAACTTACTAGTACTACTGTAACTTAGTAGTACTAATGTAACTTAGATACAGGATGAAAGTTAATCCGTTGTTCGCTCCTCTCAGGTTAGATATTCTCCACGAGGTTGAAACCTGGCAGAAAAACTTTAAAAGAATCGTAAGTTACTGATTCAGTTTTGTCTTTGATGTTGTCAAACTTTTGTTTGTTGTTTGTTAGGAATGAATAAATACAGAACTATTATATTATTATTAATGTAATTATGACAATTACTGTTATTACATACTTTTAGTCCTATCGACATGATCACAGGCGCACACTTAAGTATTAAGTTAGTTTTAAGTATAATTCAGTCAAATCATATTTTAGCAGTTATGTAATCGTTATAGCCTTTTATTTTAAAAAGACTTCTATCAGACATTGGCCTGCAAAGCATAACAAAAGCCTATTATTTTCCTCTGATGAAGCTGCAGTTTAAGTTAAACAAACACCTGAAATAAATCCGCTCTAATTCTTCATCCGTGTCTGGGTGATATTAATAATCCTGAACATCTTCTCCACTGACTCAGAGCCACGCCAACACAAAGATCAGGTCAGAGGTCAGAGGAGGAGGAAGGAAGCCGTGGAATCAGAAAGGAAGCGGAAGAGCTCGACATGGAAGCATCCGCTCACCGATATGGAAAGGAGGTGGAAATCTGTGCTTCTTTCACCCGCCAAATGTCTGACTTTAATTAATTAACCCATTAGGGTGTACACATAAAATGTGTCGTAGCACATTTTCTGACAGATTCCAGACGGTAGAAAAAGTCCACATTGAACAAAAAATCCATTTGCCTTTAGTTACACTGAGGAGTTGTAATCAGATCAATAGGAGTTTGGTGAAGGGGGGACTTTTGTCCTGGAGGGATCAGCAGTTTTACGCCTCATAAATAATCCACCAGGAGCTTATGTACTTCAGTGAAGGTCACGTGACTCTTTTCGACAACATACCATCACTTGTCTTTTTCTTTGTTTGAGATAAAACTGACAGGTGTCTTTGTCTCTCAGGGGGCGTGTCCAATGGACCCAGAGGACCGACCAGCTACTTCTACATGTTGCCCATGAAACTCCGAGTTCAAGGACTCAAAGTGGCTCTGAGCTCCAAGCTGGCGCAGGTACGTCACGCCTGTCCTCCAGGTGGACGACAATCGAACGTCTGGCAACATCCGGCGGTTCAAAGACGTTTTCTGATGCTGTTGCAGGACGACCTTCACATCGTGGACTCCGTGAACATCTCCAGCCCCGACCCCCAGGACCTGCTGCACCTCATCAGAGAGAAGCTGTGGGGAGAGTCGGTGCTGATCGTCGACGTGTGAGTGTCACCAGCAGTCAAACCAAACTCCGCCCGTGGGGTTCGCTGCGTGCTGACGTAGTTGTTCTGGTTGTTTTCAGAGGGGAGGAGTTCCCCGAAAACATCCTTCAGGCCACGGCCAGTTTAAAGACGGTGAACATCATTCCAGCGATAGGTGAGACATTCCTGAGGCTGCGCTGCTTTGTTGGGGAAAAGTCGCTCCTCCGGACCGGAGAGCGTCACTTTCTCTCCTACGTTTCACCAAACATCCCAACATGTGGTCATTTAGTGCGAATAATATGACCAGCAGCCATGATTTAGGACCCAATATGTTAAGTTTGTTGCCATAAAACCGTCTCTCTCTGCACCAGGACTGAACGTGCACAGCATGCTGAAGCACGAGGCCGTCGTCCTCACTCTGGAAAGCGTCCGGTTCCTGGAGGAGAAGCTGCTTTGGCACGACCAGCGCTACACCCCCCTGTACCCGTACAAACTGCCCTACTCGGACCTACCGTAGAGACCCTTTATTGTGTCACGGAAAGAATCAATAAATAACACCTTTTTATAAGAAAAACAACATCGATGCAGTCACATTAAAAGTCTTTAAGAAGGCCTACGGCTGGAATCTGAATGTGTGGGGGAGGAGTCCGCTGGCGAGGGCGTTCCTGAGCTCCCATCGGAGGGCGGAGCGCTTCTTCTCCGTCGGCACCACGTAGGAGTTCGGCACGTAGGTCCTCCGAGGTTTGGGCTGCCGGTGGAGGAGGAGCGGTGAGGAAAAGTACTCCGAGGGATGAATGTATAATGATAAGTTACTCACTGCAGGAGGTTGGTATGCAAGTCGTTCCTAAAAAAAAATACACACAGAAGCAACTTTTAACGTTTATCACATTACTACTATAAATACTTTAATCTACATTATATCCCGTGAGAAGAGAAACATTTTCGCACCTTCAGCTCCGAGCGGAGGGACCGCCTGTCCCCGTCTCCTGGAAGCGTGAACGTTTCCCAGAGCTGCTTGTACTTGAAATACCTGCGGAAGAGAAACGATGAGTCATCGATAACCACCAGCACGAGACGCAGCCGCCGTGACTCACTTGGCCACCGGGTCCGTCTTCTTTATGGTTTGCTGACTCATCGCTGGTCGGATGACTGAAACGGGATTTTGGTCGTTGAATCAGAGCGGTTTTGTCAACGAGAGGATATTATGAGCTGGTGCTTTGTGCTTCTGCCGACTCACAGGATTTGGGTTTGGGTCGGAGGTCACCGTCGCTTCGACTTCGCGTCTGTCCCAAAAGGAGAGAAAAAGAAACCCGGTAAACAATGGAGGCATTAATCAGTGGCTGGCCCCGCCCCCCTGAGACGAGGCCCCTCCCCCCCCCAAGAGACCAGTTACCCACCAGGCCCCCGATGTAGGACTCCAAGGCGCTGAAGGAGACCTGGTCCGTCTCAGAGCTCTGACCCGAGGAGGACAGCTGGAGACCAGCCAGCCGCTCCTCCAGACCGCTCGCTGCTTTGAACACAAACAACAACAAGTTGTTGACGTTTGATTCTTTGTGTTGATGATCACATAATATACGAAGACTGATTCCCCTTTTCAACAAGCAGCACGGAGTTATTTAGACGTACTGTAGTATTTGTTTTAAATACGTCACTTTTAACACACTATGACATGTAGGATTATTTATCTAAATACTATGTTTCATATACTGGACTTTTTTCAATGTTGATACACTAAAACTTAAGTAGAATATTTTTCAGTCTCTGATATGATGGACACACAAACATCGGGGGGGTTTAAGGAAAGGAAACACGTTGAGATGACGGTTATGAGCCGTTTACTCTTCTTCTGTCGGAGGTTTCCGTCCCACTCGGAGTGTCTGACGTCCACTTTGGAGTCGATAAACTTGATGTCTTTGTTGCTTGAGGACTCCGCTTCGTCCTCAGTGTCTCCGCTTTTAGTTTCCTGTTGCTTTCCCTCTTCATCACCGCTCCCGCCTTCAGAATTCTTCGCGCCCACTTTGTCTTCAGCAGCACAGACTTGTTGTCCCGTCTCAGGCTTTGCACGCGGCCCTTTGTCTCCTCCTGGTCCCACCGTGTCCACCTCTCCGTGCGGACCACGTGGCTCCGAGGGGCCGAGGTCGAACCAGCCCAGCGAGCGGTCATCCTCTTCCTCTTCGTCGTCCCTCGTCTCGGACGGGTCTCCGCGACTGTCGTGGTCGAAGCCCGCGATGGTGCGGTCGTCCCGGTCGTCTCCTCCGTCCAGCTCCTCCGGTTGGAAGGTGCCGTAGCCGGAGGTCATCAGACTCTGAGCGGGACTATCATCTTCTTCATCTTCATCATCCTCCCCATGTCCGCCTCCCGATCCCTCCTGACTGATGGTGACCTGGTGGTTCACTGCAGGCTTTTCCTCACGAGGACGAGAGTCCTCCTCCTCCTGAGGAGAGTCTTCTTCACCCGCAGGTCCAGGTGTGGACTCCTTCTCGCAGATAAATCGCTCAATCTCCTCCTCTGGATCCTCGCAGTAGGAGTCCTCTGAACCGCTGAGTGGGTTGGAGTCGTCTTCCTGCTCTGAATCCTCCTGGAGAGAGTCTCCTGCTCCGCCAACAGGTGTGGACTCCTCCTCCTCCTCCTCCTCCTCCTGGAGAGAATCTTCTGAGTAGCTGAAGGATTCAGAGTCCTTTTCCTCCGAAGGCTCCTGGAGCGAGTCCTCTGCATCCCCAAAAGGTTTGGACTCGTCCTCCAACATGCTGACAGGTTCGCGCTCTTCCTCGCCAACCACCTGCGCAGTCTCCTCTTCCTCCTCCTCCTCTCGTCGGTCTCCATCGGACCAAAAGGAGGAGCAGAGAGAGTTCTGGTCGTCGTTGTACTCTGGAGGTCGGTACGCGTTGTGCGTTTTGTGCATGTTGCCGCTGAGGTGTGAATCTGTGGAGGCAGGAGGCTCAGGGAGCTAAGAGGATTACGGCGACATCCAGGATCCAGATCCTCCTCCTGCAGAAGAATGTGCAGCTCCCCCCGGTGGTGACCAACGGGATTACACAGCCGCTTGTGTGGTTTGTCTACAGAGCGCATGAGTAACTCAACTTTTAATTTGTTCTATTTTGACCTATTTTATATTTGGTCCAGTAGTTGAATAAAATAATAAATATTTCTAAATTATTTGTTAACTGTGAAGCACTTTGTTCTGGAAGCAACAATACAAAAAATAGATAAATTACCTTCCTCGCTGTAGACGGATTCATCGCAGACGAGTGATCGTCCTTCATGTTTCCTACAGGTGGAAAAAGAGCACAAGTGTTGTTATATTTCCAGCCTGATATAAAAGTACAAACTACAGGGCGAGCAGTGAGAGACTCTTCTGCAGTCAGTGAAAAAAAACTAAAATCTACGTCTTTATTCAATGTTTCACACGTCCTCGGTTTGTGTAAAACGATGCAGCAAATATTCAAAACCATGACAAATTAAATTGAACTTTAAACAGTGGGAATGAAAAGGAACCAGAATCACCTGAGGACTTTTCTCTTGATGTAGCGTCCCCTGTGGGAGTCGGGGGTGGAGGCGTAGCTGTCAGTTAGCGCCGGGTGGAGGCTTTCGTCCGGGTCCGGCGGCGGCGGCGCCTCCTCCTCCACCGGCAGCCCGCGGGTCGGCCCGTAAGGCGGCCCGAGGTTCAGAACCACCGAGTGCCGAGCGTACGAGTCACAGCTGATCACCTGCGATCGAACAGAAAGGATCCGTCACCAGATACTCAGTTTGTCTTCATTCTTCTTCTGTTTGACATCAAGACAAATCTTCAATCCAGTCTGCATCGTTTCCTCAACGGGAGTAAAAATAAATGAACTATCCACATTTGAAATACAATAAATGAATGTGTTATTATTGATATCTTTAACCTTTCAGGTGTCAAACACCAGACAAAAGAAAAACGAGTGGTGCGGCGCTCCACGTACCTGTCGGTCATGCTCCACTTTTCCGGCGTGTAAGAAAAAGCCGTGACCAGAGTTCTCAAAGTAGCACGGACCAACTGTGAAGCAACGCGTGGAATTAATACGTTTTAATTGAGGACAATTACAGGACCAGAGACGTATCAGCATTTGGACGGAGGACGACCTGCGACCTCACTCCTAGAAACGCCACGTCCAACACGGCGACCTGCACCGACCTTTCTCTTTGGTGTAGGCAGGAGGACTCGGCTGAGAGGTGGCGGAGTTCATCCCAGCAGACGAGGCAAAGCTTTTCCATTCTCCACGTCGAACCAGGTCGTCCAGGTCTGACATTAAAGAGAAGAGTTCACCTAATGTCCAACGTCTGATGGGTGTTTCTGCATCTTTTAAAAATTGGACGAATTACGAGTATTCATTATTTTACATCAACATGAAGTTGGATTTGACCTTGCTTGAATTCACACAGCCGGTGTCTCGGTATGTTTTTGTATCCGAGGGCTGAAAGTTGTTCTTGAATTTCCTCTTCTGAGAAATCCAGGTTGTCCATGATCATCTTTAGGAGGAAGCAGGAAGCCCGAAGGTGAAAACAACAAAAGCACATCACTATATGTTTCACTATAAAACAGGTCTAAGGAAGATCACAATAATCTTGAGTTAGATCACAATTATTATAGTTTTATTTAGTTTGCTTTTGCTCTTAGTCTGTAAAACACAGCAGGTTTCCTTTGGTAGTTCGTGTTATATAATAAACATGCCTCACTTGTCAAACGCTAATGACATTGTTTTATCGTCTTTGACATCGAAAATGTGAATTAAATCACTAGCCGCGGTATCGGTGACGTTACTCGTTAATAATAACGTAATAAGTGACTTAAAGCTGACTTACATCAGCTGCTACTTAGCTAAATAAATTAAACTGAGGCTCTTGTTCAAGACGAATTAAGCAGTTATCTACTGAGATCTTACTCTTTTGGTTTAACAGTTCTAATTGAACAGTTAATGAGCAAGACAAAGTGACAAGCGGACGCTTTTTTAAGAGGGTACGGAAGCTAGCTAGGCTAACAGTTAGCATTCACGCTGCAGCGGACACAAACAGTGTAAAGGAACTCATTGAGGCGTTTACCTGTTTCTGCACGAGGACCGGCTCGCTGTCACGCTGAACTCATAACGACAACATCGGCGTCCTTTGATTCAGACGCCTTGATGTGTTGTTTGCAGGAAGGGAGCACAGCGCCAAGACAACGGCCGTTGAACCAACTCGGGTATCGCGCTTTGAAAACGACGCCTGCGGCCGGCGTCTTCCGCCTACTTCCGGTGCGTTTCTTCTTCGCTGTGTTTTATTAGCGGCCCTCTAGCGCCACCCGCTTGTCTGGAGTTTGCAGCAGGAGCGGTGCGGCAGTCAATTCAAATCATTTTACATCCTTTTTGCTAGTAGTTTCTGGGTTATTTTAATGCATAGTAATACATCGTTTTCTGCTAATACTTACTTCATTTTATTTTTATACATATTTATTTTTTTGTATTTCCCAGTAGCTCCTTTACTTCCTCCTCCACTGACCTTTGATGGCTGGAATCGTCTTTGATAAATGACACGTACATTCGTCCAGGGATTCAGGGATCGTTGTCGTCATGATGCAACGTGCACAACGCAAACAGTGGCCAACAAACATTACATTACAGGTCATTTAGCTGACGCTCTTATCCAAAGCGACCTGCATTACACCTCGGGGAGCAATTAGGGGTTAGGTGTCTTGCGCAGGGACACTTCGACATGGGACAGCCAGGACTCAAACCACCAACCTTGTAGTTCCCAGCGCACCCTCTCTACCCCTGCACCACCACGAACACACGACAAACAAAACTAAAACGGTATAGTTGATTCCAGTAGTTAAAGAGCAACAAAAACAGTTCTCTGCCCAAGTAATATGGCTGACATCTTCAACATTTAAAACATTGTTCTTCAGCTCTGACTGAGCAGCGAGCGTCATGACGATCCCTGGATTGTGTCCACCAGTCGAGCTGGATCCTGGATAATGACAATAAACCAGAACACGCGCCCACAACTTAACTCCTCCAGGCCTCTTGTTCTCCTCTAAACCTTGAACTCAGGTAAACCCTCGAAATCGTTCAACGTCACGGTCACTTTCAACTGACTATGAGGTCAGATTTATTATAATTTCATGGAAAAGGTAAGTACACCCCACCCTGTTTGTGTAGAGAAGCCCACCCCTTCTCCTGCTGAGCTTCTTATGAATAATCAGGACCTCCTAACGTCCTCCCCTTCCAGCAGGCGGTGGGGTTTCAGTCAGGGGGAGACTGACAGGTGGACCGTCTAATCTTCCTCGGCCGTGGGACGACCATGGCTCTCTCCAGGATCTGTCGGGAGTCTTTGCTGGTGATTTTGCTGCAAATCGTGTTGATTTGCTCGGCTCAGGTAAGAAGATATAAAAGCTCTTTATTCCTGCAGGAGCAAGTCGGTGTTTGCAGAGATTATTGTCGTAGGATTATATTTATATTGTGTACGGACAATTTAATAATATAGTATCTGAGGCTGATCATTAAGAACAAGTTTATGTTTGTGTTTCTTTTGAATGGAACTGTACATGTCGCTGTGATCCTTTTTTTTACATAAAATGTAACTAAATTAAATATTTTTGAATCATAGGGAACATTTTTAAGGACCAATATGTACTTTATTTCTGGTTTTAGTATCGGATTGTCAGGCACCACCTATGAAAATCCCTTTGTGACACGTGACTGTTTGGGTTCGTTTAAGGGGAAGAGGTTTTAACCGGCATTATTTATGAAAAGACAATGATTTCATGAAGTTGATGCAGCGTGCACACCGGGAAGCGGTGAGGTGCAGTCTGAACGCACGCCGTTGCTCGGGTGGTGTAATGGGACTATAACGGGAACCCGGGTTTAGTTTCCTCTCAACCCGCCCGAACAATGAGCGTCTGTGTGAGCCGCTCAGATGAAATCCAGTGAGAGTAAAACGCATACGTTTTTTTTTTTTTTTTTAATGCGTGTGTTTATTCTGCAGAGGGGCCCGGTCGGTCCCAGAGGCCCCCCGGGGCCCATCGGAGCAGCAGGCGTGCCCGGAGTGGACGGCATTGATGTGAGTTTCTCGAGCTGAGAATCGGGTCGGAGTTTAATCGGCTCAGCTCAGCAGGTTGGAGAGAAGGAGTTATTTTAATAAAAAAAACAGTCCTCATGTGATACGAAGAAAGATTAATGGACCTCACAAGGATTAAGGGGCTGCTGTTCGACCAAACGACAGTCAGATCATTTCAGATTAAATTCAGCACTATGAATATAAATATATACGTGTTCATAGTTTCAGGAGCTCGAGTTCCATCAATGCACCAAAAACAAAGAGTCAGTAAGTCATTTAATTCAATAATAAGTCACTCATCCAGGGATAACGGCTCAGTGGAGGATGATTTAAATGACGTACCACGTTAAATGAACCCTTAAAACCCCCAAAGGAATGTGCAGAAGGGCCCTTAATGTCCTCACGTGGACGCGCTGTCCTTCACCCTCTCTAACTTCTTCAACCACCTTCCTCCTGCAGGGCGACCGAGGAGAAGACTCCGCGGTGGACGGAGGACCGGTGAGTGGACTTCTCGCCCCTCCCTCCCCCCACCTCCCACCCCCACCTGGCCGTGTGATTGATGGCTGACTGATCTGCTCTTTGATCCGCCCGCAGGGCCCCGGCGGAGACGACGGGCGGGACGGAGCTCCGGGAGCAGCAGGCCTCCCGGCGGCGGACGTGAGTGGAGACACCAGACGGAGCACCCGTCAGCGGCGCTTTTTAAAGCGACCGGCTCCTTGGGGGCCTCGAGTGGCTTCCTGGCAGAAACAGGGCTCTTTGTGTGTGGAGGGTGGGAGGGTGGAGGGTGGGAGGAGAGCGGGCCGCGTGCTGGGAGGAGGTGGTGCAGAATGGACCCAGTGTGTCTGCCGTGGTGACGGTGCCGAGAACACATCCAGAGCTTCATGTGGAAAAGCTCACGGAGCTCCAAAACCGCTCAGTGTGGAAAGAGGTGGAGGAAGGTGCTGCACCTACGCCTACATCAGCAAGTAGATCACACTGCAAAGCTGAGAGGAGATCGTTTTGGTTTTTGGGTGGAGGAGGAGGAACATACACAGCTTCCGTTTGGCTTTTCAGGTGTTTTCTGAAGGTCACATGTGGAGGAGGCAGGAGAGGGGAGTGGCTAATAGACGGAAGGCCACGCCCCCTCCTCATATGACAGAGATGAACACGGGCAGAGGAGGTTTCATACCTCGAGAGGATCACTTCCTGCGGATGGAGACATGGTGGAGGAACCGGAGCAGTTAGAACACGTTGTGTCAAAGTGGAGTCATGAGCAGAAGATCTCCTCTACGTTCCCGCTGACCTTCACCTTCTGTCCCACTGTGCCGGCGCTTTAGTGATGGCGTCACTATTCCATCTGTGTAACGTTGGAGGTTTATGGAACAACTTTATCAGAACAATCAACGTGACAACTGTTCTAACGGGAGCAATGATTCTCTCAAGATGAAGCCTCACTGGAAAGCTTCACCACGATGCTCTGACTCAAACATTTGTTCCATCATTGGGTTTTGTTTTTAACGTTGTGTCATCTTTGTAGGGACCCGTCGGACCTCCTGGAGATCCGGGCCTGGGGGGCCCTAAAGGACAAAAAGTAACCTTATTATTGCTTTATTCTGTTGGATTTGTCTTTCCGTTATACGTATAATGTAGAATGTTCTATATTGGTCGAGTTCAGGGCTTTTGTTTCTGTCTATTTTCAGGGACAGTCGGGGCCCGTCGGCTCTCTGGGAGAGAAGGTGAGCAACAAACCACAATTACATCTGATAACTATTTTCATAATTACTTTGTGTTTAATCTTTGAAGTAATTTTCTAGACAGAAAAGGACGTTTTCAGCCTCTCAAATACGCAGACGACCTTCTTTTCTCTGCTTCACATCATATTAAACTGAATCATTGACTGAAAAAAAAATCTATTTAAAGACCACTTTGAATCGCTGATTTCTCTCCGCAGGGGGTCGGAGCCGACGGGCTGGATGTGAGTATGCACACAGTGTCTAAGCACGGCGTTGTCACGGTTACCGGTTCACCCGGATGATGCCGACACGCCCACGTTCATTTCGTCTCATGCAAACAACCGGCTGAGCAGAAACAATATTCCTAATACTTTTGAGATTTAATGTACATTTAACTGCTACTGGCCACTTGGTCTCATTTTTTAAAATCATATTTATTTTCATGAGACAAATTGGTCATTGGTTCTTAAATCTGTTACTTTCATAATGACCGAGAGTTTACAGCGGGGAGAGAAACACTGACGTAGAATAGTACTAGTAAAAGTACTCAATATAAAAATATATATTATTTTCATTTAAAAAAATAACTATTGATGGATTAAGGTAAATAAACTTAAATAAATTGAATGGCGTAAAAAGTGAAACATTTCCTCTGATTTGAAGTGAAGTAGATGTCTGTATACTATATACAAGTATTACTGCAGTAATGAGCAGGGAATACTATAGTGAGTATTAAGTAACTGCGTACTTGCATTAACATTGTTACTTCATACATATTTATTTGCACATCGTCACCGCACTGGAGATGAGCTCTATGAAAAGACGTTTGTTTAGCTCACAAGGTGTGCTTGGCCGTGTGCTCACAGGGCCTCCCCGGCACCGACGGGCTGCCAGGTGAACTCGGCAAAGTGGGACCACCTGTGAGTACACCTGTCCGATTCATATGCACGACTAAAACGAGCAATAAATAGGTTTCCAAATGTCGTTACTACTTGATTTCAATATATTTGATATGTTAACATTTTGTCTTATACATTATAATCTTTTTGTCATTTAATTTATTTTGACCAATTATTGGGATAAATATTATGTGTATTTAAATTACATTACATTACAGGTCATTTAGCAGACGCTTTTATCCAAAGCGACTTACATTACACTTTAAACCCATGGCTTTTTCACATTTTGCCCGGGGAGCAATTAGGGGTTAGGTGTCTTGCTCAGGGACACTTCGACATGGAACATGGGGCAGCCTGGACTCGAACCAACAACCTTGTGCTTCCCAGCACACCTTCTCTAACCCCTGCGCCACGACGACCCATAAATATATATTATATAGTTGTATTTGTGATTAAAGACTTTCTATAAATCTCTCACAGGGAGCAAGAGGCGGGCGAGGTCCAGTGGGTCTCCCTGGTTCTGCTGGGCCGCGGGTAAATATTATTATAATTTGACTGACGTTAAGTACTAACTCTGCAGGAGGTGAAAGGTCAAAGGTTAACCGGAGCTCATGTGAGAGTAATGTGTTTTTATTTGTTTTTTCCCAGGGTCCTCCGGGTGTGTACAAGGGCGAGGAGCTGGTGAGTTTGACCACAGACGAGATTTATTTACAACAATTTCAACAAAATGGCGTTCTGCCCCGTCAAAATAAAAGCACTTGCACAATGCTAAACATGCTACAGCTGTACTCCGCTGCTATAAACACTGAAAACATGGCTGACATGTAACCACAAAGTCAGCGAGAGTCATTTACCAAGTTTCAGGATTTAAAGTTTCAACAATATTTGTGTTGTAAAACACATTTTGAGCTTTAAACCTTTTTCTCTGAGCTCATGGAAGGGGTGGGGGGGGGCCTGGAGAGTGGCGGCCCCTAGTGGCCGGGCTCTTCCATGACCTCAAATAGGCTGTTGTGTGTTTCAGTGTCCCAACGCCTGCCCCGCCGGACTCAACGGGCATTCTGGTCTCCCCGGCATGAAAGTGAGTGAAACACATTTTATTTTGTCTGACTTTCGCTCCTCGGCAACACGGTTTCTTTCTCGCTAAACGGAACGTTGCGTTACCGCCGATGAGTTGGGGAAAAAAGACGCCAAAGATCATCTCAAAGAATGAAGTGAATCTGTAGCGAAACGAGTGGGTGGAACATTTCGCTCTTTGCATGTGATGAATGGTGCATAACAACTTCTACAATACGGCTTCCTGTCTGTCTGCCTTCAGGGCCACAAAGGGGTCAAAGGTGAATCCGGTGAGCCTGGAAGACAAGGACACAAGGTAACACGCGCCCCCCCCCCCCCAACCCTCGCTGCCTCTATGATCCGCCCCGGGACACATTGTTGTCCAGTGAGACGTAAAGGGCAGCGGATGGAAACAATAAGCGAGCTTCTCTTTCAGGGGGAGGAAGGCGAACAAGGACCGACGGGGGAAGTCGGCGCTCAGGGACCACCGGTGAAATATTCCTTCCGTTTTCTCTAACGACGCTTCACAACGAGACGAACGTACCGAACACGCGGCTTTTCTCTCTCTTCTCCTTCCGTCCGCCCGAACGGTTTTAGGGCCAAGGCGGAACGAGAGGCCTCCAGGGAATCAGCGGCGCCAAAGGCGACAGGGTAAGAGCGTCCGAACGCGCCGACGCAAAGACGCAAAGACGTCAGGCGACACGCAAGAAGAGACTGAGCTCCAGGCTTCTTACAGAAGGAATAAAGAGCACGCACAAAAACACACGTCACACTACCAATTATCCAATTGGGACCTGACACGCACCAAAAACATTTCAAAATAAAAGCTCATTACGAAATGCATTCAACGTGAGTCACATAAGTGGCCTGAAGGTCTGTTTTTAGCTATTTTCTCATTTAGTTTGTGCCATATTCCTCATCATCGTGCTTTGCTCAGTACATTAAATCCCCTCAAACCGGGACGGTCAGTGTTGATCAAAGGATTAATCGATAGATCAACAAATTGGCTTTTCCTGACGAAATGCTTCCGTTTCTGCGATCAGGGAGCTCGTGGACAACCAGGTGACGGAGGTCCTCGCGGGATCCAGGGGGCCCCAGTGAGTCTTTGGTTTCACCCCCCCCCCGCTTGTTATTAAACATTAAAAAATGATAAAACCCCAAACTGATGACACGTTTCAGGGCGACCGGGGTCAAAGAGGAGTCGTCGGGGAGCTCGGACCGGCGGGAGTTCAGGTGAGATCTTAAATCCCCCCCGAAAAACACCTGCGAAACCGCTGTGAAGAAACTAATCATCCGCCAAGTTTCCTGCGGTGAACACGATATGCTTCCGCCTGTGTTTCGGGTTTTTAGGGGGATTCCGGTCCGTCGGGGATCAGAGGAGTGCCGGGGCCGAAGGGAGAGCCTGTGAGCGCCGCTTCATCTCCTCACTTTTCCTGCATAATTCCCACAATGCAACCCGGTGGACGCCGTTGATCCAGCGGCTGCTGTTTTAAGCCCGATGGAGTTGTGGCTCTTTAGTTCCGGCCGCTCCCTTCATTTGAACAGATAATTATCTTGTATAAATATATATATATATATATATATAAATAATTATCCACGTAAACCTGTCATCCTTCTGGTCCTCAGGGCCTCGCCGGACCAGACGGCCGTGAGGGGATACCTGGTCTGCCCGGGTCCAAGGTATCTAGTGTCCGTACGCACCAGTGTTCTGTCAGGCAGAAAGAAGGTCGTCTGAATGTTTGTTCCGGTTGTTTCTTCAGGGTCTCACTGCGAAAAATGGGGCTCCGGGTGGCGCTGGCCCACAGGGGCTTCCTGTGAGTGTGACCTTTGACCCAGAAGCATGCCCTGATTCTTCATCCACAGAGTGAGCGATTGTTTGACGCTTTGGTTTCCCCGTCTTCATGCAGGGTTTGCCGGGCGCGTGGGGCCAGAAGGGAGTCAGTGGCGCAGCGGTATGATCCGATATCGTCACTGACAGCGTCATCAGTTCTAGATGAAGCTTCTTCACGGTGAAATAAACCGCTGCATTTCCCCCCTTTTTGTCACCAGGGTACCCCGGGCGATCCCGGTGCTGTTGGGGAGATGGGGTCTCCAGGGAAACAAGTAGGCGTAAAGCGGGTCCACACACACACATTTGATTTAGAACAAAAGCTTCAGTGTAACTTTGTGAAAACCACACGATTTAAAAGCAGCACCGACGCGTGTTTTTGTTTGTTTGTGATCTCGTCCTGCGGTTTATCTGCTTGCAGGGCGAGCGAGGCGAGCAGGGAGAGGTGGGACCGGCCGGAGCTCGAGGAGGACCAGTGAGTCATCTTCAGTTCAGCGTCGCTGCACCATCACACACTCACGCCCGTCCCGTCCCGTCCCGTCCCGTCCCGTCCCGTCCCGGCGGCATTTGTAGATCGCGTGACGCGTAAAGTCCGGTTGAAGCAGGTCAAAAGGAACATGATTCATGTTTCCTTGAGGGTTATTGACGTGATTTATCCTTCGTCTCCTGGAGGAGAAGTAAACCTGACTTGAGCGTGGATCCACCACATCAATGTGAAGCCTAAATGATGCCTTTCGCATCATTTAATATGACACATTGCAAAAAAATAAGTAATTCAGATGACTTAAATTCAGTTGCTAAAGCCGATGTAAAGGATGAAAGCTAAAAAACTAACACGCCTCAACGTGGTAAAACAACATTAAACCATGACAGAGAAACTAGAACTAAGCTTCTTGTAACTTGCAGCTCAAATTTATAATACGGATTTTTTTTTTAAAGTACATTTATTTTTCAATTTTCAAGAAAAACGTTGATTTGTTTTCATTTGTGATTTGACATGTATGCATCTATTCGTGTTTTCTCTCCACATTAAAATGTCCTTTTCCTCTGGTTCAGGGCGCACGAGGAGAGCGAGGGCCCGACGGGCCCCTGGGATCACCAGGACCCCGGGTGAGACCTCATAGCGCCTGTGCAGAATCATTGTTCTTACACACCTGACTGACGCAGTGTGAGTGGGTTATGGTTAGGTACAGAATGGTTATGGTTAGGTACAGAATGGTTATGGTTATGGTTAGGTACAAAATATAAGTATAGAATACAGAATGCGGGTCAAACCACAACTGGCATTGGTGAGTCTTTAAATTTTGAAGGTTAAAGTTCAAGTTCAATCTCAAGACAGTGGTGTTAGACAGTAGGAGCCAATCACAGCGCAGTGGGGCGGGACCAGGCGGAAAACACAACAGCAATTCATAAAAATACATAATAATTATTAATTTAATGCTAATTTAATTTAAGGTCAAAGGTTAACCGGAGTAATTTAATGTCCATCAGATTTACATTAAAACCCTCCCACCCACACCCCATAACACAAAATATTTAAAAAAAAACCTTGTAAATCATGTCAGACTTTCCCTTAATCAACTCACAAGAATTACTTCTTAATTCTAATCTCATCATCATTACAAAACAATTCCATGTTTGGCTGGTAACAGTTAAATAGATTAGTTTCTGTATCCTGACATTTACTGGAGAATCTTCAGGAGAGATAAAACCCACAACCTGATATCTGGCTTCATCCAGCAAATCATCAACACAGGTGCACACTATATAAGTACTGTTTATACATTCAAAGTTAAATAAAAATTAAGAATAATAACTTTGACCCTAATCAAGAGCGTAGAAAAGTGCCAAAAAAGGGGTGTGGTCCTTGTACAGAACCCTGGGGCACTCCAAACATTAGTTATAAGTCAAGCAAAAAAAAAGTTTTTCAAGTCGAGACGAGCTCATTGATTCACCAGCTGTAATGGACTGGTTTCTAATCACACACATACATTTTAGGACAATTGAGTTATTTGGAAGGAAGAACGCTCTTTCTCTGTGTTTCATATGTATGAATGCCATAAATGAGATATAGATTAAAGATATTGTTTTCATTGTAAAGATAAATGTAGGAACAACATTGCTATTTTGGAGGCACTACTTAAACCGGAGGGGAAAACAACAGGATTACAGTAATACTGTTAAAGATTAGACCGTGTACGGATTGTCAAGCAGATATAAAAACATGTATATATATTATATTCTATATTAGGATAAAGCTCAAGCTCAAAACATCATAATCTGCCGAACCTTCCTGCTCAAAACCTCGGCTCTATTTCAAACTAAGAGGTCAGGACGGCGAAACACAAGACGAGCAGCCGGTGTCCATAAATACTGAACGTAATACTCCGTCGCTCGCCAAGAGAAACCTGGTATCTGGGAGCTGAGGCGTCTGCTGAAGACTGGCAGGTCTTTTATGAACTTCTGTGGCTGTGGTCATGTCTCTAATCCGCCGCGATCGGGCATGAATGGCCTCTTGTTGCACAAATCCGATGGCCAAAGGGGTTTTTCTTCATTTCGGGGGTGGGGGGGGTCATAGCAGAAAAAGAAGTCGAGAAGCCCTGAAAGAACTCTCTGTTCCACAGGAATGCCTGAAACCCGTTGGCCCACTGTACTCCAGTCCTAGGGGGGGTTCTGGGGTGGGGGGGTGGGGGTCCTTCCAGTCCAGCCTCACAGATCAGATGATGATGTGAAGCTGGGTATGTTTATATTTTTACTGCGGATGTGCTCAGGTTAAGGGGGGGGGGGGATGTTTCCCTTCACACAGTCGGCCTTGTGTTGTGAATCTGAGTGTGTGTCTTTGATTATTTGTGTGTGTGCATATTTTAACAGGGAATCAAAGGGAACCCAGGCCTTCCCGGGCTTCCTGGCCCTGCTGGTTACCGTGGTGAGAAGGGCGACAGGGTGAGAGACAGAAAATAACGCATCATGAACACAAAGATGAACCCCAAAGAATCAGGAGCCAGTCGGCGTTTCGTCAGCACACTGAGGTTGCTGTCGAACGTACTCGGGCTCACGCTGTGACAGCTCCCAGATCAGATCAAGCTGTGATAGCAACCTGTCAATCACAGTAGCCCCGCCCTACAGCATCCTCTGCTTTATGGCCTATTTGACTCTAAATGGACCATAATTTACTAAACAAACATCCTGCTTCCGTTGAGAAGACGTGAAACTAGAGACTGAGACCATAAACTCGGGTTTACAATGTTTACTGAGGGAATAAATCAAGAGTGGAGTCATTTTCTCATAGACCTTGTATGGGACCAGAGGAGTCGCCCCCTGCTGGTCACTACAGAGAAGTAGAGTCATTTCCTCATAGACGTCTATGGGAGCAGAGGAGTCGCCCCCTGCTGGTCACTACAGAGAAGTAGAGTCATTTCCTCATAGACGTCTATGGGAGCAGAGGAGTCGCCCCCTGCTGGTCACTACAGAGAAGTGGAGTCATTTCCTCATAGACGTCTATGGGAGCAGAGGAGTCGCCCCCTGCTGGTCACTACAGAGAAGTAGAGTCATTTCCTCATAGACGTCTATGGGAGCAGAGGAGTCGCCCCCTGCTGGTCACTGCAGAGAAGTAGAGTCATTTCCTCATAGACGTCTATGGGAGCAGAGGAGTCGCCCCCTGCTGGTCACTGCAGAGAAGTAGAGTCATTTCCTCATAGACGTCTATGGGAGCAGAGGAGTCGCCCCCTGCTGGTCACTACAGAGAAGTAGAGTCATTTCCTCATAGACGTCTATGGGAGCAGAGGAGTCGCCCCCTGCTGGTCACTACAAAGAAGTAGAGTCATTTCCTCATAGACGTCTATGGGAGCAGAGGAGTCGCCCCCTGCTGGTCACTGCAGAGAATGCAGCTTTTAAGACAGCAAAATTTCTGAACACTTACAATGAACATGCTAATGCTGAAACAAAAGAGCACCATACTTACAATAGTAAGATCCATATTTAATCAGCAACCGAGGTCAGGAAAAAAATACCAATATTTAACATGTGAAAAGGCTGTAGGGTTTCATATTTTATTACTAAGAACAGATGCCATTGGAGAACATTGAGTCGTATGAGATGCTCAGATCCTTTTCTTATTCCTCAGGGGGCCGTCGGTCTCGATGGTCCAAAAGGAGACCAGGTACGTCTCACAGGTTGCAGATAACACGCGTGCAACCGAATCTTAGATCACACAGTGTTTAGCTGCAGCACATGAAATGGATGAAAATACTCTGCGATGCATTTTTAATTTCAGGGATCTGCAGGTGCTGAAGGAACAGCGGGAGATGCTGGAGAACTGGTGAGCGATCGGCGACTGAAACAAATTGTTTTCTTGCATTCATTGCGATTTGTTTGTTGAGGGAGAAATAAAAACACGTACTACAATGTAGTGGAAGTAAAAGCATTGTACTGTGAGATATGTATGAACATATAATCCTCCCTTCTACTTTAACAGCTGCTACGAACGTCAGGATCAACTTAGTGGATTTATGACGGCGTGTTTTCTCTTTCAGGGGGATCAAGGAGAACTGGGGGAGAAAGGATCGGTACGTAAAGGAGATGCTCATTTGTTCTTGCGTTGTTGTTTACATCCTGCATGAGGGTAAAGAGCTTAATCTGTGGCTTTACTGCAGTTTGACCTTTATTGTGAAGCAGTGACGTTTTGAGCCTACCATGAAAAGCTTCTTTCGAACCACGGTAGCTCCTCCCTGCTTAAAGCCCCGCCCCCATCGTGAGTTTGCAATCACCTGCTGGTGTTGATTACAGACCGGCCCCCCGGGGCAGACGGGGAACAAAGGATCCGAGGGCGGCAGAGGGCAGCAGGGCAAGGAGGGCAAGCCGGGCCAGCGGGGGCCTCGTGGCATGCAGGGCGACCCGGGGGTACCGGGCCTGCCGGGGGGGCAGGGCCCAGCGGTGAGATGGCTTTTTATCTCCAGAATGTTTGTGTATTGGATCATTCCGGGTATTCGTCAATTAAAGTCAACAAATGGGTCCTCGTTGACAGCAACATTTTGTTTTTGTTCAGGGAAAATCTCCGACAGACACACACATCAAACAGGTCTGCATGCGGGTGATGCAAGGTAAGCGTGTACTTCTTTCCCACCCGTCAACAAGTTGATATATAATATATGTTTGGATGTTATCAGACGGAGTATTGTTCCATATTCAACAAGATATATACACACAATTGACCTTTTGCATTGATCAACATGACAACATAATAGATACACGCAGAACGTTGGGTAAGACCCACTTCTACTGGAACGGCCCAAACAGCCGCTGATAGAGCTTCTGAATACGAACCTGCGACGTGTCCTGCTGTGTCACAGAGCAGCTGGCCCAGCTGGCGGCGAGCCTGACCAGGCCCGAGTCCGGCATCTCCGGCATCCCCGGCCCCCCCGGCCCTCCCGGAGCCCCGGGCCCCAACGGGGAGAACGGCTTCCCCGGACACACCGGCTCTCGAGGACTGCCCGGTCTGAAGGGTCCGGCTGGGCTCATAGGGCGCAAAGGACCCAAAGGTGGGTTTTCACGTGGCGTGGTCATGTGACTTCAAGGTTACGCTTTCTGTTTCTGCCTGGGGGGAAATGAAGTTAAGATTCTCAAACTCTTTGGAGGACCAGTAACACTTTCCAAGACGGCACCAGGCGGCAACCTTTGGTTGTGCCAGGTCAACGCGATAGTGTCCAAAAAGCTGCATTCTCTCTAAGGTCCACCAGGGGGCGACTCCTCTGCTCCCATAGACGTCAATGAGGAAAAAGACTCAATACGACTTCACAACAACTACGGCCACTCCTCTTTACAGAGTATGATCGTAACACCAAGTAAATATACGCCATCTCTCTTCGGTGTCTTTGGACATTTTGGATTCTAAAGACTCAAAGCAGAACGTCTGGGCAGCAGCGCCTGCTGACCTCGAGTTCATCACATGAAAACTCCCTTTTGAACTCCGCGCATTAGAGTTGGTTCTGGGAAAAGATTTGATTGGTGCATCTGCAGGAGGAATCGTCCGCGTTCATCTGGTCCCCTCTGAAGGGATCCCTTGTTCGTTGTTCATTCGGTCTCCCGGGTTCTTATTTATATCCTGTTCTGACCCACTTCGATCCGGTTCATCTCCGTGTCAGCGAGGGAACGGATGAGCTCTGAAGACTGACCCTGAACTCTCGGTTAAATCCGGCAAATTCAATTATGCGCGTCCTCTGTGCAGGTGACCAGGGCGACCGAGGGGACAGAGGACCCACAGAGAGAGGGTCCAAAGGGGCGCCGGGGGCCCCGGGTCTACCAGGCAAGTGATGATGACTAAGGAATGTGATTTTAGAACACGTGCCCTCGATGTCTGGTGCACCGGAGAACTATTCAACCGAGGCGAAGGACCTTAATAATTCTAAAAAAGTAATGTCGTAAAAATATATGAGAAATGAATTAAGCGTGTGATGATAACACATCATTTATTATAATTCCTTGAAGTCAGGCGTACATTGATAAATGAATAAACTTGGATTTTCTACGCCGACCTCCTTCTGCTCCTCTCAGGTGAACCCGGCCGAGCGGCTTACGGCACGGACGGGCGCGACGGGGAGAGGGGCCCCCGCGGCGTTCCCGGTGTACCGGGAGTTCCCGGGCCCCCCGGCACTGCCGGCGCCACCGGTTACTGCGAGTCGTCCCAGTGCGTCGCGCCCATGGTGGCGTCGCCGATGTCCAGCATGAAGGGCCCCAATGAGATGTGAGGAGGAACCGGGGTGGGTGGGGGGGACATTTGTCTTTTTATTTCTGTGAGCTCATTTGGAAGAAGCCCTTCGGTTCCCTTGAAGCCAGGCGGTTTGGTTACGAGCTGAAGGTGGACACTGAGAAGCCAAATCCAGCTCTTGAAAAGGCCTCAATTTGCCCTTTTGACGCCGTCTGTCGTGCGCGGAGAAGAACGTTTCGACCCGAGCAGCAGCGAGTCTGAACCTTGTTCTGTGCGTTTATGTAAATGTGTCAATACACAGATGATACAGCTGGAACGCACGTGTTGTTTGAGCATCTGTCCACTTTAATCTGTCCGCTTATGTTTGATATTTGTTGTCATGACTGTAGTTTATATGAAAACCTGGCAGTTTTATGACCTATTTATTATATCACAGTTCAAGGCGACATCGATTTGTACAAAGGAGGAAATAAACACGTTTTGATAACCTCTGGCATGTTTTGTATCGACAAAAACATTGAATAGTTTATCACGTTGTGCATAAATAAAATCCTATTTAGAGAACGAGACCAAAAACCAAAGTATTTATTTCAAGTCCAACTAAAGCACCAAAGACGTTTAATGCAATGAGGGTTTTCTTAACTCAAGACTATACTGAGGACAACATGATTAAAGATTGAACATAAGATGGCTCCTATGAAATAAATATTATTGCCTTACACGTGTAATAATTGAATACAACAGAAATGACATTTGATTCTCTCAGGACGATGAAATAAAGAACTAACTTAATGTTCAATAGACGAGTACATTCTAACTTCAGACCTCCGATCGGTGCCTTTAGTTGATTGTGCGAGCCGTCATTTATATTCTGTTATTACAACAAAGACTCGATTCAACTGGAGGACAAGAAGTGAACCAAATGCAAACTCCATCCGTAAAGTGAAGCTGCTGCAGAGTTTGAGTAAGAACCACGAGCCATCAGCACGGATCTGCCCATCAGGGAATCATTTAATGAACTCACAGGTTGGTGAACAGGTACAACGTTGTCGCTCACGGTACTAAATCACACATCCATTGATAGTATAAATAGCCAACCTAATAATAATAACACATTTCCAAATACATAAAATCATCAAGTATCCAAGTCTTAAGTTACGGACGTCAAATAAAAAGAGATACAAAATATCGCAGACGTTGGAAGTCCAGTTTGAAGCAAAATAAAATCTGAAAAAAAAAAAAACCTGAAATTAAAAAAATTAAATAGAAAAACTAAATCACATTGTGGATATGGCAGTTAATTAGTAAACAGAAGGTTTGATAGAGAAAAGAAATAAAATTCCTAGACTTTCAATTGACAAATATTGCAACACTTAAGCATTGTATATTAAAAATAGTTACTGAAAGTGAGACTTCCTGCACAAGACAAAGGCAACGATTTCTAGGTTTTTTTGTTCCGTTGTTTTTTTTTTTTTTTGCTCTGAGTAGAAAAATGAAAACACCTTTTTTCAAATGCCGGCGGGCGGTTAGACTCCGCCCCCTCGGCCTCCGTCTCACTCCGATTGTAAGGCATTAACGGATGAACCATCTATTTGAAGGAAGGCATTCCTCTTTCTCGTCAGTCTGGAAAACGGGACCGGAAGAAAATTGAGCGGGACACGAATTAGCCGACGTCTTTTAGGACGTTCTCAGGGTTCGTAAACGAGGAAAACGTTTCATCCAGCAGTTAAAACGATGACACGCGCTGCCCCTCTTAGCGGGTTTATGAGGAGGAGAAAATATGGGGCTTCCAGATTACATGACTCAATTTACTTTAATAAAGGGGGGGGGGGAGGGGGTCAGTTTGACTTACCGCGAACATGGTTTACCAAAATAAAATACTTCAACACAACGACTATGAAAACAAGCCTGCCAGGCAGCAAGCAGGCATGGTTAAAATGGAAGGGGGGGGTTGGCTCTACTGGATGCAGCAGGTATTGCGATGGCCGTTGGAATCTTTGAAGCGCAGGCGCATCTTTGGACGATATTTCTCCAGGTAGAACAGCTGCTTGCTGTTGAACGCTCCGCGGCGCTTCCTGCAGGAGGATCAGGGCGACACACACACGCGTAAACAGTACAAACACACAGGCGCCGCCTCACACGCAGTTATTGAATATCTGTGCAGCGCTGGAAGATAAACAGTCCAAAGATACAAAAGATTTTGCAGCGTTAGTGTAGCTTAAATAATTCAGTTTTATCCACCCCGTCTTATCTGCTGAAGGTGGAAATTCCCCAATAACCTCGTGATAAAAGGTCGTTCTGCGGGCAAATCATCGGCTTAAAGAAGGTCCAGTCTTTTCTTGAAGAATCACGAGACCAAATCAGCTTCTCAAATAAAACAACATTCTTCTAAACTAACGTCCCGTTTACAAATAGTAAATAAAGGTGTATATCATTCATGTACGACTGCACGTAAACCATTATTACTGGAATGTTGCTTTTTAGTAGCCAAGTTAGAATAAAAGGAAAAAATTAAGGCGGTGAAGTTATCGAATATTCACCACAGAATCACCGACTATTCAATTTGATCCTAATATCTATGAAGGGTTATCGATCTAATTAATGCTTCGTACTGATTAACAACACTCGGGAGGTGGAGCCTGAAATGAGCTGCTGTATTATTCACAATCCTCGTATAGGTTTTATCGTCACTATGCATATTTTAAAAAGGTGACAAACTAACGTAAACAGTCTTTGTTAGAAGTCTCACTTACTGTCGTATGAACTGGACAGCGTCTTCATATTTCATCCCACATTCGATCAGGGCGAGCGCGACCAGAACCGGGGCTCTGCGGGGGGGGACAGACCCACTTACTATTGATTATATTCTCATGTTCAGTCGAAAGCGATGACGGTTAGTTAGTGGTGGAACCGACCAGAGCTGATTTATGACAGATATTCACATTAACCATTAGTGTGAAATTACGTTTGATTGGCGACCGTTAAATAAAATGCGATCAGGAGCATTTATTGGATCTCTGAGAACAAACAGTCAGGGTTGAAGCTGAAAGCAGAACAACGGTGGAGTTCAGTTACATTGTCAGAAGTTCCTCAGTGATCACATGACAAACAGGCGTCAGACGGCTCACCTGCCCAGACCGGCCACACAGTGCACCGCCACGCAGCAGCCCGGCTCCTCCCTGAACTTCAGCTTCAGCAGGTTCAGCCAATCGTCCACGATCTGGTTGGAGGGAGGAGCTCCGTCATCGAACGGCCAATCCTGGAAGAGAAAGAGAGTGGGGGCGGGGGGGACTATGTCATCGGCCCAGTCTCTTGGAAAACCAAAACAAAGGAGGTGAGAGGGCTGAACCGGCTGCAGGCGGAAGGGAAATGTTGTGGTAGGGGGAGGGGCGGCCGGGTTGTCTGCCCATCAGCGTCCCTGCTGACATTGTGTGGATTTCATTTAGTGGTTACACCGCTCGTTTAAAAAGAAGCTGTTTTGATGATCGGTTCATTAGATCATTCGCTTCAATCATTAAGAAAGAAAAGCTCCTCATGTCCTTCGTCTGATCATCTCTGAAATCAATATCGGTTGGTTATAAAAATGTTAGAGCGATGTGAACCGTGCAGCTATTACGATGAACCCCCCCACAAACGACTCACTTAGCAGTGCAATGCTAATGTGAAGAACCCGATTGCTAACAGCTAGCGATTTGTGCTAACAGGCTACTTCAGGGTGAAAGTTGCTGAGGTCAGAACTTTCTCTGATGAAACGTCTCCAGTCTCCTCCTCTTGAGCGCGCTGTACCCAGCATGCCTTTCAGCGGTGCAACAGGTGATATTTAAAAGTCCAAAACTTGGTGCATCGACGCTAACAAACAGCTGTCGGCCAGAACTCACCAGGACTTGGATCCCTTCTTTCACCACCAGAGTGGCGTCATAAGTGGCCTCACAAACTCGCACGACGGTGGTCACTCCGTACTTCTTCAGCTCCTGTGAAGACGCATCATGGGATCCGTTAGAAAGCTCAATCTCAAGCAACACGCATGTTCACAAACAATACTGATTCACTTAAGTCTCAAATGTGTCTTGCTAACGGAAGCTTATTTCATTATGAAACAATATTCTAAACAATTGCCACCACGTTATCTTTAAAGATTCCTGTAATGTGACCATTCAGTACAGTTCTACTACTTTTAAAAACACAAACTAAACGTCCCCCATGAACCCGATTAAGCAGTTTAAGTTTGACCTTCGACCGACGGCGCTGAGGCTCACCTCGATGAACTTGTTCAGGGTGGCGTTGGTGGGATTGTGGGTAATGAGGAACCTCATGTTTTTGTAGGTGATCTCCACAGGGGCCGGTCTGTTCATACGAGCCATTGTGACAACGTAAAAAAGGAAACGAAACCCAAAAGGTCCTCCGCAGAGTAAAAACACTAATGTCAAAACAGAAACGTCCAACGAGCTTTTAGAAACCCAGGAAACAAAAATCCTCCCGTCTTTTTTGAGGTTGGCTTAAAAAAAAGGGGGGGGGGAAATGAAGGGTGCAACGGGCCAATGTGAAAACGTAGGTAGTTGAAGGTTGAAAGAAAGGGAAAATAACTCAAAACCCTCTCCTTGGGAATAAAAGAAAAGAAAGGAAAAGGGGGGCTGGTTCCACCTCGACTCGGGCCAGGCGGAGAGCCGACGAGGGCAGTGTGCAGCGGGTGAAGTTACCCCATCCAGGCCGAGTTGTCGCTGGTTGTGGGAGGCGTCCCGGTCCTGCCAACTAGCCGGGGTCCCCGCTGTGGCTCAAGTGCGCGGGATGGATGGCGGGTTCGGCCGTTCACTCGTCTGCATAGGCAGCGTGCTGAGCCTGGCAGTAGTCCCCACTGCCCTTCAGAAACTCCATAAATGTGCGACCCAGAACACCACAGAACTGCTGCAGGAGACGGAGGGGGGAGGATTTAGGGTACAAAGCGGACTCAGGGGAACAGTGGACATCAGCGGAGGGGTTTTTTGGGCTCTTGGTTGTGGTTTGGCTTTCTGCTAACTAGTCGTGTGAGAATCCGTGGTCGGCGAGGTGCGTGTGCAGGGACGGAAAATGACTTAATTTAGGTCCTACGGTTACATTCGAGTTGAAAAACTAAACAAAGTGGTGGTTTTCCTTTTTCTTTAATTAGTCAGTGATATTATTACACATTTTTTAAAATAACGATTGTATCGGCAACAAAAAATACAAATTTCACCCATGATGGCGAAACGGCATTTTAAAATAAAATCATCAAAATGATTAAAAGCAAACACTGCGTTACTTTGTGATGTAATGAGCCATCAAACAATGAAGCAATCATAATAAACTGCATACAAAACCTCTTCATCAACAACTGCTCGACTGAAAAACAGACGGAGACGTGGGTTCGATTCCCACCCTGGACAGGTTGGTTTTTGGGGTTAAAAAAAAAAAAAGACTTCCAGCAGAATATGAAGGAGGAATAGAGATAAAAACATAAAGAGCCGCTTACGTAAAGTGGCACTGCGGCGCGGGCGCGTCTTACCTAACGGCTGCTGGCGTGTAACGGGGAGGATGTGTCACATCTGACATAACCGAGGCCTCCGGCTTCCACGCGCACGCCCCGTGTTGTGATCCCGCTCACCGAGCACCGACTCGCCGCCCGCACGCACCTTCGGAGCCCGCATCTGCGTGACCGCCGAGCGGGACGCGGGCGTCCGTCGTGTCCCCGCGGCACATAACAGAACACGCGCTAAGCGGCTCGCGGCCGCTTCGTGCTAATCCGGTATTTTCCGGCCTCCGGCATTTTTCGCGTGCGGGTAATAATTGCTCGGAGGACAAAGAAAGTTCCAAAATGACGGCGAGGGAGTTTTTTTTTTTTTTAAGAGAACGGCGAAGGAGACGAGACGCGTCAGAGCGGTGGTTTGGACGGAGGACGCCGTGACGCGGCGGCGGCGCGTCCTTTGTGTGAGGGGGGGACACCGGGCACCGGACGCCATCGTCCCCCCCCGGTAGAGGCCCCGAAGCACTCGACGGTAAAAAACTGCTCCACGGCAACCAAACGCGACGGCTCGTGTCACGCAGTCCCGAGTGGCACGCGGCAGAGAGGGCGACATTTAGTTTGTACGCCCGTGACTCGGGGAGCGGGGGGGGGAAGGGCGTCCATTTTATCCGTTAGGAAGTTCCGAGCTGCGCATCCCGACGGCCGCTTCCTTCCCCGGCGACGAACACCGCACCACCCGTGGATAACGAGCCCAACGCTCACCGGGGGGCGGTTAATGGCAACGGCTAGAGGGATATCAACAAGTTAACGCAGGAGTCTGCGAGCTCTTTAACGCTTTTTCTTTGCCGTTGTGTCGAGCAGGCCGTGATTTTAACGGGGAAGGAGGCCAGCTGGTGAAAGATAACGAACAGATTGACACAAACCCCGACGCGGTTGAAACAACATGGCGGTCACGGAGACACACGGTACTTACTGGGATATGCTTACTCATTGAAGATTGTAGCTTAATCATGCAGCCGGTCCGCAGAAAAAAGGTAAAGGTGTGAAACGGTTCTCCACCATACAGTCCCGCGTGTTTCTCCGAGCGGAGCCGAAGTCTCCTGATCCGCTGCGACGAAAAGCGTCACGATGCCGAGGAAGACTCAGACAGCTTCCGGCCAGGACTTTCAAAATAAAACGTAACAGGTGCTGACTCGAAAAAATGTATCAGCAATTGGTCGTATACATTCAGCTATTCGACATGTACATTAACGTGCTTTGTCAGGGATTGAGATATTATTGATGACTTGGTGAAATGAACAAGGCACTCAGCAGTATGTGATGTGTAATTAAATATGTGTCCCATACCGGCCTGAATAATGCAGTTTAATCACATTCATCCACCAATAACTTCAACCCAATCCAATAATAAATATCATACTGAAAAGGCCAGTAAGCGCAATGAGTACTTTTTGTTTGTTACTCCGTCCAAGTACATTTGTACCCTTTAATGGCACACCTTAAGCTTATTTTGAAGGGAAACCGAGAAAACCTCCGGTGCGGTCTACATTGAAATATCGCGAGCTTGATGCAGCTCTTTAAAGCCCCACCCGGTGAACGCGAGGTGTTCTGCCCAGACATCCCCCTGCCTGCATGCTGCAGCGGTCAGGTGGTGAGGCCTCTGGCTGCCCCTCCATCCCCTGCAACCACCACACGGGCTCCAAAACGCGTCAGACGGTTCAAGCGGTTCACTCATCAAACCAAAAACCGGCCAGATGTCCATCCTGGCAAGTTCATACACTTTCTCAGTGCATTAGACTGTATGAGACGCATACTATTATGAAATATAATGTGTGCAATTATATATTGTGTTTAGCCTCTCCATAATATTACATTCTAAGTATTTCACAGTTATATACATGTTTTTTTTTAACATCCAGGAAATTAAATCCCTCACAGATGATCACATTGATAACCAAAAAGAGAGACGATACAGCTGCTATACACCCAGACGAGATACATAGACATACATGGTGTTTGATCTACTGAAACTATCTAACTATATAATGCATGTCACAAATGAAGCACTAATGAAGTGTTACCCACCTCCATTGTTTAGTCAGAAGTTTACTATCATCTGTAACGCCCAAATAAAACCGAATGTATTACTAAAATCCTTTGAGATTTATTTTTTGTAGCTATATGTGAGAATGGAGGCTTCTACGTCAATATTATTGAGACTAAGAAGATGTGACGCTGCTTTCTAGGGTGATTTATTCCTAATTAAATGAACTTTGTCAGGCCACTTGATGTTTGAATTCCCAACGTCATCTGTGTCTAATTTCTGAATCCTCATTTTGCTTTCCAAAAAGGTTCCTGGAGAGACATACGTACTTTAAAAGAAACATTGATTAATTAGTATTCTTCACTTCCAATAGATCAATTCCAGTTCACTGCCAAACCATAAGCCGGGGGCCTCTATCTGTTTTTAGCCTAACCTCAATGATCTTACAGCCACTTCTGGAGAAGAGCTGCAAAGTATCTGAATCAATGTGATGCTGTTGAACTATGTTGCATTATTCACAATTCAAATAATGCATTTTCCTGAGTCACGTTTGCTTGAACCTCGTGATTTAAACTTCCTGATGAAATGACAGAAAGAACATTTACTTAAAGAACGCGTTTGGTTGAAATTCCCTCGTAGTAAACCACTATATTTCTGTAGAAATAAAGAACGTTGACCTCAGCCATTGTCTGGTTCCTCGTAGTCGTGTGGTTGCATCTCTCTGGAATGAATACTTTTGCTCCCACACCTTTTCTGGAAGCCGGAGCAGAGCCGCTGACCTCTGCAGTTTCACTCTGCAGCGACACAAAAGGGGCTCTGAATGGTCCTCCCCGGCAGCCAATGAGAGGGAGCGGCGGCCGCGCCGTGTCCTCCAGCAGGCCGGACACTGCCAGTTTCCCGCCGGACCCCCGTGGGTGTTGGGAGGGCGGGGGTGGGGGGCTGGAGGTAGGAGGGGGGGGGGGGGGTACAAAGAGAATTTTCCAATCCGTCACTATTGTACCAATTGTGTATAAAGATTGATGCGCGAGGGAAGCGCTGCCTTCACAGGAGGGCTATCAAAGCCCAAATCACAGTTCATGAAACCAAAACAAAGAAATGAATGACTCTGAAGATTTCCAGGTAACAACTCCAAGTCTATCTTTCTCTTTTGTATTTTAAACACAAAGGTGTGTATGGATTCACTTGCTTTGGCTTCAGATCAAGGATTTTAAAAACCTCCATCTGTGCCTTTTGAAGCGAATCCTCACACTCTTCACGCAAACCTGAACATTCCTTTGTCTCTTCCAGAGTGGAGGCAAGGACCAAACCGACGGCTCGAGGATGAGCCTGCAGGGCACCAGGAAGGGGGTGAAAGTGACGGCGAAACACGCGCACCGTGTGGACTGGGCCAGCCGAAGAGGAGGTCCATCCATCGTCCACCCGCCCTCCAGCACCCCTTTACCTCCACACACCCCCACCTTGATCTGCATTGCCCCCCTGCCTCACAGGCCCCCGGAGCCGGCCGATGATCCCGCATTGGACGAACCTGCCTCCGGGGAGGATTGGACCACGGAGGGGTCCTCTCAAACCGGCGTGTCCTTCGGGGATTCGGGAGTCCACCGGCAGACCATGGAGGAGCTGAAGACCATGCTGAGGGACAGTCATCTGCTCAGCCCCCGGGGAAGAGACGACTGGAAGCCAGGGAGTCGTTACACCTGCCTGCACGGGAGCAGCAGCGGCGGCGGCGGAGGCGGCGGAAGGCCATACGCACGTCAGGACAACGAGAGCCCCGGCGGGACGTTCAGCACCTTCAAACCCCAGTCTGACGCTTCCAGAAGGGGGGCCAGGTCCGGGGACGGCACGTCTATTCAGCAGCCTTCCGCCGTGGATTCATCCAGCTCAGTCAGGGCCGATAACAACACAAATAGGCAGCCTGGAGTTGGGGACAACACATATGCAAGCGGCGGCTCCTGGGGAGAGACTGGAGCTCCTCACACGGGTTGGTGAACCTCTGATTAAGTTTATCCCGGGTGTAGTTTATAGCAAGTCTTCGCTTACCGAGTTCAAATTGAGCAAATCGTGTCGTGTAAGATCTTGTCTTTTCTCCATCTTTGTCTAACTCCAAGTTCTGTTCTAAGTTGGACTGGGCCTGGACTCGGTTATTGACGGAAATCAAAACAGACATTTCTTTTATAGTCTCTCTAACCGATTCTTCAGTTTTGTAGAACTAACTTGATCTCTAGCTGAAGGATCAAACTCTTTAATCTCTTTAATCTTTAGTTTTAGATTTGGATCTTTTGTTTTCTCTTCCCTCGGTGTTGTAACTGAACTGAACTGATTATCGAATGCTTTTGCAGATGTACTATATTACATATAACTCCTTCCACAGATAACGGAAACGAGACTGTGGAGATCTTTGGGAACCAGAAGTTCATGACAGCCATGGAGCAGATCAAGCAGCAGATTGCCAGAGAAAACATCAACTTTGTCCGCTTTGAGGCAACCGACCTCCACGGGGTGTCCAGGTCCAAGACTGTGCCAGTCCGCTTCTTCCATGTAATCACCTCACCACATCTATCTATCTATCCATCAGTTCTTTTGGTCAATTTTTGGTTTGTTTATTCCTTCTAAAGGCATTTATTCTCAAAAAGATAAGGGTTACATCATTGCTTGGATGCACACATTGCGTTCATAGGAGAAAGCGGTGTACGGGGTACCGATGCCGAGGAGCTACTTGGAGCTCACCCTGAGCCCTACGAGCAACGAGGTAGACAACGCCAACGCCGCCAACTTCAGCAGTGACGTCCTTCTGATCCCCGACCTTTCGACCTTCAGAGTTTTACCCTGGGCGGAGCAGACCGCCCGGGTCATCTGCGACCCCTGCACTGTGAAGGGAAGCCCCCTTCGCACTTCTCCTCGCCTCATCGCCAAGCAGCTCCTCGGCCAGTTGCAGAGCCTGGGGTTCTCTCTGCACTCGTCCTTCACCTACGAGTGCTGCGTCCTGGGAGCGCCGGACCGGATCGGACCCAAGACCCTTCTGTTCCCGGCCACCACCCTGCTGGGCAACCACGACCTGCCTTTCTTCCAGCAGCTGCTGGACAGCATGTACTGCATGGGCGCCGACGTGGACAGCATCGCGTCTGCCAGCGGCCCCGGCCAGATGGAGATCAACTTGAGGCCGGAGTTCGGGATCGCTGCCGCCGACAGCGCCTTCACCTTCCGCACCGGCATCAAAGAGATGGCTCGCAAGCACAGCTACATCGCCAGCTTCTTCGCCGATGAAGGGCTGTACAACGCCGGGGTGCTCTCTCACAGCCTGTGGGACGCCAACGGGCGACAGAGCCTCTTCGTCAGCGGGGACAAGGCCGCCGAGCTATCAGAGATCGGCAGGAAGTGGCTGGCCGGGCTCCTCGCCCACTCCGCCGCCCTGAGCTGCCTGATGTCGCCCGGCCTCAGCTGCAGGAGCCACATGGCCAAGACGATCAAAGACCCCAAGCGAATGCTGTACGCCACATGCGGCTGCAACGACAACAGCACCTCCTTCAACATCAAGTGTCACGGCGGGAGGGAGACGCACATCGATAACAAGCTGGGCTCGGCGATGGCCAACCCTTACATCGTGCTGGCTGCCACCGTGGCCGCGGGACTGGACGGCATCCGGCGGAACCTGCATTTCGACGGCGGTCTTGACAAAGCGCCCAACCAGCAGAGGGACTTTGCCGTCCCCGTGAAGCTGGACGACGCTCTGGAGGCCCTGGGGGAGGACCACGTCATCTGCAGCACCCTCGGAGAGCCGTTTGTTCAGTATTTCATCGCCATGAAAAAGTTTGAGATTGAGACTCAAGAGCTGGACGATGAGAGGAACAAGTGCCTGGAATATTTCATCTAGAAAGCCTCTGTGTCATGGTACAGCAGCCTGCCGCACAAATAAAAGCATGAAAACCAACTTCGATAGCTTTTTTTTCATTTTATATATTATGTTGATACTTTATTAAGATCCCTCAGTGGGGAAATCTGCATGATTATCATTACATGGATTGTAGATATTTTTCAATTATTTAAAAATAAAGGTTTAAGTACTTCCTCAATGTTATCGCCCGAAGTTGGCTGGGATGGACTCCAGCCCCCCCGCGACCCTGTGTGCAGGATAAGCAGTTTGACAATGGATGGATGGATGGATGGACTTCCTCAATGTGCAAACAAGTTTTGTTGTCATACAATAATATATTGTCTCTCCATCTTTAATCTTGTGGGTGTTTTTTACTGCCTGTTGTTTAATGATAATTGCCTCCTCTTGGGAAGTCTCCCCTGGATATTGTGTAACTTCCCGTTCAGGCAGATAATGTTCCTTTTTATGTGCACAGATATATGACATCGTTGTTTGTCTCTGTTGTGTTATTGTCAACAAATTACATGGAAACCAAAACCATCCATGATGCGATAATTCGGCTCCCCGAACTCCCCGAGCCCATTTCACTTTATAGAGAGATCAAAGGAACAAAAATACATACTTCACATTTAAATAAAGGGATCAGTAGATTCCTTTAAACAGCAAATTACTGTTTTTTCTTTCAGAAATAGTGGATTTATCGGGGACTATTTTGTACTATACAGAGCAGGATTATGTGTGTGATAATATGTGTGATAATGGTGATGATATATATAACCATTGATGGGATTTTTTGGGGAGAAGAGGTATCAGGATTTGCTAAACACAATATGTTTTTGTATTTTATTGGAAAAATGTCACTTTAACTCAACTTTCAAAGAGACAAAACACTCTCAATAAAAATACTGACATTTATTTTCACAAAGATTTTCAAAACCCCACCGATATGATCACATCGACTGCCTCCACCCTAATATCCAACAAAGGTTAAAACACACAATGTGTAACATTGTGGGAAATATCTTCCAGGATCAGAGCACACACCAACATCACATTGAAGATAGTCATTTAGCTGTTTATCAAAATTGAGGTATTTCAGACTGCACATGAAGCCCGGAATGGAAGGCAAGCTCAGCAAGATATATCCGATCCCTTGACATGCACTCATGTTGTATTAGAGATCCATCGCTTGTGTTTTTGGTTTTTCTTTTTCCTGCATGTTTGATCATCGTTTTTGAAACAAAAACGTGTTTCATAACACCATAACATATGGCCCGGCCTCCTGGAGTTGACAATAATGGAATAAATCCATCCAATGTCTCTGGATGGGGGTCTAAATAGATCCACAAGCAACCCCTGGGTCGTGCACCTTGAGTACCTTCGGCGCGGCGGCCGTCTTCTGGTTCTGTGGCCCTCACTTGTTCTTGCCTATTAGATTTCCTACTCGCTGCATGAAGCGTCCCAGTTTGTTGTCGGCGGCGCTCTGATGCGTGGAGTCCTGCCTGTTCTGGGAGGAGCGCCCATCACCCTCCAGAGGAAGACCGTCGGAACTGAGCAAATACTCGAATCGACTGTAGACCCTCTGTTTCTCGGCTGCCTCGGCTCCCGGGGCGCCTCGCGCCGGCTCCCCGGAGGGGCTCGGCTTCCTTTTGCTGGAGGAGCGCTGAGGAGTCAGCCTCAGGAACGGATACTTCTGCCTCTCGGCCTCTGCCGGGCCGCCGAGAGAGCTTTGCGACTGGGAGAGGCTCGGCGATTGGCCCGTCTCAGCCGATCGCTCGGCGCGGGACGCGTGGGATCTCAGCGAGGCCTTTCTTTGGAGGGACTTCTCCTCTTTCTTGTGCACTTTCTTTTCGTCTTGCGAAAGCAGCGACGAGACTTTCATCCTCAGGGAATGCTTCCTTTGAAGCAGTGGCTCCTGGCCCGAGACTTTCTTCTTTTCCACCTGACCACTTTTATCTGCCAGTGAGGGCTGAGATCCTGCAAAAGGGTTTAAGATTTTCGAGACAGTTTGTACTTCATTGGATGTGGATTTCTTCCTTTCCCGGGTAGCAGGGACGGAGCTTTTTCCCGCCTTGCTGATGGAGTCGAGGCCTCCTCCGTCCGGATCCTTGAGCTGTGAGTCTGCGGGTATGCTGCACTCAACAGATTTTTCTTTTTTGCAAACCTCCTCACGTCCTTCTTTCAACGCAGCCGAGTCTGAACTGTTGACGGGTAAGCCCTCCCCCTTCTCCTCCGGGATCTCGGTCAAGGACATCGTCCTTGGGTGTTGGAGATGAGAAAGCTTGGGCATCGGATCATTTTGTGGAACGTCCCAATCAGCGGCCGAGGTCGCCCCGGAGGGAGGCTCGTGCCGGTCGTACGCCTGCATTGTCTTGCGATCTGGAGCTGTGGCCCCGTCGCATTGGGAGGCAGAGCGCTGCCCTTTGGGAGGAGTTTTGTCCGCTACCTTCATCCGTTCGCTGTCTTTGTGGTCGGCCGGATCCCTGCTGTGCTCGTTGTGCGCATTTGGCTTCGAGTCTGCCACAGCCTTCCTCCTGTCCAAACTCTGCTTATATTTGGTCTTTTCCTGGTAAGCAGACCTCAGGGACTCTTGGCTGTGCCTGAGATTGGTGCAGTCCTGCAGACTAAGCCTTTTCTGCCTCACTTCTTCCAGCCTGGACTTAATGTCCCTCGACCTGTTGTGGATCACCTGCGTCTGATGCTCGTTCAGGCCCGTGTGGCTCCCGTTCGGCGATATCATCGATGGCATGGCGTGGCACGACGCATCCAGAGGCGCGCCGCTGTCGTTGAAGTACGTGTCTATCTTCCACCTGTTGAGGGAGGTTTCAGAGTTGAACGGGATCAGGCTCTGGTCTGCTCCGTAGCGGTTCTGGTGCCTGAGGTGGTGCTGAGAAGACCTGTTGGGTCTCAGTAGGTCGCCGCCCCCTCTTTGGTTGGGTCGCGTCTTCTCTGGATTAATGTGTGCTCCGATGTCCTTGGTCCCCATCCTCAGTCGAGTCAGGGGGCTCAACTTCTGCAGTTCTCCGCCATAGCTGTGCCCCCTCATCAGGTTCCCCATGTCGAAACAGTGCGACTGGTGCAGCCTCTCCTGCACGCTCAGCCCCCGGGTCATCGCAGCGGCATTGCTGAACCGGTCGTCCCGAGCGCCCCACGTGCCCTGCGCCACTTTTGATTGCATGTGAAGTTGGTGCAGGGAGAGGTGGCTGGAATTGGGGCTCTGCAGGGCCACGACGTCTCTGAGGTACTGGACGGACACCTTCTCCCTGGAGAGGAAGGTGGGAACCGTGGAGCGGGCGTACAGTCTGCGGAACTCCTCGTCGTAAGAGCCGACCAGCTGACCAGTGATCACTAGGACCATGCTGACATTGATCTTCTCAAAGGACCACGTGTAGCTGAAAAGGAAAAATGGAGTCATCAGTGCGAGCAGAAAGGATGATGATGATGAAAAGATCTTCACAGGGCTCAAAGGGGGGCGGGATGGTGGGGTGTTGTAAAGACTAATTTTTATTAATATTGGCCTCTGTTTTGGTTTAATTGTTCATGAAAATGAGACAAAGGAACGACTGACTTACCTGTATGTTCCATACACAACTGTTCGACAGTCCACCAGAAGAAATCTTTGCTCCAAATCTCCCCGAAACTTCACCCCGGACTGACACTGATACCGCTGCCCACAAACCGTCCGAACACGGATGTTCTGGTGCAGAGACAAACAAAAGGAATCACAAAGTTAGAGCCATAAAAAAATCCTTTTCAATCTGGCTCTTTTATGATTCATCATAGGGAATTTTTTTAAATCCTGGGTAGTATAGTTGACAAAAATCAGCTAACTAGCTGTACACTACTACGCCCGCTACAACAGTCGCCATGGCAGCATCCCCGTCCCGTCCACCCTGCAAAGATGATTTAAATATCGGGAATCTAGCACAAACAAAGCATCAGCCTGAAAACAGGACACCCTCAACATGACCAAACCTGTGTGTCAGGGTTTCTTTTTCTACGTGGCTACCAGCTAAGCCATTACATCTCAACCGTCTGACTCAGATGTCGGTTGTCTAACAGGAAAATCAGGCCACGTCAACGCGATCTGTCCCAGGTGGCTGGAAAACGCTGGTAAATGACAGCGTTTTCCGCAGGGCGTGTGGAGCAAAATATCAGACTTAATCCAACTGAACGCACCTGCGGGTGGAATACGAATGTAGGTAAACACTGGCGAAGGAAGCGGGAGGACAATGTTTCTTGGATCAGATCTATCTACATTTTATGACGCGTCTGTTTAGTTGAGCGGTCACATCTTACATTAGATGAAAAACAACGTTTTCTCAAGGAGCTTTAAAGAATCTCGACCTTTTCTGTATTTTTGCAAGCGGAGGAGTCGCCCCCTGCTGGTCAGGAGAGAAACACCACGTTAAAACGAGAGACACTCGTTGTGTCTCTTCTCACCTTGAAGTCTTGGACGTTGATGCCCACCCTTTGTGACATGGTGAGGAAGCTCCTGAACTTGGAATCGTCCAGGAGGATGTAGACCATCACTCCCCTCAGCGCGGCAGTGATGATCTCTTTGAAAATATCCAGGTCGGTGAAGACGTCCATCGCTATGGCGATGACCTGGAGACATTATAAATCATTTGGAAAAGTTTAAAAAATGTAAAATGATTCATTTCATCCCAAAGGTAACAAGTCAGAAGATATTTGAATTATCTATATATTATTTATTTAAATAGCTGGCGGAATGTGTCATACAAAAGATTTAAAATTTAATTTCAAAATCATTTAAAAATATTTTTCAAGATTTTATTTTTGTTAAAAAAATATATATATTATTGTGTGAATGAAGAAATATATATGGATATAATAATGCTCTCTTCTTTTCCTGCACAGAACTAAAACCGGTACTGCAAGCTTAACCACCTAAAATGCATCTCAAGGCAGGAGATTTAATCTGCTCTAACACATCAGTTAAGATATTTCAAGACAGAAATATCATGTTATCAAAGAGTTCCTTGCCTCAAATACGACTTTACAAGCTAATTTATTGATCAGACATGTTGTGTCAGATAGCTGAGTCAAAAGAGGTGTGGTTGAAGTTGAATGTAGAGAACAATCAAGCAGAGACACGTCGGCTTACGTCACGTCTCCTAAAGGGAAACGCGGCTCTCGGGTGAACCTTTTCCATCGAGAGCTCTCGTCACAGGTGGCGATTTGTCTCTTCGCCTCTGTGCAGCTGAGCAGAGACAGAGCGCCTGTCCCTTCACTCGCGTGTACGGCCCAGATACTGGAACTCAGAGATCCATGAACTTGGACTGCGTATCGACTCCCACGTCGCACGGAAACCCCCTCAGCGCGTGCTGAAGGTCAAACTGCACCACGTCTAATACCTCCAATGGGCTATTTTTAGACTGCGGTATTGATTTCTCTCTGCTCACTAAACGAGGCCCGCTGTGTGCGCTGAGAAATGTGTAGCGTGATGTGCATCTTCTCTCTGAGCGAAAGGCAAGGCCTTCCACCGTGTGCTTTAAACGCCGTGATGTGTGAAACCACCGACCGGGAGCGGAATCCGCGCCGCCCCTGCGTCCCCCTCGCCGATGGACGACATCACTCTGTAGCATTTAACGGTATCGGCTTCTCACCTGCCTCGCCTCCTGGATCTGCTTGCGCACCACCTCTTTGATGGTCGGCGTGTTCCGTCGGGGCGGGTTGAACAGCAGGCTGATGCTGGTGTCCTCGCTCCCCAGCGCCACCTGGGGCCAGCCCAGCTCCAGGTCGGGCACCTCCTCGTCCGACTCCGTCGGGAAGTAGGTGGAGGGGCCGGCCCGGTCCTCCACCTGCTTACCGCCGGCGGGAGGGGGGTCGTCCGCCGCCGGCAGCTCCGCATGCTGGAAGACGTAGAGGATCTCCTCCTCGGACAGGAAGTGGCCGATCTGCTCGGCGCGGAGGAACTCCTCGTAGGCCTCCTTGCCTCCGCAGAGCAGCGCGTAAATGGCCAGGCGGTAGGACTCTCGGTAATGCGGCTGGACGTACAGCGGATTGGTGTCTTCTTTCAGCGAAGACAGGCACGACAGGTTGGACTCCATGGATGCCGGATCCCTCCCCCCCACCCCCCCCCGCTGCCTCCCCGTGCCCCCCAGACCTCAACGAGCAGCAGGCCTCTCCTTTACCTTCGGTGGGACAAGTCGCGTGTCACAGAACGTGCATGTTCACACTGAAAAGCAAACCCACCGTGAAGCGCCGTGAGTGTCAAAAAGCCGTTTACATTATGCAAAGGGTAGAATGCTGGAACCAGTCTGTCAGGTGTGATTCACCACAGGTACGTGGGTAAATAGCACGAGGCGCCGCCGCCCGACACATCGCGATAAAAAAAAAAAGAGCCTCAAAGTGACTTACTTCATGACAGGAAAGAGAAATCCATGCAGAGTCCCGAATGAGAGAAACGGTCAAAGCGTCCAGCGAGCCTTTATGTGTGTGTGTGTGTGTGTGTGTGTGTGCGCTGCACTCAAGGTGTGACCAACAGTTCGTCGTACCTGCTCAGTCGGCTCCGCTGACAGCTAACTAAGCCCCGCCCATCTCAGCTCACCTGGGTTTCGGTGAGCGGGAGCAGGTTTTTTTTTCGGTTAGCTATCCAGCTGCACTTGAGCCAAAATACACAGCAAAACACAACGCGCGTGCTTCAGCGGGACCCGTGTTACGTCGGTGTTGTCATTCGGCCCTTTTAAACGGTTTGTCTTCTCCCAGCTGTCACCAGGGCCTCGCTGTGTCCCGCCAGATGTCTGAGCGGTTTCCATGCGTTGAGTCTTTACGAACAGATTGTTTAGTTCTGCACAAGGAGAAAAAAACGCACAAATATTTGCAACGGCTGGAAGTTGAACGGGTAGTGGGAGTGCTCACCACAGGGCGGCCTGCAAGCAGCCGAATGCGTCGCTAAGCTCTTCTACACACTCCACAATAGAAATAAAAAGGTCAGTCCACATCAGCTGAACCACCTTTTTAATCTCACGCTGAGTAAACCAGAAAGGACCCAAAGAAAAGCTGATGAGATCACCTCTTCGTCCTCTTCTGAGGGCTGAATCCAAAACAATGAATAGAAGAGATGAACCACAAACACATCGGAAGGAGGTCGAGAGTTTATTGCTATCACAAAGCACAGTGGGGGGGCAACATGTCACAGACTGGCACAGAGAACAGGGCAGGAAGTGGATATTGTTTTATTCCAGGTGATGAAAACATCACCAACCCGGAGCGAGAGCTAAATCTGGTACCTGGTATCAGTCACCCCAAAAGGTCTTTCCTGTTAGTTACAACTTTCATCTCATATCCGGAGCTTTGGTCATTGTTTCTACAATTTGTTCCCACCAGGTAAACTGTAATCACCGGAGACGGGGATGTCGTTGGTGTTCGAGACACTCGAGACTTTCATTTCCAAATCAGTTGGTCTAAACTCAGAGGTTTTTGTTCGGCGTCTGACTCCGTCGTAGTGATGTCACTGATAGGAATTAAAAATGTGTAATTAACAGGAGTTATCCTTTAGACCGGCGTCGCAAAGTGCAGCTTTTAAAACACTCAACATAAACATTTTTCGCTGACTGTTTCAGTTGATTGATGTTAATCCCAAGAATCTCCAGAGGTTCCAGATGTGGGACTTATGACAGTTGCTACGTCTACTTAAACTTTAACACCTTCTGGTTTCACACTCATGCTACTACTCGGAACCCTCCCCTTTCACCGCCATCGCCTACTTCCTCGGCGGGGTCGGGGACTTCATGAATCTGGGCGGGGTGGGCGACTTGACGCCACGAGACGGAGTCGGGGTCGGAGACTTTGGGGCCGGGGACCTGGGAGTCGGGGTGGGGGATTTGGGCACCGGGGTGGAGGCCGGAGTCGGGCTCTTCATGGACATCCGAGAAGGGGCGGGGGTCGGGGTCTTGGAGGGCGTTGCCGGGGACCTGGGCGGCGGGGATGTGGCGGTGGCGGCGGCGGCGGGGGCAGCGGGGGCTTTGGGCTGCCCCAGCTTGGGCTCGGGCAGCTTCTCGCCCTGCCGGTACACGCTGACGGTGATCTCCACGAACTCGCCGCCGTACTTGTTGCGCACGTTGATGCTGTATTTTCCAGAGTCGTCGGGGGTGACCTTGTTGATCAACAGGCTGGCGAACTTGCCGCCCTCGAAGGTGACCTTGGTGTGCTCGTTACAGGCGACCTCCTGCTCGTTCTTAAACCAGGACACCTCGGGGGTCGGCTCGCCGAACACGGTGCAGGTCAGGCTGAGAGACTGAGGGGGGTGAACGTATGATGATGTCATGGTACCCATTAGCAGTGTGTTTGTTTGTATTGATTTAACATCCTCACCTTCTCCTCCATGATAGTGACCACGTCAGGAAGGCCGCCGACCACTCTGCCACGATCTGCGGGAGGGGGGCAATAGGTTAGTGACTTTGGCTTTTTTTCACATATTTTCACTTTTTTTTCAAACATTTTTTGACCAAAAACATTTTCAGATTTTTTTTCCAAATTATTTTTAGACATAATATTTTTTCACTTTCTTTTCCCATTACATTTTTCAACAAAACATATTTTATTTTTTTCAAAACATCTTGACTGTTTGGTCTGTGACAACTTAACATAATTAGACTTTTTTCTCAAAACCGTAGATTCTTTTTTTAAATTACATATTTTTTTACTTTTTCCATGACATCTTTTGACAAAACATATTTTGACTGTTTTACAAAAAAAATTGACAAAACATTTTTTTTTTCAACATATTTGTCAACGTACTAGAATTTGACTTTTTTTTCAGAACTTTTTTTCGAAATAACAAATTCTATGACCGTATTTTATTTTACTTTATTTTCTATGACATTTTTTGTCACAACATAATCTGACTTTTTTCCAAACATTTTTTGAATTTTTTAAAAACTTTTTTTCTAACTTTTTTCCATTACATTATTCAACACAATATATTTTTACTTCTTTTTTAAAAGTTTTGACTTAATATTTTTTTTGATATCTTTTCACATGACATTTTTTGACACAATATATTTTGCTTTTTTTTAAACATTGATTTTTCCATGACATTTTCAAACACATTTTGAAAAAACAACGTTTTTTGACCTAAAAAATAAAAATATAATAATATAATATAATAGAAATAGAAATATTTCCAACAAATAAAATATTCATTCATTTGATATAAGATCTCCCTAACAACTAATAATATACTCACTCTTCTCAGCAAATGCGGCTGCCCTAAAGGAGAAAAGAATCAATATAGAAATGATTACAGTTATTTGGACGTAACTAAAAAATATGAATGTTAAAAACCTAGTGTTCTTTTCAAATAACTCACTTAAGTCTCAGGTACTCTTCATAGGCGTCGGTGTATGCTGCAAAAATAAAAGTGAGCTCGGGACTTTCATCTCAGAAAAGGTTTTAGAGGAACTCAAAAATCAGAATATATAAATACATGCAAGAATAAATACAATAAAAGCTAAAATATAAAATAATACCCTTCGATGTCACATGTGATATCTCGTTACCTTGTCCGGAGAGGTCGAAGGCTCTGGTGTGGGTCTGCACGCCGTCTGAGATCTCGATGGAGTAGCTGCCCTTCTCCTTGTCGGAGGGATCGCAGATCTGCATCCAGGCCATCTCCGCCGTGCCTCCGATCCGCATCTTCTCCGAGGAGGCGATCTTACTCTCCCTGCAGGCGTTTCATCACAAGTCACAGGGGCAGACTCCGAACGTCTACTGGGAGACGTGACTTTTGATGGGAGCTAATGGGAAACGTCATACTGGTTCCCTCATTGTTGCAGAAAATAAATGTTTATAAAACTTATTTAACACAGAAAGATAATCATCACAAATGAACAGTACTTTGCTCATTTAGATGCTTTTTTAAGACACGTAAACGCTTCTAACGCCACTAGAGCAGCGTTGACTGACCTTTTTTATGTTGTAATAACCATTGACTTCCAGAGCAGGAAAAGTGTCGAAACACAAACTCATTTCTAGTTGTTAGAACTTATTATTGGACACAAAATCTTCAAAGGGAGAAGAGCGACCTCATTAAATTGAACTCAAGTGATCGATATCTAAATGAGTGACACTGATATTTACTACCCATAAACTACAGAATAAAAACAGGGGAGGGGCGTTGTGTTAGATTAACCGTACTTGTGTTTCCAGACGGTCTTCATCTCCTCTGTGTAGTAGCTCATGTAGCACTGCAGCCTGATGCCCTCCGGAGTGCACTGCAGCACCAGCTCAGAGGCCGAGGCGCCTGCAAGACCAACCGCAGGTCACACAGGCGAACGTTGCATTACACGGTACACTTTGGTGTATTTATGTTCCGCCATTTCCGGTAGAGTTTTAGTATCAAATGATATTTATTTAAATTGAAATGATTTAAGATTTGCATGACTTATTTGACACCTTGATCACATTATATTGATCAGCTAATCAAACTTACCAGCAATCTTGGCGATGGCATTGATGATGTCATCAAACACTGAAAATTACACACACGTACGTTATACTTTATAACAGGAATCACAACTACAAATCTAAATCTTCTAGAATTGATTTTAAATTCTTCTGCTTAATAAAGCAGTAACGTTTTGCAACACGTCCACATGACACCACAGAGGATGAACAGTAGGCTGATTTATGGAAGAATAAAGAATCAAAAATAAGGTAAATCAGAAATTAAACACACACAAAAATATAAATAGCCAGTGGCGGATTTCTCTGAATACAAAACCCTTTGAACTGCATGTAATGTAGGAAAAGTGTCTGAAGAGCATTTGTATTGTTACCGTTGCCTGATATGTCAAACAGAGACGTGTCCTTCCCTCTGTCGTCACTGAGCACGGCCTTGAAGACGCCTTGATCCTTCCTGGAAAACTGGAAAAAACAACAACATTCTTACCATACCAACAAGCTGCACGGACATAAAACATCTGTACACAAAGGTACATATAAATACCAACCTGAATATATGAATAAAATACGCTATTGAGAGAGATTATTAATAGTATTAATTATATAAGTAATTATAACTCTGTTGAGTTTTAGCTTCTTCAACTCTTATACAAGGTATGTACACTCCTGCATGTCCGTGTGTATCTATGTACACGGGTACAGATGTAGATGTGTGCGTAGGTGTGGATGCTGCAGTGGTTACCATGGGGACGGGCAGAGCGACGGCTCCAGACATCACATTCACTGGGGTTTCTGGAAAAATCTCATCGTCCTCTTTGTACCAGTGGAAGGACGTCTCCTTCTTCACATTGGCCACCTAAAAAACAAACAAACAAACAAACAAATAAACAAAACACATTTGTTATGTTGCAATAAAAAGAAGCAATTGGAAAGACTGTTTGTAGCTGGTGATTAAAGTTGTACCTTGCAGGCGAGCATGACGGTGCAATCCTCAGAGACGGTGAAGTACAGATACTCAGAGAAATGTGGACCTAAAGTGAAGAGGAGCAGCAATATTATATACTGTATATACACATATATATATATATATATATATGCAATGAAAAGCTTGTGATTGTGCAAGCGATGTTTGGTACGGTTTCCATGGCGACGTGTAGTTACCTTGCTTCCTGATGTGCTCTTTCCTCTGAAACTCGGCCTCCTTTAGAGCAGCTTTGAACACTGAAACGGGGGAAAACAGTCGTCTATATTCTAGAATTGTATAGTTGAATGAAAGTTATACTCAATTAAAGCACTTGTGTAAAGTTACTTTCCACCATTGATTTCATTTCATGTAAAAAGTGTGTGATGAGACTGGCACAAAATGCATTCTGGACATCCTTAAATAAATGCTGCGCCCTGAGAGAATAAATCCCCCGTAACTGCCTCTCTCACTCCGGCGGGACTCACCGTCTCCCACCAGCACCAGGGAGCTCTGCGTCTTGGCCTTGCCGTCGTGGATCTGCACCGTGTAGGTTCCCTCGTTGGCTCTGGTGAAGTGATCCAGCGTCATCTGGATGACCCCCGAGGGCACGTCGTGGCTGATCTTGATGCCCTGAGGGGGAAGAAACGATTGCCATACGGCCAGCGTCCGCCTTTACATCCTGGTGGTCACCATGTGAATCTTTGTCACGGCGCCGAGATCAACCTGAAGGCTGAGACTTTATCATAAAGTAACTAGAGCTCTAAAATAACTGCAGTGAAGTAAATTTGTTCTCTATAGAGTCGTACTGAAGGAGTAAGACAGATGTTTTGGAGTGTGGTTGTGTAAGTGGAAGCTATATTTAGAATATTTTGTGCGTTATCTCATTGTCACCCTGTTATCTTTGCTCTCCTCACAGCCAACAGACTCCACTGACAAAAACAGACCGTGTAGAACTCTGGAGTTCCTCCGTTGCCTCGGCCTGTTAGTTAGTTATTACTTTGTGTCATTGTGACACTTTAATGCGCAACATTTCATTAAAACACAGAAGTCCCACGAGAACCCTTTGATCTTAAAGCTTAAAACACTGGTTTTGTGAATGGAGTCTGGTGGTCTGGTGAGAGCAAAGAAATCAGTCCGTCGGCAAGATAAAGCAGTTAAAACATAGTAAATATATCAGAAACATGAGCTAATATCTGTTGTTCTATGTGTCTAAAATAGGTCCTCGGCTTAAAGAGCTCCATCCACAGCAGCAAAACTACGGAGAAGAACTCACTCAAAAACATCCAAACTCTCAAAGCTCGCGTTACCTCGCCGCTGTGGACCTCCTTGTCGTTGACGATGACCCGGTAGGACACAGAGGGCGACAGTTTGACGGCCTGCAGCCAGAAACGCACGTGACCTTTCTCCAAAACCTCGTAATTCAGGCCGTGTTTCAGAGGAACGACTGCACGGGAACAAACACACACACACACACACACACACACACACACACACATTAGGATCCGGAGGAAACGGGGCGGAGGTGAAGACAGGAGGAGCACGGTACTCACCGGGGTGTTGGATGGCGTAGCTGAGCTCCAGCATCGTGTTCAGGGCTGTGGAATGGATCCAAGACGACAAACGTGAGCCCGAAAACAAACAACAACAACAACAGCAACAAAATAGGAGGGGCCGGCGTACCGTCCTCAGTCAGCGTGTGGCTGGCAGAGACTCCGTCCGTGTCCGTGACCACCACGGAGTACCGGCCCAGGTCGTCTTTGTCCGGGTTGGTGAAAGTCAGCCTGGAGCTGGAAATCCAATAAAATCCATCAAAGACCCATTAAAGTCCATTAAAATCCGTTAAAAGTCTGTTAAAATCCGTTAAAAGTCTAAGCTAGAATAACACCGGGGCAAACTATTTGTTTTATAATTGTGATATAAATATATAAATAATAATATATATAAATATGAGTAAACACGTGAGGTTGCATTCTCACGTACGTGCGGCCCTTGGTGGTGACGGCGACCCTCGGGCAGTCGCCGATGGCTCTGTAGTTCTTGGACCAAACGAACTTGGAGGTCTCAGAGATCTCGCAGGCCTCCAGAGACAGGAAGATGTCTCCGGTCTCCTCGTCCACGCCGGCCACCAGCTCCTGAGTGCCTGAGACCAATAAAACCATTTATGTGTACATCTTACAAAATGACCCGCTGCAAACAACTGCCCCAATCTGTCAACAATTCCCCAAATAAATGTGTGCTCCAATTATTTGGGATGTTTGTGTTGCTAAGAAAATATTCTCCCAGCACATTTAAGATTCAATCAATTCTGAATTTAAAGTATAAATACTGTACACTTTACTTGGGTATATTAATAATAATACAATAACATTGTGACATTGAGGCAATATTGTGACATTAATGGGTTAATAACTAAGATAAAAGTCTACTACTTAAACTTCAGTCAGAATTGATAATTATCATATTTTATAGCTGAAATTCAGTTGTGAACCTTTTAAATATTCAATTACTACCTGTAAACACTCAATGTCTCCAGGCCTCTGTGGGTTTAAAGATTAATCACAAGGGATTTTTCCTTTGCTGATGACAGAGGACGTCGCGTGTTTACAGACTGTAAAGCTTTCTGATGTATTTTGATTTTGACAAAATTAACTGATGTTAATGTTTAAGCGCGTCTCTGTAACTGTAAATGGTGTTTAGTGAGATGGAGTGACGTGAGAGAAGGGTATGTTGTTGTTGTTGTTGTTGTTGACACAACAAGGTGTGACCCAGAACAAACCAGTGGTGCTTAGTGGTGGTTACCTGGCAGAGCTTTGGCACAGACCGGCTCAGACGCCTGGGACGGTTTCCCGACCCCGTTGGCGTTGATGGACCGGACTCTGAAGACGTAGGCTTCCCCTTCCTCCAGACCAGTCACCTGCAGGAAACCACGGTAACCACGGTAACCACGGAAGCACAACGTCACAGGCTCCGCGCGGATGTTTTCATTGACAGCAAAACTATTAAAGACGAGATATAAAGCATCATTTTTTTCCCGTTGCGTTGTTGGCTTTAATTGGCGGTGGTTTTGGCGCTCCCTGTGGAGGACAGCGGTAGTGTTCTTAGACTATTTCTACTGCAGCAGGTCAGACGGGCTGAGGGTCTGTGTGATGTCACCTCGGTCTATATTCTAGTTAAAAACAGAGTTCTGTTCGTTGGCCTGGTTAACTTCTGCCGGCCTCCTACCTGCAGGTAACGATGGCTCACGGCCTCCTGGTTCAGAGTAGCAAACTCCGATGAGCCTTTCTTGGCCATCTCCACCACGTATCCAGTCACTGCACTGGCCCCGGTGTAGACCGGAGCCTTCCACAGGATGACCAGGGACTGACCTCTGACCTCGCTGAAGCTCAGGTCGTAGGCCGGGCCTGGAGGACGGGCGTAGGATAACAGGAAGATGAGCAGAAAGGAACGATGTCTGCACATTGTTGTCATTATTGTAGAAGCAGCGGCGGTCCTCCACCTGGCTCGTCCATGGTCCCACGCTTCACATTTCATCGGAGCGCTGGGAGCACTGGGAACGCCGACACCGGCCATGTTAGCGGGCCTGGATCTTAAACTCGTAGAAGACTCCCTCCGTCAGATTGTCAATCTGAAGATACAGAGAGAGCGAGAAAAACAGAGAGTCTCTGTTTCTATAATCCAGAGTGTGATTGTTTCTATAATCCAGAGTGATTGGTTCTATAATACAGTGTGATTGTTACTATAATCCAGTGTGATTGTTACTATAATCCAGTGTGATTGGTTCTATAATCCAGAGTGTGAGTGTTACTATAATCCAGTATGATTGTTTCTATAATACAGAGTGTGATTGTTACTATAATCCAGTGTGATTGTTTCTATAATCCAGTGTGATTGGTTCTATAATCCAATGTGATTGTTTCTATAATCCAGAGTGTGATTGGTTCTATAATCCAGGGTGATTGTTTCCATGCAGTGTGATATGAGCCCACTCACGCTGCAGAGCCTCTCTGTGACCCCCGTCATGTTGACCTCGTTCCACAGCAGCGTGTCGGCGTTCCTCTTGTCGATGTAGTAGGCGTTGATCTTGGAGCCCCCGCAGTGGGCGGGGCTCTTCCAGGCCAAGGTCATGGAGGAGCCGTCGCAGCTCAGCATGGTGATGCCGAACGGAGCGCTGGGAGTCGCTGCATCACAGAGAACCTTCATGTTTAATATCAGAGGCTTAACAACCGTTAAGAGCTTTAAAAAAGTATGTACGTGAGAAAAACATCCGTGTTTCACTACTTGACTTTACTGTGAGAGTGAAAGTATCCATAATGAATTATAATCATACTTACAATATGTTAAACTCTGCTTATAGCACATTATACTCACACACTTTATATCAGTAATGATTACACATTATAAACCAAATAGTAACTTACAAGGTCAAATGAAGAAATACTTTAAGACCAACAATTAAAGTTCATAATTGTTGGTCTTAGATATTGTTATTATTATTAGACGGTTATTAATAGGATGACAAAATACTAATAATAAAAAAGCTTTTAAATGTGTTGTTGCTATAAAGCATTTTTCTCTGAGTGGTTATAACTATAATTGTACAGTTCTGTATGCAGACGATAACACATTGTGAATATGTTCATAATGTATATAGATGTGGACGTGTTAAATATATCAAATAAATAAACACGTCTCATAACTGAACATAAACAAAATACCATCTTTCTTTGACTGTGACATTTCACATGTGATTAAAGCTCACGATGCACAGTGACAGTGCACAAAGTGAGGGAGTCAGGAGGGGGGAAATCAGCTGTTTCCCTACGTACCATATTCCCCCCCCGGGCCTGGATAGAGTGATGAAATGAACACAACAATGAACACAACATATGACATCACCATCAACCTCCCATCACCCCCTTCGTTTACCTTTCACTCTGTAAGTCTTTAAGCAGAGCTTATAATAAAGAAATATTAAGATAAAGGTATATTTTAATAGGGGTATATTAGGATAAAGTTATATTATAATTATAATGTAAGTTATATATTGTTAGGTATATTGTAATAAAGGTATATTAGGATAAAGGTATATTAGCATAAAGGTATATTGTGATAAAGGTATATTAGTATAAAGGTATATTGTAATAAAGGTATATTAGGATAAAGGAAAATTAGGATAAAGGTATATTAGGATAAAGTGATATTGTAATAAAGGTATATTAGGATAAAGGTATATTGTAATAAAGGTATATCAGGATAAAGGTATATTGTAATAAAGGTATATCAGGATAAAGGTATATTGTAATAAAGGTATATTAGGATAAAGGTATATTGTAATAAAGGTATATTAGGATAAAGGTATATTAGGATAAAGGTATATCAGGATAAAGGTATATTGTAATAAAGGTATATTAGGATAAAGGTATATTGTAATTAAGGTATATCAGGATAAAGGTATATTGTAATAAAGGTATATTAGGATAAAGGTATATTGTAATAAAGGTGTATCAGGTAAAGGGGGGGTCTCTTACAGAGGGTCGGCTCCACGGAGATGGGAGAGGACTCCTGAGACTCCTCGCTGAGGCCGAACACGTTGACGGCCTGGACGCGGAACGTGTAGGTTTCTCCTGGGATGAGCCCGTGCACCACGAACCTGAAGCACGCACACACACACAGACACACACACATTATTCTTCAGTCACAGTCACCATGATCTTTTGTGCCTAATAGTGTTGCCAACATTACTCATGTGTATGCAAATTATTTCTCTCCGTAGACACTTTAAAACATAATACGTAACATTTGTACATGATCAACGAGTCGAATTAGGACAAATCCATCCAGTACATCAGCTTGTGTCGTCACTTAGAACACCGGCCTTTTTGGCCCAGAAACTCCAAAAGAACTCTGAGATACAACAAAAGCTTTCACAGGTGTCGAGACCCCTCCTCTGCAGGTGGACCTCATTGAGGGGGGGGGGGGGGGGTACCTGGATTGCTTGAAGGGTTTGTGGTTGCAGGGGAACCAGTCCTTGGTCCCGGCGACGCGGCGTCGATGTAGTAGCCCACCAGGTTCTTCGGATGACTCGGGGGGTCCCACTGCACGAACACGGAGGACTTGGTGTTCCTGGGGGCCACCACCTGACCGGGAGCAGAGGGGACGCCTGTCGGGGGGGGTGACATGTAGACGTGAGAACACATTGGACATTCTAGGGAAAAGGACCCGTGGACATCTGTACAGAGTCAACGAGGGGCTCGCTGCACTGCGTCGGGGCAGCTGTCAATCACAGGAATCAAACGCACAACCCGTGTTTATGCCTTCTGCAAAGTGAGCGGCTGCAGGTCACAATGACCGACAACTATTAAACGTGCGAAGACAAAGAAGCGTCAGGAGGACCAACAAATGTGGGGGGGGGGGGAACATGACATGTGGTTTTGTTTTAAGGATCCGTGACAGAAGAGTGAAGTTAGAGAACATTTGACTTGAGAGATGCGAGACTGTGATGTAAAACAAACAACAATATCTTTTGTTTCCAAATAGCGGCTACACACCAATAATAAGGCTGCACAATGCATGCTGGGATACGAGCCTGATGGAGATAGGATGACATATATATATATTTATATATACTGAATCCTCTCCCCAGGGCGAGGAGTGAAGGGACCTGTGAGGTCACAATGGCGTGAATCAGTGTTTAAGTTGAACTGTACGTACCCAGCGGCCCCCCAGCACCTGTAACACACCGCACGTCCACCAGAGCTCAACGAACGCACTTTAAACCAAGATGAACTACAAGTCCCTCAGGAAGCCTCCGGCGATTTGGGTTGTTTGAAACCGCCGGGGAGCGTACGGCGAAATGAAGATATCACATAAAAGCTGTCAGGACGTGTTTGCACGCCTTACCGTCCTCGCCCCCCCTCTGGGCGGGCTCCGAGGGCTCCGAGGCCTCGCTGGAGCCGAACCGGTTGACCGCGGTCACTCGGAAGCGGTACCTTTGCCCCTCTTGCAAATCAAAAACCGGGTAGCGGGGCGAGTGCAGCTCGACCGCCGCGTTGATCCGCTGCCAAGCTGCAGTGCCCGCTAAGCACTGTGGGAGAGTCCGGCGGGGGGGAGGGAGGGAGGGAGGGGGGGACAACCTCAGCAATGCAGCTTAACACAAAGAGGTGCTTGGGGGGGGGTGGCGGGGGGGTTATGTTGCTGCATAGTTGGGGCTCAACTCTGGATTTGTCGGGTTTTTCCCCGGCTTAAGCAAAGCATTCGTATAAAGTGTGTGTCATAATAATAACAATAGCAATGGTGTGGAAAAGAAAAAGAAACACAATGAATGAGACAAATAAGGTTTGAACGGATATTAAAATGTTCAAACCCTTCGATTGATCCTATTCGGACGATACTTGTTTACGTGACCTCTTAACCTCTGACGGTTAATCCGTCCTGTGATGTCCCCGTTGCATTAATGTGCAGCCATGAAGTATCGTTCTGTTTAATTGAGGAGGGCCCCGCAGGTTAAGAGGCGTGTCGTCTCTGCGTGGATGCAACAGGGGTGGGGGAGATGGGGGGGTGGGAGGGCAGCACGCACCTTCTCCACGACGTACCACAGCGGGGCTCGACCCCGCGGGCTGGGCGGCGTCCAGCTCAGCACCACGTATGATTTAAAAAGCTCGGCGGCGTGCACGTCGGTGGGCGCCGCCGGGATGGTGATGTAGCCTAAAGGGGGAGTTGGGGGGGTGGGCGACAGTGACATACAGCGGCGCCGCTTGCAGAAGTCTCACATTGTTTTATACGTGTAATAAATAAAGGGGGGTGAGAGCAGAATATTGTTTTCATAATTCATGAAAATGCTTCTGTCTCTCGGCCTCCAGAGGACCTGCGGTGGGACAGTTTTACAGTGGATGTGGACGTCTACAACAGCCTCGGAGAAGAAACATGCAGGCGTGCTTTGTGGTTTTGGGGGTTAAAGGAGAAACTGGACACTTTGAGTGTTTTAATCGGAAACAAACCACTTCAAAGCCACTTCAGTGGGTTAAAGTGTGGGGGGGTCGAAGGTGGAGGTTAGGAGGGAGTTTTAGATCCGAGTCGGGTTCATGATCGCTGTCAGGGTTTGATCTGGACATTTTAGAGAGGACGTCAGTGTGTTTCACTGAGGGAATTAAGAGAATAGGAAAAAAATCGGCATCTCAAAGCTAATATTTTGGATTAATCACAGAATTCTATGAAAAATATGAAAATAACTGATGAATAAAGTATATGATGAGGACAAAAATTGATTTAATGTCACAATCTCAGTGGCAGAGGAACTAGAAATACTACAAAGTAAAGGTTCGGTATTAACAATAGTAAAAAACATGGTCAAAAAAGTTCCTTTCTCTCACTATTCCTCCTGATAAAATGAATCCTGAGGCCAACAAGAGAAATGTCAGATTTAATTCCTCTCTCGTGATGTAACGGCTCACTTTTCAGAGTTGATTAAGGTTAAACTTCCTGTTTGTTGATTAAGGTGCAGCGCGCCTCAGGGACTGCGAGGACGTTAGAGGGGGGTTAAACCGGGTGAACGCGCTTAGGGTCACGTGATGGGCGGCGCTGCCGGGTTCGGGGGGGAGGCGCCTGTCAGTGCGGCGGGGGGGGGGGAGGGGTTCAAAGCCTGATCCCAGCGTACCTTCCAGGTCGTCCGCCTTGATCACTACGTCGTACTTCCCCTCGATCTTAATCACTGCGGCGGGACACAACGGAGCCCGTTAGGAGGCCGAGGCCGCCCCGGCGCGGCGTGCGCTGTTTTTACCTTCCTCGCTACCTTGCAGCCTCTCGCTCTCGGCGGGGTCGAGGGCGGTGACCTGCTCCGTCCCGCGGGACGGCCTGCTGACGCCGGCGCTGTTCACGGCTCGCACGCGGAAGCGGTAGGAGCGGCCCTCCTTCAGGCCGTGCACCGGGTATTTGCACACCTTCACCGGGGCGTCGTTGCACTGGACCCAGGAGTCGCTGCCGGCTTCGCAGCTACGGGGGGGATGACATCATAAGTGTGATGACATCACCGGCACCACAACGACAATCTCATGTCCGGTGGGGCCTGAACACCTGCACGTTGTGAGACTCACAACATCACAGTCAGGTGATCTCAAATCGACAAAGTACGACATCATAGAGATTTAAACTTATCGAACGCCGACTGACCGATCCACGAAGTATCCGCTGATCGCCGCCTCGTTGACGGCGTTTGGCGGTTTCCAGGCAACCAGGACGTAGTCGGCGTTGACATCAAACGCCTTCGCGCCAACCGGGGCGCCGGGGGCGCCGGGCGCAGGGGGGGGGGCATCTAAGGGGGCAAGGAAACAAGGACATAAGGTGGGGAAGGAGGAGGGAGGGAACAAAGAAACACTTTAAATACACAAGTAAACGCTGCGCGTCCTCCTTCCTGGTTTGAGTCGTCGTGGCTCATTTGTCTCTCGAGGATCACATGCTGATCCCCGGCGTGTTCCGGTGAACGCGTGGAAGGAAGGAAACCTGAGACGAAGAGGTAGGCGCTGTGCTCGGCGGTGCCGTTCTTTGGTGAAGATGCGGAGGGTGTAGAGGTCCTCGTCGTTCTTGGACAGGTGGGGCAGCGTCAGGCGGGTACTTCTTCCGCCACGACATCTCCGCAGCCTCCCGGGATCAGCAGTTGTCTGTGAGGGGGGGGGGGGGCAATAAAGGCCCAATTAAATATATGTGATTAACGCTTTGATTGAATCATCATCACGTCGGAATCGTTGCAGAGAATAACGTTGCCGATGTGTCCCGGAGCAAGGCATCGAACGAATGAATTACCGTCTCTGTACCACTGGGTGAGGGGGGGCACGTTGGGGAGGTCGGGGACGACCACCATGGTGCACGCCAGGCTGATGGAGCCGCCCTCCACCCCGAAGCTCACGGAGAAGCGGTCGAGGAGGCTGACCTCCAGCTTACTGGCGTGGATCTCCGTCAGGTGGGGCACTGAGCGGCGGGGGGGGAGGAGTTAATATCTGTCTGGTCTCCGTCCTCTGTCCTGTGTCCTCGCCCCTCTCACACTTACCTAACCCAAGCAGGCAGGACTCCCCGGATCCTGCCGGTCCTGTGAGGGAAACATGTGAGACGTGTGACAGGACGTGAGGCGGAGGACGTTATCGTGCAGAGCGAGGGACTTACTCTTCACGGTGACGGTCGCCTTGCTGGTAGCCGAGCCGTGCGGGTTGGTGGCCACAGCGCTGTACTCGGCGGTATCGCTCACAACGCACCTAACCCCCCCGGCCCGCACGAAGACGTGTCAAACTACATGTACATAGATTTACACTTGAATGTCCAATAAATATCTGTTCAGCACTTCATCATTCTGCAAAACCTTTAGAATTGTTTAAACAATTTCCTAAGGTAATAATAAGGTGTCGCATTCGTCCATGTTGTCCGTTTTAGCGTCTCTCATTCTGCCAAAGCTTTAAAAGTGATGAAGAAGGTAAAGACTTAGTTTGAAGAAATCAGGTTGAAACACTATTCAGAAATCATGTCATTCAACTGTGTGTATCACATTTCTGTATTTTTATTTTTTTACATTTTTGAATACGATACTGAAATGACTTTTAAATTAGATTAGATGTATTAAAAATATTTTTTATTGATTTAGTTTATCAAGGAGGGTGAGAATAAATGGGGGAAATGTGACCCCCTCCCCACCACACAGGACTGCTTTATTCTTCTTTTCTATTTTAAGCCGATGCTCTTGTACTACTTGTACGTTCTTACTTAGGACTCTGAATGACTGAATGAGTAGATTTTGCCCTCTGAGGCAAATTTGTAATTTGTGATTTTGGGCTATAAAAAATAAAATGAATTGAATTGAATTTTGAATAAACAGTAATGTAATGACGGAGGGTGGAGAGCGACAGAGAGGGAGAGAGGGAGGAGGGGGAGGGGGTGAGAGAGGGGGAGCCGCAGGAGGAATTCGTGGCTCGAATGACGCAGAAGTCAGCAGCTCGACACGAACAGCTGACGAGTCTCAAAGATGGAAAACCGCCAGGCGTCAATCTGAGAGTCCTCTTCCTCCCTCTCCCCTCTCTCCCTCTCTCCCTCTCTCTCTCTCTCTCTCTCTCTCTCTCTCTCTCTCCCTCTCCCTCTCCCTTTCTCCCTCTCACTCTCTTCCTCCCTTTCTCCCTCTCCCTCTCTCCCTCCCTCTCCCTCTCCCTTTCTTTAAAGGGTGATTTCTGTCTCCGTCTGGCTTTCTTTTTAAATTTGATTTTGCTTGTGTCTTCTAAAAATGTCATTTTTATTGGATACCCTTATTCTTATTTCAAAATGTCTATTTTAAATCTTTTATTCTTCTTTTTCTGTTTTTAATGGAATTACATTTTTACAGTATTTTATACTGTTGTTCATGTTAAACTTGAATAATAACACTAATATAAATGTGTATAAAATGGGCTGTATGAATACAACTTGTCAAAATGTGCCTCAAACATTATTGCATGAATGCACATATGTCAAACTTCCATCTGAGTGTGATGTCATTTGAGTGTGATGTCATCAGAGTGTGATGTCATCAGAGTGTTCTCGCCGTACCTGCTAATGATCAAACCGTGGACTCCATACTTGTTTTCGATCTTGTACTTTCCGGGGGCGCTCAGCGGGTCGACGGGCACTCCTCCTTTGTACCTGCAGACAGTCAGCAGCTAAAACCAGCGAGTTTATGGGGACACGTGAGTCTCTGTGCAGTACACGATGCACCTCGACAGCTAAGGATCAAACGGGATCAAAAGAGAAGGTCTCCAAAATGGAGAAACGGTATGAAGGAAGAACCATCACAAAGCATTGTTATTTTCCTTGAATGAACATCCGCACAAGAAGAACACCCTGAGGAGAATATTCTGACCATTTGACGACCGGCTTCGGGGTTCCCTCCACGGTGCAGAACAGCTTGACGGGGGTCTTCTCCCACACGGTGTGAGGCCGCAGGGCCACCAGGAAGTCCGGCATCCTCTGGAACTCCTCTGAGGTGTCCACCCTTCTGTACATCATCTCTTTGACCTGGGGGGGGGGATCACAGCAGGGTGCACGTGGTGAAACTCCTCCACGCCCACACAGCGTCCTCAGTTCATGTTAGTTCATAATGGCATAGTGAATGGTTCAGCCTCTTCCCCACTAAGTGACTTCTAATAGATCCTCAAGACACTGCACTAGCATTAGCATTAGCATTAGCATACCAACACCATGGCATTGTTGTGCCCATTGAACTGGAGGACATGTTGCATCCTACAACGTGTTTTTGAGATATAAACTAAATATCAACAAGACAAGGAGGTGTGCAATGGAAAAATGTACAGTCGAGTGTCATCTGCATACGTGCAATATAAAAACCTTTTCATCAGCTTAGCTTTTGTAAAAGCAGACACCTTGGCAGTTGATGACTCTCGGATCTGGTTGCATTAGTAGTATTAATGACGCACGTGAATTATGACAGCATTGAATACCTCTCTCTGGAGAGCGAGACTCTCCACCGTGGCCTTGGTGGCCATCCTCATCCTGTGGAGCTCGTCCTGGATGACGGTCAGTCCTTTGCCGACATTGGTGCTGACGCGCTGGTACTCCTCCGTCCCCTCGTCGGCAGTCCTACCAACACACAGCTTGAGTTCACGCGCTAACCAACACGAGACGCAAAAAGGAAATGTGTAGCTAAGCGTATAATCCAAAGAACAGAGTTCTGCAGAATAGGTTCAATTTAATTGCTATTTTCTTGCTTTGTTCGGCCATGGCAACCGTTTACTGGCAACGCTAGCCAAGAAAAAAACCCTTTACGCCTAAAATAGCACGACACGTGACAGCAGCCAATGGGGACTCACCTCTGCCGGAACACCGGTATGGTGTAGGCTGGTTCCGCCATAGCCTCCGTGGCCTGGGCCTGCACCTGGCTACCCGAATAAGAGCTTGATTTCCTGTCGGCAGGGGGTCCATCGTTATGAAGCAGACATTAAAGGGACATTTCACCACAATGGACTTTCTGGTTTTAGTCGAGCAGAAGCAGGTCACGGCGCTAAAATCTCCTGACATCCAGCTGAGAGGAAAATTAGAACTAAAAAGAAACAGATGACCACAGATGCCTCTTTATCTGTATTATCTTGTTTTTTATAGGGTCGACAAAATCATTTCTCCACCAATTTCTTCTTTTATTGTCAACATATTCCTATACTATCAAGTATTCTTATTAAATCAACTCAAACAAATAAATGTGCTAAAATGTCCTGTTTATGACATACAGACAGAAAAGTCATCCAAAACCTCTTAAAGCAAACATTTAGTTCATCAAATTGATGGAAAATACTGTATAATAATAATAATAATACTGTTTTTTCCATGAACCATTAGAACAAACCCTCTGAGCGCTGAGGTCAGCATCTACACCTCCGACCACCGGGTTCGGGCTCACGGCGTGCGGACAGGAGGCCACATGACGACATGGCGTCTCTAAACAAGACAAACCGGAGACGTCCGGTTCTAGCGTGATCGCCATGTTCTTCATGCACCAAGCCGGGCAGCGCGAGAAGCTTCTGCAAAGCGCTCTGCAGCCAACGAGCGAAAAACACACACAGGGAAGCTGCCTGGAGACGGAGACACGTTTGGATGTCGGTCAGGATCAATACAACGCTGTTTGTAGACCAGAAAAACATTTACAACGCGTTTTAATTATGCTTTAATAACATTCTAAAGAGTGCAAAGTACTGACTCCCAACCCCCTCATCGGGTCACGTATCGTATCGCCGGCTTCACGGCATATTTTTCTGTTAACATCTCGAATATGTCATTCCACGATTTCTGTTTTTATCATATTTGAGATTTACAATTCTCTAAAGCTGCCATATCGCACATATATGGTGTCTACCAAAAGTTTTTTAGATGTGAATGATTTTAATCACTGGCTTGAATTTAAATACCAAACTGCTGCTTCTTCTTAAGATAATTGTGAACAGGTGAACAATCTCGTCTGTGATGAAACCCAACGAAGAAAAAACGGTGAAAAAGGCCTGAAGAGTCAAACCGCTTTGACTCGTTTTTAGGATCTGAGTCATCGGCAGGTCCCTGTGCTCAAACGTGGGGCCCGGGGCCCCCCCCCGACATGCACAGCGTCCCGGGACACATGGACAGCCAGCCAGGAAGCGCGGACCACCTGTCCCCCCGACCCCCCCGGACACATTACCTCGCTGCTGTCTGCTGCACGCTGTGCACGCATTTAGTGTGATGGTACGCATAATCGGTTTTGACCTGGCTCTTCTTAGACCGAACTGTGACTTTGGAAGCCATGACGGGAACACTCTCAGGACAGCTGGCCAGTTGGGGGGAGGGGAATGGGGGGGGGGGGGGATACACCAAACAAGTGTTAGCCAGGAGATGTCACCTCCACCCTTCTTTACCCCCCCCTGACGTCTCTGTGATCCCCGCTGGGAGACGTGTGGACACATGTCGTACCTTACAGTGTGTTTCACGTCGCTCTCCTCCAGGAACATTCATAACATGTGTAGTAACCGTGTAACAACACTGATATAAACAGGTTAATATCACATGAGCGTCTCAGCACAAACCATCGCGGAGCTCTGTTTCACCCAGCTATGAATAGCTCCAATAGATCCGTCCCATGGAAACAGAAAATCATTTCATTTTATCAAAAGAACGACACGAAATCAAATCAAACAGGACTCGTTAACTGAAGCGGCTGTGCAAACGTCAGCATGATTGTTTCAACGTGACGGTGATGTTCCGGCCACCTGTCACAGCTCTGGTACGTGAGGAACATCAGATCATCTAAAGCAGAAGACCTCGCGGCTTCTCGTCCCGCTCTACGGTGGAACGAGCCCCGCCGGTGAAGTTAAAATGAAGAAAAGTGACTTACCCAAAGGGATTAAAAGAGCGCAAAGCGGTGGAAGACCAGCCTGATGCCGCCTGGGAAGCTCTACACAAATATTACCCTCTCACAGGGGGAACGCTGCTCCCCTTCCACCCCATGTATGGGCGCACTTAAGACTATATATAGCATTTACCCCCACATTTTGTCCCCATTCTGCACTTCGGAGAAGACGAGTGTGCATCCCACGTTCGATTTGATTGAACTATTTAGAGGAGTGTTTCACCTGCTGCGTTTATTACATTTATGGATTCATTTTCTGCCCTTCAGAGAAAAGGAAAAAAGAAGATCTTAAGAGTCTTGGCAGGACGACGGATTTTGCTTTTCCAACGAGATTAAAAGGAGACGAGACGCCTCACCTTTACACTCAAACGTTCATTAAGCACAAAGGACATTTTGACAATACGTGCTGGCAAATGGCAAAGGCCTCCCGAGACCTTTTTAGGGTTCTCCTTCTCCTTGGCGCGACACCTGTGGGCTATTTTTAAGCAGCCAGTCGCCCTCGTCGCAGCGACGCCGCCCAATTGCCACCGTGCAGGAGGCACAGCGGCTATTTCCATCCGCACGAGCACATCTCAGGGCAACGGGGCCGAGGAGCGGCGCCGCGGGGGGCTGTTGGGCCTCCATGAATTTACAAGACGTGTCACACCTCCAGGACCCCCCCTCTGTTTAGAGGACCTGGCCTGCATATTCATTCTTCATCAGAGAGCATCGGCGTGCTTTCAGTTCATGCAAAGTACTGAAAGTAACATATATATAGTAAATCTTCCACGTAGTAAACACTTTAAATGCGTGACATTTCATTGTAGTGTTTTTACATTATAGCATAACTGTTATTTAATTAAATAATCTACATTCTGCCTCCTCCTGTGAGTCTGATCAAAAACCTCCTACATTTCCCATAATGAAATATAAATAAAATATCTTAACTAATCTATGAACATCCTTCAGATGTTCGGAGGTCTCAACCCACCGATTTCTCAGACTTCTTCAGAACCAGAAGACATTAATAAAATGTCCCAGTATCGTATTCGTGTATTCGAGTGTTATTCTCTGTGCGGTGCTGCCCCCTGGTGTCTGTTACCTGGAGCTGTTGTGGACGATCAGCCGATGGGGGATTTGGATTTTTGGCTCCCGAAGATACAAGAGAACAATGTTCAGCCAAATAATACCTAATAAACGAGCTGTATAAGGACACAAAGACAACAAATGAAGACTGTAAAAGCGATATAAAAATATCCATGGCAGGAATAATAAACATCCCCTAAGCCGACGCTCACTTCATCAGCCCGCTAGTCAACGGTTGGACCCCTTTTGCCTTCAGAACTGCTTAATTGTTGGCGGCAAACTTTCAACCAGGTGTTGGGGACATTGCTCACAGATGTTGCTCCATATTGATCCACATCAGGGCATCACGCAGTCGCTGCAGGTTTGTCGGCTGCACGTCTACGGCGCAAACGTCCCGTTCCTCCGCTTCCCAAAGGCCGTTGATCGGAGTGCACGAACTCATCGTCGTGTTCGAGAAATGGAGTTTGGGATGACGCGGATACCCTGTGACGCGGTGCAGCATCCTGCTGCATGCGGCCATCAGAAGACGGTGCACTGTGGTCCGCAACACCACGCGGGGGGAGGCTGCAGCATCTGCCCACTGGTGGGTCGCGGGCCCGTTTTTTAAATGGCCTTTGCCTGGGAAAATAAAAATGAGAATAAACAGCCGGCTGTTTTGTTTTTGTGTTGGCGTACGTGTTCTGTCTCCATACGATCTCAGCAGCGGCCTGCAGCGTCGCCGCTTGCTCTCATGTTGTTTACTGCACGTTCTGACCCGAGCGGCGGAAAGTCACAGCGGAAATGAGACTCCTCAGATCTTCTATTGTCCCTGTGTGGTGACCCAGTGTGAGATGTAGTCTCAGTTTCCTGTTGGTTCCGCTCCGCCGCTGCTGTGGCACAACTTCTCCAAGGTTCCACGTGTTGAGTTACTGTTGTCTTTCTATCATCTTCAACCAGTCTTCTCTGTGAACCCTCGAGAAACACCAACAGCCACGATCAAAGTCACTCAGATCCCCTTTTCTCCCCCGTTGTGACGCTCGGTTTGAGCTCGGCGAGTCGTCTTCAGCACGTCTACGCGCCCTAATGCGTGGAGTTGCAGCCATGGCGGATTTGTGTTGACGAGCAGTTGAACAGGTGAAGCTGATAAACTGGCCGGTGAGTTTATGTTCACACAATATTGTTATGTTCAGTTTTTCAGAGCTTTGAGCGTCACAAAGCTAAATCCTAATGTGTGCTGGGAGCTATCGGCGTGTTGCCCTTTGACCCAGACTCTCTATCGGGCATTTTATTTTTACTGCCGCCCACGCTCACAGCAGGCTGACTGACCCCCCCCCACACACACACACACACACACACACACTCCCAGCTGGAAAGATTCCCAAAAAATAATCATCTCTCCACTAAATACCAAACTTTACAAGCTTCAGCTGATTGCTGTTTATTAGCCGTGCTGCTGTGTTGTTAGACTGTGTGTGTGTGTGTGTGTGTGTCTGTGTGTGTGTGTGTGTGTGTGGGGGGGGGGGTCTCTCTGGTGGATTCCTCTCTCCTCCCCCCGGCGGCGGTACGCAGCCTGTTTGCAGTGGGAATAAAGCAGCTTATTGGAGCATGGATGATACGATGAGCAGGAAGTGGGCCCGTGTGAGGGGCCGCGCTCACGGGGGGGGCTTCACTCTGGGGGGCTTCACACGGGGGGGGCTTCACACGGGGGGGGCTTCACTCTGCTTCCAGGGGAAAAAAGGAAATGCACAGAATAGCTCTTTCCACGCCAAACGAGGTGGAGCCAATTCCACATTCCGAACCTTCTTTTGCTTTTCTTTTTAGCCCGTTGGTGGTGTTTCGTGTGAGGATGCTTCTCCACTCGCTCCACCCGACGCGTTGATCATCAGTGAGGGTGAAGCAACGGGAGGAGTAGATTCAGATGGATGAGATGCATGTATGAGAGGGTGGGGGGGGGGGGGGGGGGGGGGTCCCTACCTGTCAACTCAGATGACTGCTCTCTTAACTATAACCCTTAATCCTGTTCAGAAAAGGTCAAATTGTCTTTCTTTGTGTAACTTTCCAGAGTCCACGCAGCTGGGGGGGTAGGTAGGGCGGAGGGGGGGGGGGGGTTGTTGGGTAAATAGGGACCCTGGAGCAACTACAAATATATAAAAGGTCACCAGAGAAGGTCACCCTGAAGCAGCCCTGCCCCCAAAAGCTCTTCCTCCTTCAAACCCCCCCCCCCCCCCTCGGCCTCCCTTATTGGGTGAGGAGATTAAAGCCATTGGGCTACGTCACAGGCTTCGCCCGTCACTGAGTCAGCAGACCCGGGTCACGCAGAGGGGTGACGTAGATGTGTAGCAGCAGGGGGGGGGGGTGGAGGGGGTCCTGTTGCATCAGACTCGATGAGCAAATCAAAGCCTCCAGTCGCCCACCGTGCAACGTCATTTCAAGCGTTCCGCGGATTAGAAATCAGAAGATATTTCCCACAATGCACTTCACCGGCTGCACATAAAAGACAGCCAGCTTTAATGTGATCCCTCTAATCTTTTAATCGGTCACTCATTCACACCCGCAGCTACAAGTGAACGCAACAAAGTACCCGGCAGAACCGAACAGGGTCACAAGTCCGCTACGCTCCTAGAAGCTAGCAAGCGAAAGTAAACGGGTCAGTCGGTGCACGCAAAGGTCAACGCTTCAAAAGGAACCAAAAATAGTGTTTCTGTTTGTTAGAATTGTGCAACTGTTCACACACACACATTTATTTTAACATCGTTGAGTGTTTGTTCAGTCGCGAGCAGCTCGGAAAGGTTTCACAAGCAAAACACGGTGAATATTAGAATATTATAGTTTTGAAAGGACGTCTTTGTTTGTTTTTAACATGTTTGTGCAAGAACTTTAAACGTGGTGAAGAGACATTAAAGTATTGTCTCAGTGCCAAGAGGTTAAGACTGTTTGCTTAGTGTTTAAAACACAGCATGCGTAATGTATGTTCGGTGCAATTAAAGTTGGGTCCCGTGTTGAAGAGCACATGTCACTAGTGTGAGGGGGGGAGACGGGGGGGAGACGGGGGGGAGGGAGAGTGTCGCAGGAGATAAGAAGATCTTCAACCGTAGAAATGTGCAGAGCTGCTGAGAGACGGTCAGATGTGGCGGCTCGCATCTGATGACCTTCATCCCTGCAGCCGATGCTACATGCGCGCGTGAGGGCCGATGACATCATGGCGCGGCTGCCTCGCTCCCTCTGCACGTACGCCGATGCTGGCTGCCGTGGCAACGCGGCGGACAGACAGGTTCCGGGCTTGCTGCTGGGAGAAGACGAGCAGGCCATCAGGCCCCCTCCCTCCCCCCTTCTGCCTCCCCCCTCCTCCCCTTTATCACTCCACTGCTGCTGCCCCCTCCTTCCCTCTCTGGGCCCTCCCCTCCTTCCTCTCCCTCCCCCCCGTCCCCGGCTCAGCCAATCAGGCCGGCCGGTGGGGGTTGGGCGTAGCAGAGCCACCATCCCCCCCCCCCACCCCTCAGAGCTAACAGGGAGCTAGCAGCTCAGAGGAGGGCACACGTCGAACCACAGCCTCTGTGTGTGTGTTTTGTGTGTTTAAAGTGTGTGCGTCTGTGTGTGCGTGAGAGGCTGCCGCAGAGCAGCAGGCGCCCGGTTCGTTTCGCCAGACTTTGCCCCCCCCCACCTGCCGCTGTCTTTTTTAACCTTGCCAGTGCTCGGCGCAGGGCCTGCTCCTTCCTCCACCTCAGGATAAAGAGGGATCAGCCGGGAGGGAGACGCTCCTTCGACTCTCTGACCAGCCCCTCGTTTGTGCTGACAGCTCCGCGGCGCAGCAGCAGGCAGGATGATAGCGGCTCAGCTCCTCGCCTACTACTTCACCGAGTTGAAGGATGATCAACTCAAGAAGGTGAGTGAGTTTGAGATGTGACAGCGGCCATGGACGCCCGGTAGCTGCGTGTCAGGGCGCCGAGGCTGTGGGGCGGGGGCGGGGTTGCCGGGGGGCATTGTCAGGCAAGTAGAGGAGGAGGCCTTTATGAACTCTTTGGGGTTTGATTGACTTTGGTAAGGGGTTATCGGTGTTTGCCGTGGATGTCCTTGAGAAAAGGGGCTGTGGTCACTGATGATGGTGGTCGGGTTGATGTTGGTGGGGGTGGTGATGGTGGTAGTGATGGGGTGGGGCGATGTTGTGGGGTGATGTGTGTGTAGTGATGGGGGGGGGGGTAGTGATGGGGGGGGGGGGGGTCACACACCTTCCGTCAGGAGGGTTTCAGGAGCGTCGGTTGCCAGGCGTCTGAAAGCAGACAGTGTCAGCGAAGTCGTGAGCTCCACAAGTTCTTCCCCCTTCCCTTCCCTCGCTCTCCCGGCCCGCCCCCCTCTGCCCCCCCCAACACCCTGTCTCATCATCCCTCTGTTAGCTCACTCGGTCTCTTGTTACCCTTTAGGCGAAGGCGACATAAATTTGTTAGCAGCACACAGATGAAACCTGAGATAGAAAGCGGCCTCCGGTGGAGTAGAGGAAGCCTCTCACAGACCGGCGAGGGGCTCTCAGGGGGGGGCGTTAGTCCACGGGTTTGTAAGGGGAGTGTGGGGGGGTTGATGGCGTAGTAAAACTCTCTTTAAGAAGGAAGAAAGTTCCCCACAGAGCAGCAGACCAGAGCACTCGAGGTCTGGACAAGAAGTGTGAAAACGATGCAGAAATGCGGATTTAGCGACGCGATAATAAAAGAACCCTTTGACCCAGGATGTTCTATTTACAAAGCCGAGCTGTTCAAACACACAGTGGAGGACATTCACTCGTATCCAGAAGAGATAAGATGCGCAGGCTAAATTTAGCCCATTTGATTGTGTTGGTGCAGCTATTTATACATTGGCACCTGATGGTATTTGTATTAAAACATTTCAGGTTTAATTTAGCCCGCTATAGGAATCTTGTAGCTTAAATTGATAAATAAACGTTCAAATAAGATGCAGCTTTTATATGATGCTGTATTTTGCCAAATTTTTATTTACAGCCTTTGCACAGAAACTCAAGGTCAACAACAGAAGTATAAAAAAAAGAAATGATTTGTCCCCCATTTTCTGGAAATACTGCATTCAATGCACTCTATTGAAGTCGTGGCACTTTGCGTTGCATTCGTCGTTTGTGGAGGCCAATAAAAGTAACGCCACACCGATGAGCCTGATGGGCCACAAATGTGCAGACTGTGTTTTCCTTTTGTGCCGCGTTGTACCCGACATGCACCGTGTCATTATGTAACAGAACAGCGAGTGTGCACGGAAAATCCTCCCGCCACACTTCCCTTAATTAGGCTTTAAATGCAACTGCACAATGCTGCTGTTGAAATAAACTGATTATTCTGTTTCTGCACTGATTTTTATTGGATTTTTTTATGAACTTTTTTTGGCCCCACGTCAACATATTTCTACATCAGTATCTGGTTTCAGGCTTCGTCTGGACAATCAAAGAACTACATTCATATGTATCGATCTATTGACTAGCTGAAACGCAGCTGCAGTAACAAACACACCTCTCACGCAATTAGCGAAAGAGCAATTAAACCCCCAGATCACCTTTTCCAGCTGAAAATCAATGCATGTGTATGTGGCCGGGTTCTTCAGAAACGTAGGTCCACATCTTGATATTTTAGTGTAAAGTATGCAAGCACGGCCTTAAGAGCTGGCAATTGCTATTTAATTTAGCTATTAGCTCATCTTGATGTCGATTGGGGACAAAAGAAGCCTCGCCACTGCCCTCCAGTCCTATAAAACCAAAAGCTCCAGACTCCTCAGACCGTGGAGAGAGGGACATTAATGTCATTGCTGAACCTCGGAATTAGTATCTGATTCACTTAAGGCCAATGCTAGCGCTAATGCTAAGAGCTAGCATACACCTGGCTAGTGCTAATAATGATATCTAGCAAACACATAGATAGATAGCTCTAAAGCTAAGAGCTGGCATACACTTGGCTAGTGCTAATGATGATATCTAGCATACCGTACACATGACTAGTGCTAATGATGATAGCTAGCGTACACATGACTAGTGTTAGTTATGATAGCTAGCGTATACATGACTAATGCTAATGATGATATCTAGCATGCACATGACTAGTGCTAATGATAGCTAGCGTACACATGGCTAGTGTTAGTTATGATAGCTAGCGTACACATGACTAGTGCTAATGAGGATAGCTAGCGTACACATGACTAGTGCTAATGAGGATAGCTAGCATACACATGACTAGTGTTAGTTATGATAGCTAGCGTACACATGACTAGTGCTAATGATGATAGCTAGCCTACACATGACTAGTGCTAATGATGATAGCTAGCGTACACATGACTAGTGCTAATGAGGATAGCTAGCGTACACATGACTAGTGTTAGTTATGATAGCTAGTGTACACATGACTAGTGCTAATGATGATAGCTAGCGTACACATGACTAGTGCTAATGATGATAGCTAGCATACACATGACTAGTGCTAATGATGATAGCTAGCGTACACATGACTAGTGCTAATGATGATAGCTAGCATACACATGACTAGTGCTAATGATGATAGCTAGCATACACATGACTAGTGCTAATGATGATATCTAGCATACACATGACTAGTGCTAATGAGGATAGCTAGCGTACACATGACTAGTGCTAATGAGGATAGCTAGCGTACACATATCCCGGCCTGTCATGTCAGCTCAAACCCACACAACAAGAGTTGTTTTGTCAAAATAATCCTTTCAGCAGCGTTACTGCTATAATTATAAGGTGCCTCTAGTGATTCGCACTAGTGAAACTAACTAACTAGCCCTAATTGATGTTTAATTTCACGTCCATGGAAAAGAGGAAAGTCCCAAACTGTGTTGCTCTTGCCCGGTTTATCTTCACATTTGTTGTTATGTCTCTGCTCCTCAGATTGATAAGTACCTGTTCTCCATGCGGTTCTCCGATGACACGTTGAAGGACATCATGAACCGGTTCCGCAGGGAAATGGAGAACGGCCTCGGCCGCGACACCAGTCCCACGGCCACCGTCAAGATGCTGCCCACCTTCGTGAGGTCCATCCCCGACGGATCAGGTGCGGTCTGCAAAAACACATCATTGAGGCAGCCACACACGTGCCCGTTCCTAAATACACATGATCTATGGTTCTGCTGCACAAAAGACAGACAAACCTTTTTTTATTTTTATTTTGCAAATAGTGAGCTGAATAATTCGGACTGTGCACTGTACCGGCGTTGAGGCAGCGCCCGGTTCACTCCGCCTGTAAACAGTGTGCTGAGGCGGTGGAAGCGCCGGGCCTCTCTCCGGGCCTCCGGGTGTGGATCTCTGTTGTTTGTTTCATGCCTCGGGGCCAAAGGGGTCGGCCAGCCGCATCGGGGCTCTGCAGCCGTCCCGCAGACCTCTTGACGTCAGTTTAATTTATTTGAGTTTAATTGAAAGACGATCTGAGGACCTGCGTAATACACAGTGAACCATGTTGAAATTAAAATTCTGATGAAGGCTTAAATCTGTGGTTCTCAAACTGTGGGGCGCGACCCTCTGGTGGGGCGCGGAGGCATTACAGGTGGGGGACGAGTGGCCAGGGGGAAATGTAGATTTTTATTTAGAATCCTTTATTAGAGGAAATTGTTCTCTGCATTTTACCCATGCTTTGTGTTGACTTCTTTGAGATTTACATGAAAGTAACTTCAATTTCTCTTTATTCCATTATTAATAAAAGCACACATGGAGTCACAAAATGTTATTTCAATAAAAATTCAGCATGGAGCATTTTGTTTCATTTCTTCCCCCAAACTGGGGCTCGACAGAAAAAGTTTGAGAACCACTGAAATATATCAAAGTTGCAGATTGATTTAATTTTAAAATATCCAAATGCAGACGTTACAATTAAAATATCCCATTACATGTAATTGGATGAGAGGTTTATTAGATGTTAAATAGCGGCAAACATCTGCTTGCTCTCAGCTGCTCTGCATACGATATCATTATCTGCTCTCGGATAAAGCTTTGTGCCGCTGACGTTCTGCGGCCAGGGGAGAGACGACGGGTTATTCTTAACCTCTGGAGGCTCCGCCGGCCACGGAGAGGCCGAGGGTGCATCACCCGAAAGGGCAGAAGAGGTGAAGCCATGGCGACGGTTTCAAAACGGACAACAGCCTGATTGGCAACGACAGACGTGATGAGTTTCCTTGGTGACAGGAACAACTTATCACTCTTCCTCTACATACACACCTTCGTACACACACACACACACACACACAAGCATAAAGGTACACACACAAATACACATATCCACCTACATTGTATATGATAAAAGTACTCGATGCAGTAAACAGCTCCCTCCTCTCTTTGATAGTTTAACGCTACATATGAAGCTATGACGGTGAGTTTTATTAGTGTTTAGTGTTGCTGATGAGGAGGCGGCTCTTCTTCTGTGGTGTCAGATAGACGCTCAAAGAGGAACATTGTTTGCTCGGCCGGCGGGACGTCCCGGCGGTGTTCTCTGAAACCGGAAAGGTCACATGTCTGATCCCCAGCAGCAGCGAAACGCTCGTCCGCTCACACGCTGTCTCATGTGACACGCAATCCGCGCTCGCTGTCAATCAACCAGTCGTATCCAAAACTAAGAGAGCGATGAGCTAAAAAAACATACGAGAGTATAAAGTCATCTTCCTACACTACGCGACATGGAGACGCCTTACACAGCCCAGGTGGAGACCTGTCAATCACTCTGTAGCCCCGCCCTGAAGCAGAATAGCTCTATAGGACCAGAGGAGTTGCCCCCTGGTGGTCAGTCTAGGGAGTGCAAACACTATTATAAGCTTCACTCCACAGTCCTTAAACGTTCAAGTCCGTAACCCCGTTAGGGTTAATAAATACAACGTGAATCTAAAGACGAGGATGAAGACCAATTCATCCGCGCCGATCCAAAGGTCTTTGGCTCACTGGGGACTAAATGTTTTTGGTTAATCGTTGCTCCGTATCGGTGCACTTTATCTTTACAGAGAAGGGCGACTTCATAGCTCTGGATCTCGGGGGGTCAAACTTCAGGATCCTGCGGGTCAAAGTGACGCAGGACAAGAAGCAGCCGGTGCAGATGGAGAGCCAGGTCTACGAGACCCCCGATGACATCATCCACGGCAGCGGGTCACAGGTGAACACTCCCCCTTTTCTCCCCCTCTTTAAATATTCTATTCAGTTTGAATCCCTCTTCTCGCCCCCTCAAATGCTAAACTAACTTTGATCTTATCTTAAATATACGTATACGTACTATATTTTTGTTTGTCACGTTATGGATGTTTCAATTTAACATCCGTCCACACGCAGTAAATCCTCAAAAGGCAGAAGCTGAGCGGTCCGCAGCGAGCAGCGCCCGGAGGTCAGATCGAGGGTCAACACGTGTAAAACGACCCCCGTTAATAACGTCTCGACAAGAAGCCGACACTGACCTTCGGTTAACTCACGGGGGGGGCCGTGGGGTGGAGGGGGGGGGGGGGGGGGCGGGACAGCCGGCGGCCGGGTTGTAACATGATAATCACAACATAAAGGCCAGATGCTGTTGGATGAAACGTCAGCGCGGGACAGCTGCTCCAAAATGTCCCCTTACATTTGAACAACGAGGTTTGTTAAAACACAAACTGCAATCTGACAAAGAGGAATAAAAAGGTTCTGGTTCAGGACAGTAAACCCTCGTTGGGACTCTCGACTTCTCCAGTATGAAGCTCTGATCACGTGTTGAAATACGTTCCCTCGCTCTCTCTCTGCAGCTCTTCGCCCATGTGGCGGATTGCCTCGGCGACTTCATGGAGAAGCAGAAGATCAAAGACAAAAAGATTCCTGTGGGATTTACCTTCTCCTTCCCCTGCGCCCAAACCAAGCTGGACGAGGTAAACGGCCTCCTCCTTCTTCCGCGATGGAGTCTGCAGGTCGGACCTGGGATGGACGACCTTCTGCCTTTTGACAAATCACATAAAACATAAGCGGGCCAATAGGAGCCACGAACCCACCAGTCTGAGGTCAACCATCTGCGATCCCAGCAAGCCACTTCCTGTTGTCTGACCTTCAGTCACACACACACATCTTGTCCATCAGTCTAAAACCTTCAAGTTTTATCTTACAATAAAAAAAACAAAAGGGCCACACGATAAAACGTCAGTCAATAAAACCGGGAGGAAGTGGTGAGGGGCGGGGCTAGCGACGGCGAGCCCGTCGAGCGTGACCTAAATGTGTCCCTGGTCACAGGCGGTCCTGGTGACGTGGACGAAGAAGTTCAAGGCCAGCGGGGTGGAGGGCATGGATGTGGTGAATCTTCTGAACAAGGCCATCCAGAAACGAGGGGTGAGTCCTTTGGTCTCTTTTAACCAGATGCAACGGTTTAAAATAAATAAAGCGTGTATATACGAGGAGAAAGAGGAGTAAAGTGGTACATTTACAGAAAATATTACTTGTTTTCTTCAACATCGTCTTCATCGTGGATGTCCGGGTTAATGTGGGGCTTCTGGGCTTTGAGCTCTACTGCTAAACCCGATTGCAAAGTGTAATTTGATTATTGATCCTCATAATAAGCCTACTGACCTTTCTGAGAGATCTGATGCATTTCTTTGGCCCCAAAAAACGCATTGAATTCTCTAATAGTTTTTTTCCTATATGACCGGATATTGTTGTTATTAATTAAATATTTTATGAGTCAACATACAAAACGTCTATAGGGTGAAAAAACATCAGCTGGTTTTCCTCTCCAGGACTACGAGGCAGACATCATGGCGGTGGTGAACGACACGGTCGGCACCATGATGACCTGCGGGTTCGACGACCAGCGCTGCGAAGTGGGCATCATCATAGGTGAGCACACGGACTTTCTGCTGGATGAGGAGCCCAACCAGTGCCCCGAGGACGTGGGGAGACGTGAGCTGAGGGGGGGGGGGGGGGAAAGGAGAAAAAACTACCACGAGCACATTCCTACCCGTGGGGGGCGCCAGAGCTACTTTAACCACGACGCCGACCAGGACGAAGCAGCTCTGGGCAACGTAAAGAAACGCGTGTGTCCTTTCAGGGACGGGAACCAACGCCTGCTACATGGAGGAGCTGCGTCACATCGACCAGGTGGAAGGAGACGAAGGCCGGATGTGCATCAACACGGAGTGGGGCGCCTTCGGGGACGACGGGTCCCTGGAGGACCTTCGCACCGAGTTCGACCGCGAGATCGACCGGGGCTCCATCAACCCCGGGAAGCAGCTGTAAGATGGCATTTTTTTTATTCGTTGCTACAAGTAGTCCCGCTCAAAAGACGTCCGAAAACCCAGACGGCTCCCGTCGTAAATGAATACTTCCTCATCTTTATTCTTGTAGAGATCTGTATTTGTTTCTCAAACTGCAACTATGACCTCCTTGAAATGGAGATCTTCTAAAGATCATCAGGTCGGCAGTACCAGCTTTGGGTCTGTGTCCACCAACCGCTGCCCTGTCCCTCCCCGCTCAGGTTTGAGAAGATGGCCAGCGGGATGTACATGGGAGAGCTGGTTCGCCTCATCCTGGTCAAGATGGCCAAAGAGGGGCTTCTGTTCGAGGGGCGGATAACCCCCGAGCTCCTGACCAAAGGGAAGATCGAGACCAAGCACGTCTCTGCTATAGAAAAGTAGGTCCCTCCCTTAGAAGGATCCTTTCCCCCTGACCCCTGCTGACCCCCCCCCCCCCCCCTCCTCATTGCAGGAGCAAAGAAGGCCTGAAGAAGTGCATGGAGACGCTGACGAGGCTGGGCGTGGAGCCGTCCGACGAGGACTGTCTGGCCGTGCAGCACGTGTGCACCATCGTGTCCTTCCGCTCGGCCAACCTCATCGCCTCCACCCTGGGGGGCATCCTGGCACGGCTCAAGGACAACAAGGGGGTCGGCCGCCTGCGGACCACCGTGGGCATCGACGGGTCGCTCTACAAGATGCACCCGCAGTGAGTGGCCTTTAGGAGATTGGGGTTCCAAAAATCAAAATCATTTTGATCAATGTAAATATTTGACGCCCCGCCCCGCCCCCCTCCTCCTCCTGCTACAGATACGCCCGCCGTCTGCACAAGACGGTGCGCCGCCTGGTCCCGGACTCGGACGTCCGCTTCCTGCTGTCGGAGAGCGGCAGCGCGAAGGGCGCGGCCATGGTGACGGCCGTGGCGTACCGGCTGACGGAGCAGGCGCGTCAGATCCAGCAGACGATGGCGGAGTTCCGGCTGAGCAAAGCGCAGCTGCTGGAGGTGAAGAAGCGCATGAGGCAGGAGATCGAAAGAGGCCTGAAGAAGACCTCCCACCAGGAGGCCACCGTCAAGATGCTGCCCACCTTCGTCCGATCAACGCCGGACGGGACAGGTGACCAGAGAGTATATAGGACCCATAATGCTTAGCGCCACAGCCGATGTCCGCCCCTCTCACCTGTGGCGCTATTGGACAAACACTTCTTCTCAAATGAAGCCAACACAAGGTCCTCGTGCTTCTCTTGCCATGCAGAGAACGGAGATTTCCTGGCTCTGGACCTCGGCGGGACCAACTTCCGCGTGCTGCTGTGAAGATCCGCAGCGGGAAGAAGCGATCGGTGGAGAGCACACCAGATTTACGCCATTCCCATAGAGGTCATGCAAGGCACGGGAGAAGAGGTAAGAACCTTCAGTCCCGAACCGCTCGTGAATCCTCGTAAGCCCGCGTAGACTCACCAACGGCCCCGTCCCTCCCCAGCTCTTCGACCACATCGTGCACTGCATCTCAGACTTCCTGGACTACATGGGCATGAAGAGCGCCCGCCTGCCGCTGAGCTTCACCTTCTCCTTCCCCTGCCACCAGACCAGCCTGGACGCAGTAGGTTCCCCGGGAAGACACGAAGACACGTCCATTCTTTTCTTAACAGATTGTCCTTTTCCCTCACGAGCCCAAAACGAGGCTCCTCTTCAACATTCACAACCGGGCTTAAGAACCTTTTTGAAGGATCCATCATCATTGTGCTGAAATGCTTTTTTTTTTTTCCTCCCGACCTTTCAAATTTCCGCAGGGAATCCTCGTGACCTGGACCAAAGGATTCAAGGCCACGGACTGCGAGGGGGAGAACGTGGTGGAGCTTCTCCGGGACGCCATCAAGAGGAAAGAGGTGAACGGCAAACAGGAAGTGCACCCGATCGTCCGCGGGTATCGAGTTACTAAAACTGCTGCAGCACAGACGACAACGTTTCGTCCTTTGCTTTAAAAACGTGTTGCTTTGAAAAGGCTTCGTATTAAAAAAGGGCCGGCTTCCAACAAACTTCTGCAACAACCTTTAGAAATGTGATAAAAATGGAAATGGAGCGCTTGGAATTAAATGGGTAAAGATTAGAATAACACAATGTATTCTCTCCTTTTGAGTTTCTTATATCGGTTTCACCCTTTTAGATGGAGGACCCAGTAAGTATTAAGCGACTGTTAATCCTTACCTGAGAGGTAAAGAGGTGGGGGACCAGAGCGGTGTGTGGTTACATTGGTAAAGCATGGGGGGTGGGGGGGCTGTGTGTCTGGAGTTTGGGGGTCTTTCCTGTTGTTTTAAACTCAGATTTAGCTCAGTGACGGCGGAGCTGATCTCCTGTGATCTGCGTGCGGTTTGTGGAAGCGCTCGCGTGTGATCTGCATCGTGTTCAGCGAGGAATCGATCGCCGGCTTTAAACTGGAGACATGAAATGATTTTATGCATCGTTAACTTCTTACCTTTGGTGAAATAATCCTAACATTAAAACGCAAAGCGTCCATCCTCTGACAGGTGAGTTTTTGTTTGGTTTTAGGAGTTCGACCTGGACGTGGTGGCCATCGTGAACGACACGGTGGGGACGATGATGACCTGCGCCTACGAGGAGCCCGACTGCGAGGTGGGACTGATAGCAGGTGAGGTCCAGCACCACCAGCACCACCAGCACCACCAGGACTTTTTTATCCAAGAAATGTCGTACTGTGGATTTTTGTAAGCGTGGTTATATGAGGTTTTATTCAGACTATGCAGAAGAACAAACCCTTCTTGTATATGTATCACCAATGAGAAAAGCCCGACCTACGGGTGGAAAGGTGTCTTTCTGTCGATGCTGACGGGCCCCGTGTCCCCCCCCCCCCCCAGGGACCGGCAGCAACGCCTGCTACATGGAGGAGGCCAAGAACATCGAGATCGTGGACGGGAACGAGGGACGCATGTGCGTCAACATGGAGTGGGGCGCCTTCGGAGACAACGGCTGCCTGGACGACATCCGGACGAAGTACGACCAGGCGGTGGACGAAAACTCGCTCAACGAGGGCAACAAAGGTGAGGACGCGCCCCCGCTGACCCCGAAAGCCGCACCTCGAACCTCGCCGTTTGGCAAAAACGGGACTCCTGAGCTACGATCGGCCCCCCCTCTCCCGCCAGGTACGAGAAGATGTGCAGCGGCATGTACCTCGGCGAGATCGTCAGGCAGATCCTGATCGATCTGACCAAGCGGGGCTTCCTCTTCCGGGGACAGATCTCGGAGACGCTCAAGACGAGGGGCATCTTTGAGACAAAGTTCCTGTCGCAGATCGAGAGGTGAGTGCCCCGGGGCGACTACCCACAATTCATAGCTTTGTGAGGCACGGCCACGCGATCTAAAAGCTGCTACTTTGTCACGGCGATCGAGTAGATTGACTTTGAAACGCGGGGACAAACCCAGGTGCGAGACGGTGGCTTTATACACCGCTTAAGCCCACCTCTGCCTCCGGGGGCAGCTGTGAGGTATCGGGTGACTCTGCTGCTGTTGGCTGACCTCTCCCCCCTCTCTCCCCCCTCCTCTCCCTCCACAGCGATCGCCTGGCGCTGCTGCAGGTCAGGGCGATCCTGCAGCAGCTGGGCCTCGCCGGCACCTGTGACGACAGCATCATCGTGAAGGAGGTGTGCGGCACGGTGTCCCGCCGCGCGGCCCAGATCTGCGGCGCCGGCATGGCCGCCGTGGTGGACAAGATCCGCGAGAACCGCGGCCTGGACCACCTGGACATCACCGTGGGCGTGGACGGCACGCTCTACAAGCTGCACCCCCAGTGAGCCTCCGCCCCGCGCAACGCCGCGTGTCCACTTTCACCGGGACGCTGACGGAGGCTTTTTTTTTTTTTGCATCAGGCGTGGAGGGAACCTGCTGCACCCGTCTGGTTCTCACACTAAAAGCCCGTCAGCTGTTACCGACGTAAAATGAAATAGGCCACGCTGAGGCAATTAGTAAAAAATATAGTTCAAAAGAACAATTTGTATAGTCAAACTAACATTTTCTGGTTTCTGCTGATTAAATATGAAGTTTTTCTCCTTTTTTTCTGGACTCTTAGTTGACAAAAGAACCATCTTGCAGTACTTTTGTAGAAAGCTTCTCTGCCTCCTAACCACCGTTTCCTCCCCCCTCCGCAGCTTCTCGCGGATCTTCCAGCAGACGGTGAAGGAGCTCGCCCCGAAATGTGACGTCAACTTCCTGCTGTCGGAGGACGGCAGCGGGAAGGGCGCCGCCCTCATCACGGCCGTGGGCTGCCGCCAGAGAGAGCTGGTCGCTCAGCAGCAGCACTGAGGCCCGCCCGCTGCTCCACCGGGACCTCCACCTGCCTTCACAGCCCAGCTCCATCCCCCATCGCCAGCCGTGACTCCACCTCTGCCCCCCCCACACACACACAGAGATAGCCAGAGTCGTGCTGCAGGAATAGAAATATCTGAATATTTATTTATACCGCATCAGAGCGTTTATTATTTACATGTTTGTACATTTTCCTCAATAAGCTGATAAATCTAAACTCATTAGGTGTGCAATATTTGTGTATTGCTAATTTTATTTTTATATGGAGGCAAATATGTAATTGTATTTATATATCTGAGGCCACTTTAAATCCCAGAGGTCATTTGCACCATAGACACAGGAAAATGTCAGCACTTTTTCTATGAGAGCTCACACACGCTCATCTTAACAAAGCTCCGCTCAACCAGTTCCTAAAAAGGGCTCGCTGCAAAACACGAAAGGGGTTGAACGCACGAGTCACGGCGGCTCAAACCATCCTCGCGTCTGTGCAACCCGCTCGCACGGCACGCTCGGCTAACCACCACTTTCCACGCACACATCCATGTAACTCACGTGTTTAGAGCATTGCAGCTGCACCGTAACCTTTAATCCCGTCGCTGTCTGTGAACTACGATACTGTTTGGCGTTGTGACGTATCCCACTTCTGCTTCATTGTTTGTGCCAGAGAATAAATGTTTATTGGGCCCCCGAGAAAAGAGTGGACACTGCGAGGCTTTGGTGTGCGTTTGTGTCCTACCGTGTCGACCCGTAGCTTTCAATGTTCCTGTCCGTGGAGACTGCATGCCTTACATTAAGACGAAAGGAGAGTACCCATTTGCTTTCATTGTTTTTGTTTTATTTTTTACATTAATATAGATTTCTGGTCCCACGGTGAGAAGTGAATTCATTAAATTATATTTTGTTGTGAAGTAAATCCTGGTGTTTCTTTCTTATCCAGCAGCAGATGGTGCATGATTAAACCTGTAATACTGGAGGGGGACTTCATACAAAGGGGAGATGCATCCGCTTTTAATCAAGCTTGATTAGCTGCATTTGTTTTACGGCGGTGAAGAGAAGTATTCATCTTTTAGTTTAGTTTCTGATGAAAGACACACATGAGGCGCTGCTTTGTTAATGGTATTAAAAAGATTATTTGGTGCAAATGAACACATAAGCGTTATGGAAACAAAATGAGTCTAATCCCAAACAAGCAGCATTTTCATGCTTAGTGACTAAGTGGGGAAGGTGGTTAAAAACCAGACCAATGAGTCTTTAGTATTGACTAAATACAAACTTAAACTTTAGATGTCACGATAAAAGAGCCCATCGTACGTCTGTCGCGCCTCACTAGACGCTACGTGTCACTCGAGCTGCACCGACTAGATTCTTTCTAGTTGACTCAACATGAACAGCCTGAAAATTCGTCTCTGCAGCGTCGGACTCACTTGGAGTGCCGAGGAGGATCCTGCAGACCCCCGAGGTTCATCCCTCTGCAACGCAGCCTCAGCACCGAGACGACACATCGATGCACGCGCCGCGCTTACATACACATTCACACGACCTGTGCACACACCTGCCAGCCTTTACATCTGTGAAAACAAAACAACACGCTTAAGACCGATATTCAGCGTGTTTACGTTGTTACTTTTGTAGCCAATGCAATGCATATTAAATATTGGATTAATTCCCTCCTACGCGGATGCAAGTAACAAAACATTTTAATAAGCTGTATGAACCAGAGACTGAGACGAAAGCCAGTGTCTGCCTGCATCCTTCTTTGTGACGGAATGTCTCCCGCAGTGTGTGCGTGGGCGTGAACAGGTGCGTGTGCATGCATTTTGAGTGCATTGACATCTGATGGCTGCTTAGCAACGCCCGCAGGTATGTGCCCCACTTTTGTGGCATATGTGCAAAAAAATATTAGGTTTGCCTTTTGCTCGCGGTAACAAGGAGAAACTCCACGACCCCTTTTCTGTTTGCCCCCTCTCTGTGCAGCGCGTGTGCGTGCGTGCGTGTGCGTGTGCGCAGCTCTCACCAGGCTGCGCTGCGTTGGACGGAGGGCTTCCTGCTGCAGCCACCGCCTGGAACTAAAGACGCGCCGCGCTGTCACCGCACGCAGCAGGTATGCAGCCCCGATTAAAACACACGACAGGCCGACGGAACCCCCCCTGAACCCCCCCCCCCTGGAGTGTCGCGCCACCCGCGCCCCGCGAGGAGAGCAGACGGGGCCGCTGCCCGCTAGCTGGCATGCTAACTTAACTAGTTGTTTTCTTCTGCTCTTTTCCTCTCGCGCTAGCTAGCGAGCTAGCTAGGCTAGCATCGTGTCGGGAGCGTGGGTTCGGGGTCCGACGGCCGCTCTTACGTGGCGCCGGGCACGTCGCCGCCCTCCACCCGACCCGCGGCGGCTCGCGTCTGTTGCCTCGGGTCGCCGTGGCCGCACGGTTCGCGTGTAGAAACGTTTAACACTCGGGGCGCGTTGCGTTGCGAGAGCGCAGCGGGCTAATGTCAACAGCTAACGCGTTAGCCAGTTAGCGTTAGCTTCTCGCCGTTAACCTCTCGTTGCCGCAGGTTGTAACCTCTGGCAGGACGACGCGCCGGGCACGTTTAATCAACGCGAGCGTTTCGGCGCGTCTGTTTGTGTGTGTGTGTGTGTGTGTGTGTGTGTGTGTGTTCGAGGACCGTTGACGTGGTCTTCGGGTTTGGCGTGAAGCGGCCAGCTGAGCAGGGCGGCCAAAACAAAGTGACCCGCGGAGCCGCGGTCGCGTGTCCAGGTGACAGGTGCTCCGGACGAGGCGCGCGCCTTGGCTGGTGATTCGTTGGCGGCCTTTCGGCGGTCGACGCGAGCGTGTAATGATCACTGGCGCCGAGGAGTTCTTAGTTGATCTACAGAACAAAGCTGCAGGACAACACATGTCACTTATTGCGTCACTATTTTTCTGTTTATATATGTTGTATTTTTATGCAAGCGACGCCAAAACGAATTCCAGAGCCAATTCTATTGGGAATCCACGTTGTATACAAATGGCCATTTAATCAACTTTCAAAGTGTTTGGCTTCATGTTGATTTGCTGAAGCATTCAATCCCTTTTTGATGATTTATTTCAGCAGAAGTTGAGAGGCCGTGCTGGTGGAAACGTCTGTCCCTCTCGGGGCAACAAAGGCAGCTCCTCACACAGTTGAAGCCCCCCACCCCACAAAAAAACCCCGAACCCATGGCTGTCTGACGGGGACGCGGACCCACCGTGGCCCATGCTCTGTACCCGTTTCCCTCCCTGCCCTCCTTATCCCTCAAGCTGACGCAGAACCCCAGACAACTGCCCCCCCTGCCCCACCCCCACCCCCACCCGGCCCCCAGCGACTCGCCGCCGCCTCCCGCCATGGTGTCGGGCACCGAGACCGTGCACTACATCCACCTGCACAACTCCAGCCAGTCGGTGCTGGAGGCCCTGCGCACGCAGCGGCGCGAGGGCCTCTTCTGCGACGTGACGGTGCGGATACACGACGCCTCGCTGCGCGCCCACGCCTGCGTCCTGGCGGCCGGCAGCCCCTTCTTCCAGGACAAGCTGCTGCTGGGTCACTCGGAGATCTCCGTGCCGCCGCTGGTGCCCGCCGAAACCGTGAAGCAGCTGGTGGACTTCATGTACAGCGGCTCGCTGGTGGTCCTGCAGTCGCAGGCCCTCTGCATCCTCACCGCCGCCAGCATCCTGCAGATCAAGACGGTCATCGACGAGTGCACGCAGATCATCTCTCAGAGGAAGGCGGCGGCCACGGCGGCGGCGGCGGCGGCGGCTGCTGCGGCTGCGGCGGCGGCGGCAGCGGCAGCAGGAGGAGGCGGCATGATCGGAGGAGTTCTCCCGAAACAGGAAGAGCGTGGCGGTGGGAAAGGAAGAGAGAGCGGCGGCGGCGGCGGAAGCTGTTCTGTTGGCGCAGGCGGGGGCGGAGCTTACGCAAACTTCCCCAACTTCATGGCTGAATGCGGAGTCAGCAACATGGGAGGAGGCATGGGCGGCGCCAGCGAGAGCGGCCCGGGCCCGATGGAGCAGGCCAACACCGTGAGTCTGATGGCGTTGGGCGACATGGTCCCCGGCTCCATGTGTGGCGGC